CTTGACGTTGTCGAATGTGGGGCCGCGGAGCTCGACGTTGTCGAATGTGGGGCCGCGGAGCTTGACGTTGTCGAATGTGGGGCCGCGGAGCTCGACGTTGTCGAATGTGAGGCCGCGGAGCTTGACGTTGTCGAATGTGGGGCCGCGGAGCTCGACGTTGTCGAATGTGGGGCCGCGGAGCTTGACGTTGTCGAATGTGGGGCCGCGGAGCTTGACGTTGTCGAATGTGGGGCCGCGGAGCTTGACGTTGTCGAATGTGGGGCCGCGGAGCTTGACGTTGTCGAATGGGGATCCGCGGAGCTCGACGTCGTCGGGTGCGGCGGGGAGCTGGAGACGGTGCTGCTTTTCGCCTTGCGGGCAAGGTTGATCACGTCCGGGTGCACTGAAATCCATTGATTGGCATGCAAAGAGTTTTAATTGATTGACTATGCCCGTCTGCGCCCAAACCCCATTTCCTGATAACTGCTTAGTAGAAAAGGCATTGAAAAAGGACTTACCATTAGCAGCCTTGATGGCGTATCCGCCGGCTTGCCGGCCGTCGTTAAACCCTGGAACAGATTGAAGTTGAAGGAAATCAGCGGTTTATCATCATTACTACAGTGCGTATCAAAAAGATAGAGCCACTTGGTTTTTGACGTTTATCTTCGCGCAGATGTATTTTCATGGCTATCTATGCATACACATCTTATAGCCCTTGAAAAGACGCATCTTTCTATGTAATCAAAATCTTTCTATATTGGATATTGAGCTTTTTATGATGAAAACAAGTAAATAGAGCCAAAAACACAAGTATCAAAAAGATAGAGCCACCATTTGCATCCACTTTACATGTGCCTTGAGCTTGCAAATTACATGCTAATCGTCATGTAAATCGTTCTTTTCATTCAAATCAACCTGTCAGGACCAAAATTTTATAGCTCTGACCATTTTGGAGTGCGTAAACAAAGCAAACACTTGATAAAAAAACGTGCCTGTCTATTGCTACTATTCAACGACATTCTTTTGGCAACCGTCGATGATTTGAATGAAAAGAACGATTTACATGACGATTAGCATGTAATTTGCAAGCTCAAGGCACATGTAAAGTGGATGCAAATGGTGGCTCTATCTTTTTGATACTTGTGTTTTTGGCTCTATTTACTTGTTTTCATCATAAAAAGCTCAATATCCAATATAGAAAGATTTTGATTACATAGAAAGATGCGTCTTTTCAAGGGCTATAAGATGTGTATGCATAGATAGCCATGAAAATACATCTGCGCGAAGATAAACGTCAAAAACCAAGTGGCTCTATCTTTTTGATACGCACTGTATCCACGGATCCCCGGATGGCCGCAAAGGGCTAGGAATTGCTCCTGGCGGGCGCGCTCACGCCCGCGGTCAAAATATTGTAAAAACAAGAGAATCTTACGGCACTCCTTTCGCTCCTTCACAGCACGGTAGACCCCCTGCCAGCAGCCCGCCTCTTGAGGTTCGCCTTCTTGATCAAAAATTGGATCGCACCACGTTGAGTCGCGAGGGCACGCTAAATGAACTTTCTTTTGTGTGCAGTATTCCTCGTTCGGCCCTACCACAAAATACGAGCTATGTTCCGGGGGCTTATGTTTATTTTTCCAATATACATTTTTCCTAAAAACCATTTCCTAAAGTCGATTCTTCCTAAAATTTGACATGTAAATCGGCGGCGTAGAAATATCAAGAAAGGTCAAATGCTATAATGTTTCGTTAACAAAATATCGAAAAGACAAATGTTATCCTTATTGGTTATCAAAATTTCAGTAAATGGCAAATTTTTGGTTATCAAAGCATTTATTTGGCTTTTATAAAACTTTTCCTTGCTTTTTAACTTCCTAGATCTAGACGAAATGAACTAAATATACATGTACTATAAATGTACTATATGACTACTAAAGAGCTTAAGCTTGTTAATTATAGACTACTAAAGAACGATTAGGAAAAATGATTCTGAGGAATTTGAAGTTTTGAAAAATGACGTTAGGAAAATGACAGTATCCGAATAGTTTTTGAATACAAAAACCCAACTAAAAATATAAAAAATACCCCACCCCCCCCCCCCGACGCATCACAGCAACCGAACACTCACCGAAGATTTTCAGCTCGTTGAACGCGACCACCCGGTCGTGATCGCGCGTCAGCTGATCCTCCGCGTTGCTTCTGCATCGATGTGGGTGAGTGGCGTGGCACACCGATTTCTGGAGATCATCCTCTGAATCGGGGGAATTAAACAGGTGCGCAAATCTGGAGCTTTCTCTATTTTTTAAAATTAATTAATTCTTTATTTTTTTAAATATGCACTTTAATTTACTGAATTTAAAGCCATAATCTATGAAAACTGCAGATTCTAGGCAAAACCAGTTTGGCAATTGCTTGCTGAAGATGACCGACGACAGGAATCATATTCCAATTAAAGGGACCCTAACGGGAAGGATTAGGATAATGTCCCGCCAACCGCTCTGACTGACAAGACTTACAGCCATTAGGCGCAATTAAAATCCAAAGTCTGTGTAATAGTACTTACCGTTGAAGCCGGCACAGATGGCCGCCACGATCTTGAGGCAGAAGATGATCAAACTGATCAGTTTCATGTCTAGAAAAAAAAGAGAGAAATTGGCAATAGTCCAGTTATCCCCGGACCCCGGCCCCGCTCCCCCCCCCCCCCCTCAGCCGCAGCTCCTCGGCTATACGTCCTATTATGTTCCGGGTCACTCAAAATGTTTGCCATCAAGTCTGCTCGGTTGACACGGTTTTTCTGCCTCGAATAATTTGATATTTTACTAAAACGTACTGACGTCTTATTCTACAGATCAAGGGCTACATGTTGGTACCGTTGCCACCTCTGTACGCCCAACGAGGGCCTAGATACAAAAACTTACTTGGGAACACAATATGGTAGAGGCCAGGTAGCAAAGATAGGGTGAGAGATGGCCGGGAAGACGGTACGGAAAATCGAATGTAGTGATTTTAAATGTGGCGAACCGGAGTCGGGGGCTCGCTTATATACCAATGAAAAGCACGCGCCTTCCGCTAAAGACAAAACAATCAGGGAACTCGCCAGGGCTCATCTCTCGAACGCCAAAGGTGACCGTCGCCGGGGAATGTGCAGGGGCCCACCATGAAACATCGGAAAACACATCAAATTCCCAACCTAATTGTCTTGTGATTGTCACCCCGCATTTTAGCAATGGCGTCAAAACTAAATCATGCACCATCAGCCTTTTTCCAAAAGTCGACTGTGAAACACTGTAGCGCGCTTTTTCCAAATGTCGCCTATAAAACTTTTCCCATGGTAGTTTTTTGCGCTGATTCCGAAAAACGTAACCACGACACGACACTTTTAAAATTGGCCTGCAACACAAGGATCAAACCGCGGTCAAGGAATTCGTGCAAAAAAAAATTCATTTTTAATTTTCGTGACCCTGAATCATGATTGGTCACATTTCTTTAGCGATGACCTTGAGGGTTTGCTCATAACTTCCAGAAAAATTACTTCTGGAATAATATTGACCGGCACTGACGCGGTTCGGCTCGGTCTTCAGCCTCGGTTTCCAAGTTCTTTGTCGTGTTTTTAGGCGGGTACTACCATCGGATGGCCGAGCGATCTGGTTGTCCGGTCACGATTTCGTAAATCTCCATTTCGAAAACCAACATTCTGAGAGAGAACGAGAGAGATAGAGTGTGAGAGAGTGAGAAAGAGAGCGTGAGAGAGAGTGAGATGGAAAGGGAGGGAGAGAGAGCGAGAGAGAGTGAGAGACTGATAGAGAAAGAGAACATGAGAGAGACAGACCGAGAGAAGAGGAGAGAGTGAGAAAGAATGCTAGCAAGCTGGCAACATCAAATTTTTGAGCTTGACGGTTATGCTGTTCAACCTATCGGCTAAGCAAAAAAAGCACTCACGTGGCATCCAGTACCAGTTCGATGCTTCGATCCTAGGATTTTCGTAGAATTTCCATAAATGTTTCAATTTTGCCCCCCGCCCACTTCCTACTCCTTTGCGCCCCGTGATGTCAACGAATTTAACAAAAAATGTAAAAAACCGACTCTTCCATGCAATTTATGTACAAAAATTACCAGCTTCAGGCCCCCGGCTGCTAAAAATGCGAGCTTCCGATCGGTTACGACCCCCGCACTAATTCTGCACGGCCCCGAAATACCATCAAATTACGGTAGCCGCGCCAGCGATAAATCATCGGGCATAAAATACACACGTTGAACCGGATTTTACCGGCCCCAAAGACCCCCAATTGCTATAAGTATCTGGTGCCAGCTTAAAAAAACAGGGTTGGTAGAAGCAATTAGGGCCATGCACGACTTCCGGTAACCCCTGTAATTAGCTTCCAAATTACGAAATTTATGACCCCTTGGAGAGGCGATAAGGTAGGGGCGGCTCTGGTACTGGATCGTTTAGCGATCCAGCTTTGCAAAATGGCCAATGACACCGATTCGGCTGTGCGTCGGTAAAAATCGCGTTGTGTGAAGCACACCTTTGAATTCGCGGCATGTCTTTCGCCCTGATTTTCTATCGCTCTGTTTCTCTCTCGCTCTGGCTCTCTATTTTTCTAGCTGTCCCTCTCCTTCCCCCTCTCTCTCTTGTTCTGGCTAACGATTTTTCTGAATCTCTGACAACTCTCCCTCTCTCTCCCTCTCTCTCTCTCTCTCCCTATCTCTCCCGCTCCCTTCCGCGCTCTGTCTTTCTATTTCTCTCTCCCTCTCTCTTGCTCTCGCTCGCTCTCTCTGTCTCTCTCGCTCCCTCCCTCGCGGAATTTTTTACCTCAAAATTCCATACTCTACACCCCTTTTAAGGCATGACCACGCCGGCTGAATCAGAAACTACGACTGTGGACCCTGGATTTCCTCGAGGCGGATGCCGCGATAGTCCAGATCCATATTATCTTAACGCTTATGATAGTGTTTTGGGCCACGACGGGCTTCCGGTCCGGGATGAAAAAAATGAGCGTAGCGTCTATATTGTGTTTGCAGCCATGTGCACCGTATGCTGTATAAGCTAAATTAATTCATCGAGATAATATAGTACGCGCCGACCTTGATCTTGCTCAATTTATACTGTATCTGGCTGATTTATCGACAGGAGCAGTTGACAACGAACGTCAAGTTTATCCTGATCCTCGACCCGGGCTGCCGGTTGTTTGAGGCGCTAGCTACCCTCTATAAAGCGCCATGTTTATTAAAGTAGACCAAGCTTTTGAAGCCTTTAAGTGACCTTTCAGCTATTGGTGCGTCGAGGTTTATGCCCCTTTTTTGAGTAACGCAATTATAACGTCGAGCCAAATCGGGATGACCTATTCGACGCAACTCCTCGGAAATGCTCTATCGTTTTATAGGTATTGAAAAAGCCGTGCGTGATCATCTCCGCCAGATTTTTCGCCATATTCTTCGATGGCCGGCTCTATCGATACGCCGAGAAGATCGCGGTACCCCATGCTCTTCTTGCCTGGGGTTTGCCGGTTGCGCTATTTTGCAGCGGCATTGGGAATTGTAAGTGGTGATATTTCGCTGTTTTGATCCTTTTTATGGTGTGCTTTTCTCTCTCACTCTCCCTACCTCGCAGTTTTACTCGTTATCTTGCTCTTTCACTCGCTCTCTCGTGCATTCTCTCTCGTTGTCCCACCCTCTCCCTCGCTTTGGCTATCTCTCGCCCTGGCTCTCTCTCACTCTCTCTCCCTCTCCCTCTCGCTCTTCGCTCGCTCTTTCTCCCTGAACGGTTCTCTCTGCCTTTGTCTCTCTCCCTCTCTCTCTCCCTCTCCCTCTCTCTCTCTACCTCTCTCACTCTCTAACTATCTCTCTCATGTATATTTAAGAGATGCGTTCCGAACTCCATGGGCGAATTACATTACGTGTACATCTATACCCACGCCGATAAGCCCTTTAGTATACAACCCACTGGATGACTTTACCTGCTACGGTGGGCTGCATTGGGACCCGCAAAACTACACGAACATGATCGTCTACCTCTGGAACTGGTCACTCTTCGGCCTCCTCGCCAACATTGATTATGTCATGTATGGGGTTCTGGTGGTGTCTCTCACGCTCGACCTCTGCACGTTCTTCATGCTGCGCCGATTTGTAAGATTTCTAGAGGCTTGGGCTTAGGCTTCCGCTTAGGTTTAGGCTTCCGCTTACAGTTAGGCATAAGCTTAGGCTTAGGTTAAGTTTTGGCTTAGGCTTAGGCTTAGGCATATGTTTGAGCTTAGGCCTTGGTTATTCCGACTTTTTACACGCTTCAGGTCCGCAAAAATGTCGACAGAAAGAGGGCCGACCGGAAGCTGGCTGTGATGGTAGTGAATTGTCATTAAAGCTTACCTTTCGAAATTCAGTTAATCGTCACGCACGTCATCACAGCCTTCTTTTTCCTGGGCAAATATCTAGGTAGCAAGCTTGGGATGATCGGCTACACACCCGCCTCGCAGTTTATCATGAATGAGGGGGTACCGGTGGTCGGCCCTGGGGTCTATGCGTGGGTTTATGAATCATTAAAACTCGCAATGTCTCTCTCTCGCTCTTTCTCTCTTGCTCTCTCTCTATCTCTCGCTCTCTCTGTCTATCTCTCTCTCTCTCGCTATTCTTTTTCTCCCCCTCACGCTCTCTCTCACCCGCGCGCTCTCTCTCTCTCGCTCTCTCTCTCTCTCTCGCTCTCGTTCTTTCTTGCTCGCTCACTCGATCTCTCTCGCCCTTTTTCGCTCTCTCTCACTTCTCTCTTCAGGCTCGTTGTCGCGCTCTTCAATCGGACGCCTCGTGAAGAAACAGAGAAGCCGAAAATCATCAGCGTCGGCGAGTCAGCCAAAGATAGCATTTGTCGAGTTTAATAAATCTCTTCACTAAAATACACGTTGTCGTCTAGCCTAATAAATAATTTTCTAAAATACGTGTTTGATTGTGCATCCCACATCTCGGTCCATCTACCGATTTTGTCCGGTTTTTGAACACCTCTAAATTACAGTGTCGGTGTCCCATTCACCCCGCATTATATCCAAGCTAAAACCGAGCATTAAACAGAGCCCAAGCTGCACTTATCGTTCGCCACCCAATTACGCCGGGCATAAATTTGGAATTTTTTGTGTTCAGCTTTCGGGGTAAGCCGAGAAAATGAGGTACCTCGGCCACTCGAGCGTGCCTGGCCCTAATTTGCTGTAAATAGCTTTCCGGGTGCTCTATCTTTCTGTATAGTCCGGACAGCGGCTTATAAGCGCAAGCATTGAATGACCGGAAGCTGCTGTCGTCTTTTCAAAAAATGCACGTGCCTGGGTGACGTTTATTTTTCCAGTTTTCATGAAACTTAACCCGCTTTTTTGAAGCGCGGGCTATCACAGAACATGTTGGCTTTTTTCTGGAATCCAAACTATTTTCATCTTCTTGTTAGCTCTTTAAATTTACAAAATTGGCCGGGCAATCAGCAAAATCCATTAGATTACGACGCGGAATGCTCCCGGGCCCGAAAAGTCGATTTGCTGCAAAAATTAGTTTTTTTCCTAACTTTGGGTCTTTTATGCAAAAATTAATTTGTTGGTTTTTTACCGTAACCCGTTTGTTTTTTAAATCGATAGGGTTGATTCCCGGACACGTGAATTTCGACTTTTGGCCCTGAAAGCTAAATTACAAAATCATCATGATATATTTTAAAGAATGCCGGGTCCAGTAACTTCAACCGAAGCTGTGAATACAACGACAGCCAGCGACTACGAGGACTACGTTCCGAACGGGTGTTCCGAGTCGGAGGGGTTCTTTTATACAAATGCCTACGAGAGCACCATCGGCTGGGACGGGCTGCCGAATCGGGACGACAAGAATCAACGCAGCGTCTATTTTATATTCGCTGCAATGTGTACGGTAGGTCGAGACCAAATAGTTTCCATATGCTTTGTAAGGTACCACGGGATATTGTTTGAATCCCACCCGTGGTTATAAAATAGATGAACTAGAATCCCGAATTCCGACAAAATTTTATCTTGTTTCTAAAGATTTCGATGACTTTCGCTAAATCAGTTGTAAAGCTGCTGAAAACTATCGCGAATATGGCGAAAAAAACATAAAGAGCACGGCTTTCAAAATCTGTTCTTTTTTAATTTTGGCAGTGTTGGCGACTTTCCTGCACCCTTTCTTGATATTAGAGGAAAGCGAATACGGAGGGTTTTTTTGCAGTAGTTACTAAAATATTGTGATTAATCCTCTAGATACTAAAGATAGTTATAATCACTTTTAGTACGGGCCCGTCATCATCATCCTGAACGTTTACTGTATTCAACTAATCTATCGGCGTCACCTCCTTACCAAAAGCGTGAAATTCATCCTAATCATCGACGCGGGATGCCGATTATTCGAAGGTTTTGCCACCGTCTACAAAGCGCCTTGTTTGCTAAAGTACGGAAGCGGCTTCACTACAGTGTTATCATCTTGTCTAAATTTCATCTTTTCGAAAGTTTTTAATCTAGATATTTGACATTTTCGAAATTCAATAATTGCGAAATTTCATGATATCGAAGTCTATTTCGAATAATTTCGACATCATGAAATTTCGACATTATGGATTTCGAAATCATGATTTTCGGCATTTTGAAAATAAGCCCGAAATGATTTACCTACATAATGCCGATTCACAGCATGCCGATTTACAGAATGCCGATTTACAGAATGCCGATTTTACAAAATGCCGATTTACAGAATGCCGATTTTACAAAATGCCGATTTACATAATGCCGATTTACAAAATGCCGATTTACAGAATGCCGATTCACAGAATGCCGATTTACAGAATGCCGATTTACAGAATGCCGATTTTACAAAATGCCGATTTACAGAATGCCGATTTTACAAAATGCCGATTTACATAATGCCGATTTACAAAATGCCGATTTACAGAATGCCGATTCACAGAATGCCGATTTACAGAATGCCGATTCACAGAATGCCGATTTACAGAATGCCGATTTTACATAATTTGGGTTCTACATCCAAAAATGCAAACCGGATCCCCATAAAAACATCATCCGACTTGGCCAGGACGAATTTTTACGAATTTTTTTCCGCGTAGGGATCGGGGATTACGAGGAAATCGCAAGCCTCGCGACAAGTTTCAACGCATGCCTTTTTCGCTGGTCGCCGACACTTCCAACGTGCTCAGCCGCAGCGACAAAACACAACGATTCATTATTATTTCCTGGTTGAAAATGCGTCGAGAGGAAGGGAAAACTGTTTGATAGAAGAATTTTTTTTAATTTTTTAAATCGGCATTCTGTAAATCGGCATTCTGTAAATCGGCATTTTGTAAATCGGCATTTTGCAAATCGGCATTTTGTAAAATCGGCATTCTGTAAATCGGCATTTTGTAAAATCGGTATTCTGTAAATCGGCATTCTGTAAATCGGCATTCTGTGAATCGGCATTATCAGCCTATACCATTTTGAAAATAAGCCCGAAATTTTATGATGTCGAAATTTCTGAATGTCGTTATTTTCTATTATCAAAATTTAAAAATGTCGAAGTTGCATGATATCGAAGCTTCATCTTGGTGAAATTGTATAATAACGAAATTTCGTGATGCGAAAAGATCGTAATATCGGAATCTCGAAATGTGATAATGCTGAATATTCACAACTTTGTAATGTAATAATCTCGAAATTCATAACATCGGCATTTCAAATTGTTCGCATGACACTAGAGAGATTTTCCGGAGATTTGTTTTTGGAGTTTCGGCATTCTGAAATGTTTCGGCATTTTTCGACGTTCCATGAATATGGAAATTCCGCAATTTCGGCATTATGGAATAGCGACATTATCAAATTTCGAAATTTCGAAGGTAACCTCTTTTTTTAGCTATTGGTGCGTCGAGGTATACGGCCCGTTCTTGAGCAACGCCATCATCACTTCCGGCCAAATCGCGATGACGTATTCGGCGCAGCTACTCGGTAATGCGCTGTCCATCAACAGGTTTTTGCTTGGTATTTTCTAACGTTATTGACCAGGTTTTTTGCCATATTTCTGGATGGAATGTTCTATCGGTACGCTGAAAGATTGGCATTTCCGCATGCGCTGCTCGCCTGGGCCTTTCCGGTGGCGCTATTTTGCGGAGCGATTGGGAATCGTGGGTTTTTCTTTCTGGGATATGGAACCCTGTAGTTAGTAACCCTGTACAGGGCGTCCCAATAAAGAAACAGCCCCTCTAACACGACGCAGAAGTATCGGATCGGAATTATCGCTACATCATTCGAAAGCCCTTGACGCGGCGAATTCGCAACAATTTTCATAACCATATTTTTTAATCGCTCTATTTTACAACGTATTTAAAAACATTAAGGAACGGTCTCGACATCGAAATTCCTTCCGGTCATTTGCTTGGAGAAATTGAGGCAAGTTAGCTCGTAGGCAACCCGAAAAACCCGGAAAGTTTTACAAAATGGCTTATAAAATAGCGAATTTAGCTAAAAACCTGGTTTTCAAAATTTTTGCAAGTTCAGCGTCCCAAGGGTGTTCAAATGGTGTAGCTATCATTCCGGTCCGATACTTCTGCGTCGAGTTAGAAGGGGAATTTAATGGAACCCGGAACCTGGAAACCTGTAGTTTCAGGGTGTAACACCTTGTAATTTAGCGGCTAGCGCTTCGGCTCACCTTGCCATTCCCGACCTGAATTTGTATGAACACGATATAAAATTTTCCTTAGTTTACAACCCCCGGGAGCACTTCACGTGCTACGGCGGGCTCCATTGGGACCCGCTGAACTACACGAACTTGATCTTCTACACCTGGGCCCCGATTATGTTCCAGTTTCTGGCCCGCCTCGACTATTTCATGTACGGCGTGCTGGCGCTTTCACTGGTGCTTGATCTGTCCACCTTCTTCAAGCTGCGGAAATTCGTTAGTTTCCACTCGGGACGCAATGCAGAATTTTTCTGTGATTCCGAAACAGTCGCATCAAAGGGTTAAGGAGCGTTCGGCTCAAGATGCCCGGAATTTTTACAGGTCCTCCATGCCAACGACAGAAAGCGGTCGGACCGGAAGGTCGCGGTAATGGTGGGGCTTTTTTGCAAAAACAAAGACGCGAATTAGTTAATCGTAACCCACTCCATCACCGGCATTTTCTTCATTGGCAACTTTTTGACGAACACACTACTGCATCGCCGGGAAACGCTGACCCCGGTCCAGGAATATATCATCAATGAGGGGGCGCCGGTCATCGGCCACGTTGCCTATACGTGGGACTTTCCTTCGGATTTCCTCCGGTTATCTTACGGAATTTTTCACGAAATTTGTGCTTTTTGATCAAATAGAACTGAGCACGAGATTTTGATGCTTGAGAGTTTTAAGATTCAGGCTTGTCGTCACGCTCTTCAATCGACCACCAAGAGAAGACGCTACGAAACCAAAAATTGTCAGCCTCACCGAGTCTTCTCGAGATAACCAGAGCAAGAGGCTTCAATAAAAAATTTACTTCTTTAAATTCAATAAGTACCAATCATCCCGATCGAAAGAGCCGATTTTTAAGTTGAACTTCAATGGAACCCTGAAATCGCCGGAGCTCCCATTATTTATTGTTGCCAGCTCGTCGGGTCCACATTAACGGTCCGGCGTTTTTTTGCGGTGAGGACCAATAAAAGTGGCCCGGCAGTAATCGCATAAGGCCCGAACCCAGGCCACAAATAAGCTTCCTGCGACTGCAATAAATTTCAGGACCACGGGAACCTTATTTGAAAATTTTTCGAGCTTCCTGTGCCGTACGACCCCAAAAATTTCGATAATCTAGTTTCAGATCTCTCACTCTCACTCTAGCTCTCGCTCTCACTCTCTCTCTCTCTCTCTCTCTCTCTCTTTCTCTATCTAGCCCCCTCACTCCCTCTCTCGCCCTCTTCTTCGACAGTCGAAAATTTCAGAATTTCCGAATATGGACCTGAACGGAAGTCCAGGCCCTATCATGAACAAATCCGATGCCACCTTGCCGGACACAGATTATTCTGAATTCACGCCAAATGGTTGCGGATATTATTTCTATGAATATGGATTATTTTATTCAAATGAGTATGGCAGTATCACCGACTGGGACGGGCTGCCAATTCGGGACGACGAAAATGAACGCAGTGTTTATTTCATATTTGGGGCTATGTGCCTTGTAAGTGAAGTCGAGTTAAATTAATATACTTTTAGTACGCTCCAATTATTATCTTTATTAATATCTATTGTATTAAATTGATATATTGCCGGAAGACTCTGACAAGAAGCGTGAAGTTCATCCTGATCCTTGACTCGGGATGTAGATTGTTTGAGGGCTTCGCGACTGTTTATAAAGCGCCATGTCTGTTAAAGTAAGCTTATCCTCGGATTTTGGCAATTATTCAAAACATAAATATATATAAACATAAAATAAATCGGCTACGGTTCACTTTGCCCCCCCCCCCCCCCCCCAGCCGGAAGTTTTCGGCCATAACTTTTTTATTTTACATTATCGTAGGCTCAAATTAATACTTTTCTTATATTTTTCCAGCTCTATCGAATGGCGTTGCAAGAATCCCGACAAAATAAGCGAAAATACCGAAAACTTTGAGACCCTTCGGCTGTGGGGGGAGGGGTAAAGTAAACTCTTACCAATATATCTAAGTTTGCGGCTTTTAGCTATTGGTGCGTCGAGGTATCTGCGCCTTACTTAAGCAATGTAATCATCACATCTCTGCAAATTGGGATGACCTATTCAATGCAACTCCTTGGCAACGCTTTATCGATTAATAGGTATCGTTTTTATTTTTTCATTTTTCGCGTCTTGTAATAGCCACGATAACGAGCAGTTTAACGTTTCTTCTTACTTACAAGGAGACGTTTTTTAGTGTGAATGGAGTTTTAAGTTGAAACCAGGCCTATTCTGTGCAGAATTTCGCGCTGATTCCAATGCTGTTTTCCAATTTTGCTAAATGGCTCGATTTAAAAAGTTACAGCTATTTTAAGATAATTTTTAGGCCCAGAATAGCCATGTACTATCCTGTGCTAATTTTTTGTTATAACGTTTTAATTTTGTTTAAGTAGCCTATCTTGTAGAGAATTGTTTTTCTGATTCGAATGGTATATCTGATTAGTGCGCTACTGCCTATCGACGATGGCTTACAGGGGTGAGAAATAGGCTGTTTTTCTCCATTGCCCATACAAAAATCGCAGCCCATACCAAGTATCGTCGATTTTTTCGATTTTCAACAATTTTGAGTTAAATAGCTCATTCGATAGAGAAAATTTTTCTGAATACGGTGACGATATTTATTTTTGGAAAAACAGCCGGGAAAAGCAATATAATGGTCCCTAAAGACGGGAAAATTTGGGCTAAAATGGTCTTAAAATTGCTATAACTTTTGAAATCGAGCTATTTAGCAGAAATGGAAAACATATTCGGAATCAGCGCAAAATCACGCACAAAATAGGCCTGGTTTCCACTCAGAACTCCATTCACACCAAAAAACGTCTCCTTGTTAGTACAATTTCAAAGATTCCAGATTTTTCGCAATATTTTTTGACGGCCGATTCTATAGCATTGCCGAGCAGGCAGCGATTCCACATGCACTAATTGTTTGGGCGCTGCCCTTATTTGTGTTCTGTTTTTCGATCGGAAACCGTGAGTTTTCGTTAATTTTCAATATTGCTAAATCATTTTGCGACATATTTTTTTGAAATTGTATTTTATCGAAATTTGGTTTTGTCGAAATTTGATCCTATCTTGATCTCTAAATCTCAATTTCTAAACGTTTCCACAAAAAGGAGCCAATTAAAATAACTAAAACATTAAGAACAAAGTTCTTCGAGTCGATCATTTGGCAAGAAACCTGTCAATAGTATCCTTTTGTAGTCTACAACCCGCTACAAAAGTTTACCTGCTACGGTGGGCTGCATTGGGACCCGCAGAACTATACAAATATTATTTTGTACTCGTGGAATTCGTTTATATTTGATATAGTTATCATGAACATTGATTATGTTATGGCGGGCGTACTCGTGTTCTCACTAATCCTGGATTTGGTGACGCTGTTTAAGCTCAGGAAATTTGTAAGCAATTGGATTGTATTTAGGGTGGCCGATCATCTGTTCGAAATTCACCTGTTCGAAAATCACCTGTTCGAAAATCATCTGTTCGAAAATCACCTGTTCGAAAATCACGTATTCGAAAATCGCCTGTTCGAAAAGACACCTGTTCGAAAAATCATCTGTTCGAAAAATTTGCATGTGGAATTGCATAGAAATAGTACCAAAAATGACCATTTTCGAACACACGGTTTTCGAACAGGCGACTTTTCGAACAGGTGTCTTTTCGAACAGATGACTTTTCGAACAGACGTTTTTCGAATAGATGATTTTTCGAACAGATGATTTTCGAACAGGTGATAGGGAATCACACTAAATACGATTCTAGATTTTATTCTATCTAGATTGAAGCTCTAGATTCCAAATATTGAAAAATTTTTTAGACTATTTTTAACTTGTCAATTAAAACCTTTATCAATAGAAGGTATTGGGCACTATAAAATTCTTATCCAAAATTAATTTTTTTTATACCCGGTTTTCTAGGTCCAAAGAGGAGACAAGAAACGCAGAGCCGACCGGAAACTTACTGTAATGGTAATAGATACCTGGCTCCTGAATTCAATCGGTGCAATTTTTTAGTTGATCGTGACCCACATCATCACGGCTATATTCTTGATTGGAAATTCGATTACCCGATACCTTCGACCGACTCTTGTTCTTACCCCGGTGCTTACGTATATCTGTAATGAGGGGGCCCCAGTTATTGGGCATATCATTTTCACGTGAGTTGTCTATTAACGGGACCAGGAAGGACCGGAATCGCCCAATGAAGATGGCTGGTTATGGACAGTTATGCATCAAGTCAAATTACGCGTGAAATTTTTGTGACAATCCTGCATCACATGTCGTAAAACATTAATTGATGCGCACTGCGTAGCTGTCCATATCCAGCCAGTTTCTGGCTTCTCAGTACCTTTGACCGATAACAATCTTTTTCAGTCTCGTCGTCACCTACTTCAACCGTACTCCTCGCGAAAATTCCAAGAATCCGAAGATTATCAGCGTCACCGAGTCGGGGCGTGATCAGTCTAGCCCGAGGAAGTGACTTTTGTGAATCTCATTTGGCTTCTTTTACTGGGTTGTGAATCGCATAATAAATCAATTGGCAGGAAATAAAACATCGCAGTAAATTTCAGGGCTGCTGCCCGGGCATTCGGATTTCCATGAAAATCAGAATCGTATGTTTGGGCCTACGCTTCTCACTCTCTCTCTCTCTCTCTCTCTCTCTCTCTCTCTCTCTCTCTCTCTCTATCTCTCTCTCTATCTCTCTCTCACTCTCGCTTTCTCTCTCTCTCTCCCGTTCTCTCTCTCTTTCACTCACTCTCGCTTTCTTTCTCTCTCTCGCTCTCCCTCACACACTCTCTCTCTCTCTCTCTCTCTCTCTCTCTCTCTATCGCTGTCTCGCTGCCGTTCCCGCGCTCTCGCTCGCCCGCCCTCTATCTCGCGCGCTCTATCTCCCCTCATCGCCACATATCCGCGCGAAAAATCGGTACCTTTGGGCTCCACATTAAACTTCTCAATTTATATTGGAAAACCACACAGTTGCTTTAGAGGTGTGCGATACCGTAGTTTCCAAGTGTTCCACGCATTTTTCGAGTCCACCAAATTTATTCGACAGCCCCACATCACCTCACAATCACATCACAAACAAGCACACAGCGACAATGTTGCACAACACTTTTCCGACCAGGCGTATTTAGTGTTGAGACCTAATTTTACAAGTAAATGGATAGATAGATTTGTGAATGGATGGATGGATGGATGGATGGATAGATGGATGGATAGATGGACGGGGGCTTCGATGGATGGCGAGTACGGTGGAATGGCGAGACTTCTAGACTTGGGGCTTTTCGTTGAAGGCCTTCGGGTTCTTGGACGGCATCCAGGGGCGCTTCTCGTTGCTGTCGCCTGGAAAAGAAAGATTAGAGATAGAGAGAGGGAGAGAGATAGAGTGAGAGATAGAGAGAGATCCAGCAAAATAGAGAAAGAAATAGGAGAGAGAGGAAGAGAGAAAGAGAGAGAGCGAGAGCGAGAGAGAGACTCACTCTTCGGCTCGCGACGCGACTCATTGCTGGATGCCCGGTTGGCCGTCTTGCCCCTGTTGCGTCTGCGGACGATGACGCGGACGACTAAAACACATCCATCTACTTTCAAGCGAAAAAACGCACGCAGTGCAAAAAGCGCGATGACCACCACGATGCCGATGATGGAGCAGGAGATGATCATGATCACCTGACCGCGGTGAAGTCGGCGATCTGGAAAATGGGCCATTAGTGTGTCTACGGTAGATATCCGTACATTCGCATTCCCCATCCGTTTTCACGTTTTTCACGTCCTCGATGGTTTGGCATTCGCCTGCGCACGCGATCTGGCCCTCTTTTGGGCATTCTGAAACCGCAAGCTTCTGTCTTCGACGATTCTAAGCAAATCCCCACGTGCAAAATAGCAGATCGTCCTGTTTTCCTCGTCGAAGCTCATCGACGTGATCCTGTCGAACCCGATGCACGTGTAGTCATTTCCGGCCCAGCAGGCGAGTGTGTTATCCATTCCGGCACACTCCTTCGCCGGCTTCAGTCCTGGAATTCAAAAGTCAAAAAGCGGAGATTGATCTTCGTACGCGGCAGCTCGTTCGGGTTGATGAGGTGGCATTGGTCTTCGTTGATGATCGTCTTGATGTGCCAGTAGGGGACGCAGACTTTCTTGTTGCCCCTGTCGCGGATGTTGCACGGTTGATGATCATCGGGACAGCCTGAAAAACAGGAATGACTCCTTGCTCTCTCCCCCTCGCACTCTCTCTCTTTCTCTCTCTCTCTCACCGTACCCTCGAAGCCGCACACCCCGGTCCGGTCGTTGTACCGCGTCAGCGTGGAGTCCTTCTGATCCGGGGTCCACACGAACTGACACGACTTCTCGTTCTCCCCACAGTCGACATAGCCGATGGGGCATACTGAAAGAAGCTGGTTGAATTCAGCTTTGATAACTACCGGTGGATTCATTCGACGCCTGACAGGCCCCCTTCTCGTTGATGGAGGTGATGAAGGAGAAGAACGTGCAGTAGGGTTTCCCGCCAGGCCCTCCTCCGGTGCATGGATAGGTTGAGGGTTGCTTGGGACAAGCTGCAAAAAGGATCAAATTCAACGTGATGTATACCGGTCAAGGTGCAGAGCATCGTCGTATGGTTGTACCCTGAAAGCGACTTTCCCGGCACGCAGATCGGGGTACCGCGTGTTCCGCAATCCACCTGATTCGCATACGGGCACCCTAAAAGTGGCGGTGCTAATCTTACTTAGCCGAAACTCACCCGCCCATTTCCATTTACTGGGGAGTGTACCCTCGCTGAGCATGCCGAATGGGACACATGCCTTGAGGACGCCAACGGAGAGCTGGGCATGATCCGGCGGGCAATCTGGAATGACCTATTGGTTTTGCTCATGCCTAGAGGATCGAGGAGAGGACTAGTGTTAAGGCCACCTGTCATTTCACAAAGTCCAGCTGTCGCATTCTTCAGCAACTCGGGCTCGATGCAGATAGGTTCTCCATCCTTCCCCGGGCAAGCGACTGCGCGGCTACTGCATTTCGGTGACTTTGTCGACGACATGCAGAGGACGGCGTGTAGGAGCATCACGAAGGCACACAAACGAGCGGGCGCGGAACGCAGGGGAAGAAGGACCATTGACCTGTAAATCGAGTGGTGCCATTGGTTTAATTGTGGCTGAGTCCTTAGCATGCCTAATTAGCATGAACGCAAATTGGGGGGAAAAGCAAAAACCAACCTTCAACCGCCAACAGACGAAGGAAAATGAAACAACGTCGGACGGCCGGGACCGCTGCACCCCGGATCTTTATGCAAATGTATGTGCAGGCATGCAAAATAGTCGCTTCCGTACCACATGCGCATGGTATATACAAATCACGCGTTTTGTTGATTTTCACTATGCGGGTTTGTAGAATGTGCGTGCAAGTCATAGTATGGATCTGGCGTACAGCAGTGAATTCAACCAGTTTTTTTAGTTGTTTGCAGTACTTAAGACACTCGCTTCTTATCGTGGACCTTACATTGGAAGCTTTATTTCATCATGCAAATGCCCTTTGGGGGACTTTCATACTAAGAAATCGTTTCCGGGACTTAGTTGATCAACAAGATGGCGATGGCTGAAATGATGGAAAGCCAGGACGAGCGGTAGCACGAAGCCTTTCCTGAAAGGATGAGCTACATGTATCGTAAGCACCTCGCGTGCTTAGATCGGCACCGTTGGATAATACATGAAAATACGTAGAACGACCTTGTGCTCCGGTTTTCTCCTGCGCCGCAGCGGCAGGATTGGCCATCGCGGCGGCCTTTTCCTCCGGCGTGGCACGAATGCATTCAAAACCAGTGGGATGCCAGGTGACCTCCTTCAGATCGTCGTAGGGAATGCATTCCGTTTCGTTTCCCACTTTGCACGGGTGCGTGCCGGGTTTATACTCGCAGCCTAGATAGCATAGGCTCGTCATTGTTGCATGACGTTAAAAGGTTAAACTAAAAGATTTAACTTGGCCCAAAAATTAAAAAAAAAGAAGAAAGGTCGAAGATGAACAAGAAACCTTTGGCGATGCAGCCTCCCATGCTGATATTGTAGTCACTGACGTCGCTGCGGGTGAGGCAGATCGGGGTCCACGTGCCGCAATCCACCTCGTTCTCCTTCGTACAACCTGTGTCAGCGCATTATCATTGGGGGATTGGACTCGAACTTATTTTTCCTAACGGTCCAGAGCTGTCTATCAGGTTGGAACGAAAGTTCTGTCGTCGAGAATTTGGAAAGCTGGCTAAATTAGTAGATGGCTCCATTCTGGAGATGTGATATGTCATTTTGTAGCTCCCGACCTAAATTGTTTCGGTAAGAGAGTCCTGGACCTCTAGAAGACACAAAATCACCCAAAAGCGTTTTTGCAAGTTATCTTTACATAGAGCCATTTACATGCGATGTCATCAACGCTAATCGATAGCTCTCGAGGTGGAGATATCGATAGATGTTGAGATCATCAAAATTGGATACTGGGTGGCCAAGGTATGGCCCCTTGAAATATGGCCCACTTCTTAGAACTTTTCCCGACTTCCCATACATTTTTTCAAAATCCGTTCCGCTAGTCCAAAAATAAAACGGCAATTTTTGGCGCCTATCCATCAAACTTTTGGAAATGTTGTTGTTTTGGAGTTGAACATTTCCACCCTGGTTTATATTAAAAAAAACTGGATGCTCACCTAAAATTTCAAGTCACTATGACCGTAAATTGCCAATTTATGCTGTTTATTTTTTGCGATGTCCTGGAACTCACCCTCCCACATCCAAAAATCGGTGAGCGTGGCATTGATGAGGCGGTTGGCCGGGGCGCACGTGATCACAGAGTCGTTTAAGCTGGGCAAACGTTTACTCCTCCCCCACCCCAATATTCCAAAAGGGTCGATATTTCGTGTTTTTTTCAGGGTTTTTACGTCATCCAATAAGCATCAAAAACTAGCTAGGAGCTTCAACCACAGTTCAAAATAGCGTGCTAGAAAAAATATGCAGTGAAAGCCAGTTTCCGACATTCTCAAATTTTCATACAAAAATTCTTTCACGCCATTCTATGGAGCGTCAAAAAAATATATTAATAGTTTCAATTTCAATCGAAAATAGTGTGAAATTCAATTTTGTAAATATTAGCTTTTTGTTGCAATGATAGTGGCCGCCTAAACATCTTTAAAAATTTTAGGCCTTGGTGTTTGGGCGGGGATGGGGGTCAAAGTAAACGTTTACCTAAACTTGATCCGGGCCTCCTCCGCCGGGCAACCTAAAAAAGTAGGGACTGGACTGCTAGCAGAGGGAGGGAGGGCTTAAGTGCAGCTTATCCCCCCCCCCCCCATAGCCGACCCCACCTACAGTATCTCGGCTCCCCGTTTATCTATAGGTGCATTAAGTATAGCAAAATGCTCGCCAGATCAAGACGAACATTTTAGTATACTTTACACACCTGTAGATGAACAGTGAGCCGACATACAAAAGTTGGGGGCCGGCCGGGGTGGGGGGGGGGATCTGGAGTCTACCGTGCTTCCAATTAAAAGCTATAAAAAATCTGTCAAAGCTAAGGTAAGTTTTTTGTGAACTGCCGTGATTTTAATCATTTTTGCGAACTTGCGATAATTAAAGAGCGTAACAGCTTTATAACGGTTGTGTCTTTCTCTTTTGGAACCCGGCGGATCGATAGGACAACGTTAATATTTTCCGGTTAAAAGTACCCTTGAAAAGACAGCCAGGGAGATCCGGGTCCACAAGCGCAGTTTTCATCGTGCAAAACGGGGCCCCATCCTTTCCGGAACACACCTTCGACCACTGCGCACAACCTAATAAGCTAGCTGGTTAAGGTGGACCCGACAACTCGGACTTGGACACCCTGGTTCGGCACAAAAATCTGGAGGAACGGTGATATTCAGGGCGTTGAGCCGGCCGCTGTAGAGGACGAGCACGAGCAGGTAGACGAACAGCATAGCTCAAAACCTGTCAAAAAAAAACTTCTACTTGGGATGCCCGACAAACCAAAAGCTATACCGCAACAAGCGAAAATAGCCGAGATATTTTCCTTACATTCAAATAGATTTGCACGTGCAGATACCTGAGTCCAATCGTTTATTCAAAAATGGACCGAAGATACATGAAAAATGTTAAATTTTTGTGGGTCCATATAAGCTTTTCAAGGTCCAAAACAGTTTTTCGAGTCCACCAAATTTATTCGACAGCCCCACATCACATCGCAATCACATTACAAACAAGCACACAGCGACAATGTTGCACAACACTTTTCCGACCAGGCGTATTTAGTGTTTAAACGTAATTTTACAAGTAAATGGATAGATAGATTTGTAAATGGATGGATGGATGGATGGATGGATGGATGGATGGATGGGGGGCTCCGATGGATGGCGAGTACGGTGGAATGGCGAGACTTCTAGACTTCTAGACTTGGGGCTTCTCGTTGAAGGCCTTCGGGTTCTTGGACGGCATCCAGGGGCGCTTCTCATTGCTGTCGCCTGGAAAAGAGAAATAGAGAGAGATAGAGAGAGGCAGAGAGAGAGAAAGAGAGATAGAGCGAGAGAGAGAGAGCGAGAGAGAGAGAAAGAGAGCGAGAGAGAGAGAGAGAGAGAGAGAGAGAGAGAGAGAGAGAGCTACGTACTTTTCGGCTCACGGCGCGATTCATTGCTTGATGCCCGGTTGGCCGTCTTGCCCCTGTTGCGTCGGCGGACGATGACGCGGACGACTAAAGGTAACGTAAATTTAGGTACTTCTCTTAAGAATCGCTGCTAGCCTACCCTTAGGTGCTCAAGAAACTCACGCAATGCAAAAAGCGCGATGACGACCACGATGCCGATGATGGAGCACGAGATGATCATGATCACCTGGCCACGGTGAAGTCGGCGGTCTGGAAAAGTGACCATTGGTGTGTCTACGGTAGATATCCGTACATTCACATTCCCCATCAGATTTCACATTTTTCACGTCCTCGATGGTCTGACACTCGCCTGCGCACGCGATCTGGCCCTCTTTTGGGCATTCTGAAAACGCAAGCTTCGTCTCCTGTGATTCTAAGCAGCGCCTCACGTGCAAAGTAGCAGATCGTCCTGTTTTCCTCGTCGAAGCTCATCGACGTGATCCTGTCGAACCCGATGCACGTGTAGTCATTTCCAGCCCAGCAGGCCAGCGTGTTGTCCATTCCGGCACACTCCTTCGCCGGCTTCAGCCCTGAAATGCAAAACTCGAAAGCGGAAGTTGATCTCCGTACTCGGCAGCTCGTTCGGGTTGAAGAGGTGGCATTGGTCCTCGTTGATGATCGTCTTGATGTGCCAGTAGGGGACGCAGACTTTCTTGTTGCCCCTGTCGCGGATGTTGCACGGTTGATGATCATCGGGACAGCCTGAAAAGCAGGAATCGCGCCTTGCCCTCTCTCTCGCACTCTCTCTATCTCTCTCTGTCTCTCTCTCCCTCTCCCTCGCTCTGTGTCTCTTTCCCTCGCTTTTTTCCTACTCTCTCCCTCACGCTCGCTCTCTCGCTCTCTCTCTGTCTCTCTCTTGCTCTCTCTCGTTCTCTCTCGCTCGCTCTCTCACTGTACCCTCGAAGCCGCACACTCCCGTCCGGTCGTTGTACCGCGTCAGCGTGGAGTCCTTCTGATCCGGGGTCCACACGAACTGGCACGACTTCTCGTTCTCCCCACAGTCCACGTATCCGATGGGGCATACTGAAAGAAGCGGGTTGAGTTCCGATTTTGATAGCTACAGGTGGATTCATTTGACGCCTGGCAGGCCCCCTTCTCGTTGATCGAGGTGATGAAGGAGAAGAACGTGCAGTAGGGTTTCCCGTTGGAACCTCCGGTGCACGGAAAAGTGGAGGGCTGCTTGGGACAGGCTGTAAAACCGGATGCAGCTCATAAGCTGGATATACCGGTCAAGGTGCAGAGCATCGCGGTGTGGTTGTACTGTGAAACCAATTTGTCCTGGACGCAGATCGACGTGTCGCGCGTCCCACAGTCCACCTGGTTCGAGTAAGGACATCCTAAATAGGGGAGTGCTGAGCCGGCTCCCCCATATATACCTGTCCATTTCCAAGCATCAGGCAGTCTGCCCTCGCTGAGCATACCGAACGGCACACAGGCTTTGAAGTCTTCGTTCACAAGCCGCGCATGACCGGGCGGGCAATCTGGAAAAGAACCCAACCGTCCATAAAAAACTTCGGATACCTTTCAGCTCGCATAGTCCCGAAGTTTCATTCCGCAACAGAGTTTTAGGCAAACAGACGGGCTGCCCATCCTTCCCGGGGCAAGCCACGGCCGTGGAACCGCACTTCGGGGACGACGTCCAAGCCTCATCCGCCAATCCTTGGGACAACGTCGCCGAGACTGCCAGGCACAGGCAGAGAGCCCGAGCGAGATGTCCGAGCATTGGGCTGAAAATTAACATTATAGTACAATTTGCATACCTAACTAGCGCAATACCAAAAGAAATATGACCAACCTTCCGAGCTCGGCGAATGCAGAAAATGAATTACCAACAAGGCCGCACTTCCCAATGTATGAGGTTAATTTGCATATGAAAATTGAACACCTTCCGAGCGATAAGCTAATGAATTTGGCGCCCTCAGTAAAATTGTGATTGCAGTTCAAAGTAGTATGATGTCCCCCCAAGTACATTCCTCTACATGCATTTATTCATGCAAAAAGCGATAGTACTGTATTATGCTTTGTATAATTCGCTAATATGTGCTGATGATCAGTTTCGTAGCAAGCATTGCGAGTGTCGAGATAATGATGATCCAAACTCGGCTGGAGGGCGACGATTTCGCTAAAAACGCGAATTGTGTTTCGTTTGGATGTGATTGATGGTTTTGGGCAGCTGAGCGTATAAGCAAATTTGTTCTTTGCTACTATTCATGAACGTTGAAGGAAAAAACCTTGGGCCTGGGGCTTCTCCTCGGGGGCGGCATTAGCAGCCGCGGCTGCAGCCTTGTCCTCCGGCGTGGCGCGAATGCACTGATTACCATCCCAGGTTGCATTGATCGACTTCAGGTCGTCGTAGGGGATACATTCCACCACGCCTTCCACCATGCACGGGTGCGTACCGGGTTTATCGGGACCGCAGCCTAAAAAAAAGGCAAATTTTAAAAGCCACGACCGCACCTATGGCGATACAGCCTCCTTTGGTGATGTTGTAGTCCTCGAGCGCCTCCGCCGACACGCAGAGTGGAGCCCACGTGCGGCAATTGATCTCCTTTTGCTGCGTACAGTCTAACGCAAACATTAAATAGCGTTATGCATGGCTGCACTCACCCTCCCACATCCAACGCATGCTGAGTGAAGCATTGACGATGCGGTTGAGCGGTACGCAGGTGATATTCCCGAAGGTTAGTTGGATTTTTACCTCGTTCGATGGGCAACCTAGAGCAGTACTATGTTTCTGTAGAAGATCCCAGTAAAGGATTACTCGGAAATTTTGCTTTTCGACTCTAAAACTCCGGATTTTCCAATTTTGCAGCTTTGTACATTCAAAGACGAAATCGAAAGTTGGGCACTTTATCTCAGAAACTGAGTTAGGCCTTTAAGACCGTCCAAAAAACTTTCCAGCAATTTCTGATGCAAGAAAATAATTTTCCATAGGTTAGCGAGAAATGGGGGTAAGTACCGTAGCCAAGAGCTTTCTGTAGCTTTCCCACCGGTGAAGCTGCAGTCGGGGGCCTCCGGATCGACGAGGTTCTTTTTGAGCGCGCAAATTGGCTGACCGTGCTTTCCGGGGCACACCTTCCAGTATTCCGCACAATCTGACACATTAGTCATACTGTGTCCATCCTGGAATACAAACATGGGCATCCGGGCTCGGCACAAAAATCTGAAGAAACCGTCGGATTCTGGGCGCCGTGCTCGCCAGTGTAGAGGACGAGGAAGAGAAGGTAGACGAACAGCATGGCTCAAAACTTGTCAAAAAGTTTAGTGGAGATGGCAACCAACCAAAATCTACGCGGTAGCTTAAAAATCGGTCATCCATGGCCGAATTCGACCAAAGGATTCAAATAAGATTCTAGAAAACGAATTGTTTATTCAAAGATATTTTTTGGCATTTTTAACTTTGATGAATTATGTTTCTATTCCTCTCTCTTCCTTGAGGTTCTTCCAGTCATAAATTTTCTTGCCAGCCACACTCGTCACAAATAATTTTCTCCGAATTTCAGCGATGTCTAGGCCTGACGCGAAGTCAGAAGCCGATAAGGAGATCGGGAAACTGAAGTGCAGGGGAACGGGCAGAGTCTGGAAGACATATATAAGGTGATGTAGTTTCCGATGCTCAGATTCGGATTCCCTGACCCCGACCTGATCAAAATGCGCTCAATTTCCGGATTTATCTTCGTAATTTGGTGTCTCGCGTACCGTTGGGATGCCCTGAATATTCTAATGTACAACCCCGGCATGGGGCATAGTCATATGAAATTTATGGGCGGAATGGCGGACATATTGACGGCTGCGGGACATGTTGTGGTATGTTTTAGCTTTGTGGTAATTTTTATTATTGTAATTTTTAAAGTTTTGTGAAAAAGACAATGCTTGATTGGGCATTAAAAGTTTTAAACACTTTAAAAATAATTTTACCCAAATAAATTTTTTTCCTAGCTCGTTTCGGACTTGGAAGTTGATTAAAAATATCTGAATTATACTTCATAAAACCTAAAAAACGCAGCATAAAAATGTAAAAAACGTTATAATTGTCTCTAATTTACGGTATTTTAGGCATGGAGCTTTGCAAAACAAAAATTTCACCCTTTCCAAAAGTTTAACGCGCTTTTTTTAGTTAGTGAAGGTAATGTAAACTCTGTCACGAAAGGAAAAATTCATTTTCGGAAGTATAACTTCCAGACAGAAATCCGACCCCTAATGGACCCACACGCCAAATGGGAAGGTGTCTCGAAAAGCAAGAACTTCCTGCATTACCCAATTGACAAGGAAGTGCTGCGATTCAGGGTAAGTTTAATTAATTTTCTCTGTCTTTCGCTCTCTCTCGCCCTCTCTCTTGCTCTCTTTCTCTCTCACTCTCTTTACCTTGGTCTCTCTATTTCTCTCACCAATTAGCTTTTCTCTGTTAATGTCCAAAAAAACTATTCAGGCAGCAATGGAAAACGACCCGAACTTGTGCATGGCGCAATTGTGGGCAAAAGATATGACGCCGTTCGAGATGGCAAAGGTCCGCTGAAAATCGCAGTTTGCAAATACGTCTTTAGATGACCGAAAACATGACGTTCAGTTTTGCACGGATGTGCGAGCGTGCTGTGTTCGAGACGGATCTGCTCGTAACTTTGAAGAGCCAGAAGTATGATGTCGGAATCAGCGAGGCGATGGGATGGATGATTGCGGGCATGGTATGTGGTGAGAGAGAGAGCGAGAGAGAGAGGCAGTGATACAAATACGCATTTTTAGGTATCTTCGAAGCCATCGGTTTGAAGACAGTTATCGCCGCTTCGAGCATGAATGTTATGGATCATCAGGCTGGACTTTTCGGCATTCCACGACATTATAGCTATGTTCCAGGTGAGGTTGTATACAATTCATGGATCTTGCCTATCTCTCCCTCTCGCGCTCTCTCTCACTCTCTCTCTCGCATTCGTCCTCCCCCTCTCTCTTACATAAGCGATAATAATGTTAGGTAGCATGGGGAACTCCAAGGAGCAAATGAACACATGGCAACGAGGGCTAAATATGTTCGGCTCGTTTTTTGAATCACGAATGATGGACGGGGTTATGGCAGCACAAGATGCTGTCTTCAAAAAGCATCTAGGCGCCGGGTTTCCGGATTTGAAGGTGGGTTGGATACCTTTCCGGGTTTTAGTCTAATCGCCGAACAGAGAGAGAGCGAGAGAGAGAGAACCTAATTAAAAATATACTTTCAGGACATCGTCGCCCGATCAGCTATTTTGTTCACCAATACCCAACCCTACATCGAATTCCCAAGAATTCACAAAGTGGTAGACTTGGGTGGTATCCACATCAAGGAAGAATTGCCGGCACTTACTGAGGTATCAAGGCATACCTTACTAACACGTTTTTCGTAATTTGCAGCGTAACGTAGTTTTGCCGTACGTTCATAAAACATTTTAGGAATGGAACAACGTCCTCTCTAAACAGCCGAAAACCGTCCTGATCTCATTTGGCTCCGTCGCCAAATCATTTTTGATGCCCATCACCTACAAAAAGGCAATTGTCGAGGCAGTTCGAGAGCTGTCAGGTATGTCGCCATGGCCTCTCCTTAATTCTGAAACATTTTAGACGTCCAATTCATCTGGAAGTACGAAGGGGATGATTTGAGTTCATGGGACCTACCTGAAAATTTGTACCTGAGCAAGTGGACTCCACAGACTGCGTTGTTGGGTAAGAGGAACCTCGAGTTTGTTTTAAAGGGACCTGGAAGGCTAAACCAACGCGTTAATTGCGTCCAGGTCCCTTGAAAATTCGTTTTTAGCGGACCCTCGTCTTAGCCTATTTGTTAGCCATGGGGGACTTGGAAGTACGATGGAAATTGCTTACAGGTAAGCGGTCTCTCCATCTCGCTCTCTCTCCATCTCTCTCTCTCACTCTCTCTCCCTCTCTCTCTCGGGCCCTTTACAATATCGGAATTCTAGTGGAAAACCAGCGATCGTCATCCCTCTCTTCGCCGATCAGCCCCGGAATGCCCAGATGCTAAAACGACACGAAATTGTCGAAATCATGTCTAAATTTGACTTGGCGGACAGCCAAAAGCTGAAAAATGCAGTTCAAGCAATGCTGAACGATGAAAGGTTCGCCATATTCTTTCCTTGGAACTTGCCATTTCAGCGCACAAAAGAAAGCCGCTCACATCTCTTCCATGCTAAAGCATGCTCCACTGAAGCCAAAAGACCTCTTGTTGAAGAATGTGGAATTTGTGGCAAAGTAAGTTTAATCTTAATTTTTAGGTTTTGCATCAATATCCAAAAAATTTTAATTTTTTTTCTAAATTCTAAATTTTTTTTTTAGATTCGGCTCCCTGCCCCAACTCGACCCTCACGGACGGCAGCTCTCCTTCATCCAGTATTTCTTGTTGGACGTTCTCGGTGCTCTGCTTCTTTGCGCTCTCTCCATTCTCACAGTGGTCTACTTCGTCCTCAGGAGAATCTACCGCTTTTTCGTGCCAAAAACGAAGACGAAAAGCGATTAGTCTTCTAGTCAAAATTGGGCCGTCATATCGATCTCAGATTAGGAGCTAATAAATTATTCTGATTTGACTGAGCAACAGGTCCAAAAATATCGTTTTTCTCTCAGTCTCACTCTCGCTCTCACTCTCACCCTCTCTCTCACCCTCACTCTCAGTCGCCCTCTGTCACTCTTTCCCTCTCTCTATCTCTGTCGTTCTCTCTCTCCCTCTCTCTTTCTCTCTCTATCTGTCTCCCTCTCTCTCTCTCTTCTCTCTCTCTCTCTCTCTTTCTCTCTGCGCTTTATTGTTTCTCTTCTCTAGTTTTTCTCTCAAAATTTTACAACAAAATTTATCAAAATTAAAAAGTAACACGAAACAAAGTATTTTACTGGCGGCAGGGAGCGGAAGGCGAAGGCTTGGAAGGCACAAATAGGAAAAGACTCGAAAGGGTATTTCCGATTAGCATAAGACGGGACAGACCAAGGGGTGCACTAACGGTTCGTCAAGAGAAGTGCCAGGGGAAATGGTTAAATTTCAAATTAAACTTAAAAACAGCATTTTTCTGGACCTCGTAGCACAAGCAAAAAACAATAGACAGGGACGGCAATACCTATATTTAAATTATATTGAATTAAATTAAATAATCGGAAAAAATTGCATAAAAGCTTCAATAGGTGGACAGAGAGACCAATTGTTCAGGCAAACAAAATCGAGATGTAAAAATTCCAGAAATTCGCGGCAGTGTGTTTTTTGTGTGGTTGCGTAGGGAGTGGAAGAATTTGAGATTGTGCGCATGGCATTCTTTGGGGGGAGCACCAGAATTAAGTAGGAATTGAGGAGTTATATTCGCGTTTAATAGGCCGGGTTGAACGACTGGCCGTGCTCGCAGTTGCTGTAGTAGTCGATGCGGCGGTCGATGTCGTGTTGTACCTGGAAAATAGAAAATTGATTTTCTGAGCTTTGTTGCGGATTCAATTAATTTTTAGCCAAGGTAGCGGCTAACCATTAGTTTAATTAATGCCGACATTCAAAATGCCGACAGTTTAAATCCCGACTCCGTAATGCCGACAGTCAAAATTTTCGACAAAACTGATCTCGCAAGAGAATTATTTTTGGGTTTTTTTTGGTAGCAAGCATGCATATTTCTATGGGCGCGTTGTTGTTATTCCAGATTTTCGACGTTTTCGCTTGTCGACATTTTTGCTGATGTCGGTATTTTGAGCTAATGCTTTTTATTCCCCAGCCAGAATTTTTACAAAAAAATTACTTGATTTGATAATTCAGTTTATGCTGTTAAATGGTTATCAAACGCTTTTAAATTCGCCATTAAATGATAATCGTAATTTTCTGATCTTGATCTCCACCTCCTGACCGATATAACCCTAAAAATGCTCTACTTACCGTCGTCAACCGCTGGTTGAGCTGATCGAGAACCTGGACGTAGTCGGCCAGCTGGAGCTCTGTCGAGTCCTTGGTGAGAGCTGAAAAAGGGGTTGATAAGAATAATTCATTATTTGCAAGTATTCTCTTCTGGCTTGCCCTAGCCAAAGTCAAATAATCGCTGCTAGTTTGCCACGATCAAAAAAATCCCAAATTTTCCGCCACTCACCAGAAATGTCGCCATTGTACTTCTTGGCCTTGTAGAGGAGATTATGAGCACGTTGTCTCAGCTCTTCAGCTCGCTTCTGCGGCGCTTCATTTCCTTCTGTCCTTTCCACAAGCAACTTTCTGGCGGTAGCCATGTCGTTCTCGATCTGCTTATTCTGAGCCTCGGCTGTTGCGGCGGCTTGTTGGGCCTTATCGACCGAGGTATAAGCCGACTTGGCGTCGTCAGAGATCTAGAAAGCGTGTTATTGGAGCAAGGCGGGTGAGCGTAGCTAAATCTGATTCTTAGCTTTATTTTCAAGCTGTTCAGGACACCGGGAACTCCAAAAATTAATCGTACCTGTAAGTATTGGACGCGAACTTTCTTCAAATCAGCTTCAAGCTTTGCCATGGTCTCGTTGGCCGACTTGGCGCGTCCCTCGGCTTCTTCTGTCTCAGTCTTGGCGGATTCGAGGTTTTCTCTGAAATATTTGAATTAGGACAATTAATTCTTTCTCTCTCTCGCTCTCTCTCTCTCACTGTCTTGTTTTTATTCTCACTCTCAATCTTTATCGCTCTCTCCGCCCTCTCTATCCCACCTTTCTATCGTTCTCTCACTCTCTCTCTCTCTCTCTCTCTCTCTCTCTCTCTCTCTCTCTCTCTCTCTCTCTCTCTCTCTCTCTCTCTCTCTCTCTTACTTTCTCTTTCTTTCTCTTACCTAGCCTTGGTCATCTTCTCCTCAGCATTCCTGATCGCATCGTTAGCAGCCGTCTGTACTTCCTGGGCAACCTTCAGTGCCTCCCTAACAGTTTCCGTGGTATTCTTGATGACATTAGCACGTTCCTCAGCTCGTCGGGCCTCCTCCTCAAGGCTCGTCGCCTTCTGCTTATCTGCCTGGGTTTCACGGAGGATCGCGTCAATGTTGTTGATCTTGCCGAGAGCCTCGTGGATCTGAAGTTTCAATAAATTTGTAAAAATCCCCTAAATCACTGACCTTCTTGGCGAGCTCGTCAATCTGGTCGGGCTTGAGGCTGATCTCCATCTTCAAGACCTCTTCGGCCAAGCTTCGAACTTGTTCGGGGGAGCTGCGGTTAGAGCTGATGAAGTCTTCCATCTCGCCGACCATGGTGTCGAGCTCATTTCGCGTGTGGTTAGCACGAGCTGCTGCTTCTTTCGCGACCCTAGAAAAAGTAACTCGGTAAAATTGGCCTTAGTTGTCTTCAAGTTTTCTCTCTCTCTCTCTCGCTCGCCCTCACTCTCTCCCTCTGACTCGTTACTTACCTCAACGTCTCCTCAGCCTCCCTCTTGGCAGCATCAGTCACCGACAGAACGTCGCGAACCAGCGTCAACACCTGCTCGCTCTCCTTCTGCTTCTCATTGAGCTTCAGGTCAGCCTCGAGCGCGAAGCTCTTCGCTTGCTCGGCTTGGGATACTGCTCCTTCCATGCAGCTCTAAAATTGCGTAAGAACGTTCCCTGAGGTCGTGCTCACCTTTCCTCCACAAATTCCGCCACACTTCCCTCCAGGTCCTCCGCACAGTGCATCACAAGGAGCAGCAGCCGCGCCGCAGACCTGCTTGTTGAGGTCGGGGAGTGCGGCCTCGAGGAGGTGAACAGCGTGCTCGCTCTCCTGGAGCTGCTTCTCGTTCTGGGAGTACTGCTCGTCAAAGTCTTCGCGGTTCTTTTCCATGAGCTGCTCGGTGGCGGTGGCCTCGGTTTCGGCTTCAGCGACCTAGAAATGTTGATGCTCACGTTTCTAAAGCTTTCTCTTGCTCTCTCTCCAGATTTCGCCCTCTCTCTCTATTTCTCTCCCTCTGACACACCGAGACTCTCTCTCACTTACTCTCTCCCTCTCTCTCTCTCTCTCTCTCTCTCTCTCTCTCTCTCTCTCTCTTTCTCTTACCTTGCCCATTGCAGCATCAACCCTCCTCTGAGCCGCCAGCGACTTCTGCGCGGACTCCTTGGTGATATTGTAGGCTCCCTGCACATCGGTCTCCTTGATCTTGTTGGCCTTCTCCTGCAGATCCATCGATTTCTGCGTCAAACGCTCGGCCTCAGCCTCCATATCTTCCAGCTCCTGCTCAGCAAAGTCCACAGCCTGGGTAGCATTTGCCACATTGCTCTCGACGATGTCCAGACGGTCCCTGGCCTTCGTCATCAGGCCGCGAAGGCGGTCAATCTTCTTCTCGAGGTCGTCGAGGTGCTCCTGGCTGATGTTGGCCTCCTCGAGCTTCTTCTTCGTCTCGGCGAGTTCGCCCTCCATCTTCTCGAACTTTTCGTCGTAGGCAGACGCCACACCGGTGTCCTCGATGTTGTTGGCGGTGTTGATGAGACCTTCGACCTAGAATTCGCGTATTAATGGGTATCAAATAGGTCTATTAACTAAATGCAAAACCCTTGTTTATTTTTAATTGACAACGCTTTTAAAAATTCGCAAAATATGCTTTGAAAATTCCAGTTTCAAAAAATGGCGGTATTTTGGCTCGAAAAAAATTGGTTTCTCGACCAAAACTTACAGTATTCATTGTATGTTTATAAATTCGTTAAAGATAGCATAAAAAACTATAAATTTAGCCATGTTTCTACAAAAAAAAACTTTTGAAACCCTAAAAACAGGTCTGGAATTTTTGAGTTTTGATAATTTGGATCACAAAATTGTTTTTTGGATCTATAGTTTTGTAAATATCGTTTAAGAAATAAAAATGAGCATTATGGTTATTAGCAATCGTCGAAAAATGTTTACCTTCGACTTCAGCCCCTGCACGATACCGTCCCACTGGTGGAAGCAGTCACCACACGGCTGGCAGTACGGCCACTGGCCGGTGTATCCTCGGGCACACTCATTGCAGAGGGCGCCTAGAATCATAACTTTAGGGTTCCGATAACTTGTACATACCTCCAGAGCCTGGCAGACACACGCAAGTTCCATTCTGGCGGTTGCACTGGGCCGTAGCACTTCCCGTCGGGTTGCACTCGCAGCGCTGGCAGCCGTCGGCCTTGGTCGGGTCTCCCCAGAAGAGGTCCTCGCACTCGGAGCAGGTGCGTCCTAAAATTCGGGTTTAAGCTCGAGGGTCATGCTTGAACGGCTGGAAGTCGTTGGAAAATCATACCTCCACGTCCAGCCTTGCAATGGCAACGTCCGTCGAATCTGTTGCACTGAAGCTGCGGGTTGCCCTCGTGGTCGTTGATGACACCGTTCGAGTCGCACTCACATGAGGCGCATCCCTGAATAGATTTCATAAGGATGGTTCAGATGTCGTTGAGCGTATCGTCGACATGCTAGAAACTTCATGCTCACCTCTCCACTGGCCAAATTGTAGTGATTGTCCGCGCACTGGTCGCACTGCTCCCCAATGACGTTCGGGTAGCATGGGCATTGGCCGGTGATGATGTCGCAGGCTCCAGCAGTTGCATTCGTTCCCAAATGGTTGCACACGCAGCGTTGGCAGGATCGAATCTTGGCATCTCCGAAGAAGCCGGAAACGCAGTTCTCGCACTGGGCACCCTCGGTGTTGTAGAGACACTTCAGACACTCGCCGGTTTCCTTGTCGCACGAGCCTTCCACCTGAAAAAAGCTTGGTGATTGTGGCTGGATCTGGTTTTTGCTTTACAACAGAAAACAGATAGATTTTTCTTGACGGAAAAGTATAAAAACGGTCATCCGAACGAACTTTGCGAGACTATTAGGGGGCCAAATGCTATAATATTTATTTTCCTCATGCCAACTTTCTTAAACCTAAATGGCTATAATGCCGAATTTTCAAAACGGCGAATTTTCGGCTTGTTGAATTTTCATAATGCGCAATTTTCACATTAAAAAGTCTGAATGCCGAATTTAACGACGCCAAATTTTAATAACGCCGACGATAATTCGCTACCACGAAGATTCGAAATCAGGAAAATGATGCAATAATAATCATTAAAATTGCGTATAATAGAAATTCGACATTATGACAAGCTTATGACATTCTCGAAAATCACCTTTGCAAAAAGCGGTTTTTCCCAAAAGTTTTTTGGAAAATTTGTGGTGAGCGACCAATAGGAAAGGGTAAGCAACTATACGGCAAACTTCAGAAAATTCAGATTTTTGAAAGTGTCGAAATGTGTCGAAAGTTTTGTAAGAAAAATGACTTTTTCGAAAACTGCGTGTTTCTCAGAACCACACTTTTTGAGACGAAGAGGGTTTTGTAGAAAAAAGGCCAAATGTTCATAATATCAAAATACTTACCCCCATATCGATATTGCCATTACAGTCGCACTTGACGCACTCCTCTCCGACGGCCTTCGGGTTGCCCCAATGGTTGACGGCACACTCGGCGCATCGTTCGCCAACGTATCCGGGTCGGCAGTTGCATTGCACGTCTTGAGTTCCATTCGTTCGGGTCAGATAGCAAGTGTCAGCATGTTGGAAGCCACTGTTCGGGCCGCCTGGGCACGGGCAGGGTTTGCAGGCCAGGGAGACACCAAGTCGTGGATCTCCATAATATCCATCCTGGCACCGATCGCAGTAGTGTCCAGCCGTCAGATTTCGGCACTCGATGCAAGCTCCGGTTTGCTGGTCGCAAATGTTGGCGTGGCCGTTGCACTGGCACACACGGCAATCCGGGAAGCTCCAGAAGCCGGGTTGGCACTGGTTGCACTGACGTCCGTAGATGCCCTTCTCGCGGCAGAGACATTGGCCGGACTGCTTGTCGCACCTGGAAGGGTTGTTAGGAGCTTGTAGTGGACCGGAAGTTATTTTTTACTAATTTTTTAATGTATTTTCCAAGTATTCCCCTTTAGAGGAGGAATCGCTTTTTTGTTCTTTTTAGCCCGCATAATTACATAACAATGAACCGAAAATCTTAATTCAGCTTGTAATTAACCGGAAGTTACTTTTTTGACTAATTTTTATTTTATGTATTTTTAAAGGTATTGCCTTCAAAGGAGTAATCTATTTTTTCGGCGAAACTTGTAAGACGGCATAATTCCATCTCAACAATTTTGCATTTTTACTATTTTCCGATAAAAATAACCTATAAAAATTTTGGCTTTCGTGATTTTTTTTCGTTCAAAATGTAGGAAAAATAAAATTCAAATACTTCCTAAACATTTTCGACAGAAAAAAAACTACTAAAAATATTTTGTTGCGTTGCCGACATGGATTTAAATAGCGTGTACATTTTCCCTCCTCCCAACTTACTGATTATGCAGAGATCCGATCGAGTCGCAAGCGCATTCCTGGCATCCAGACGGACCAAATCCGTAAGTTCCGACGGCGCAACGGTCGCATCTGAATCAGATAATTTTGTGAGTGCGTTTTTATGGTTATACACTTCCGTATTAAAGTTTTCTACTCACCGCCTTCCGACAACATTCAACTTGCACTCGCACTGGCCACCGCCGGGCTTGCAAATGCCAGAGAAAGATCCGGTCGGGTCGCAATCACAATCCAACGTGGTGTTGAAAGCCATAGCCGCAACCGGGCAGATGTATTTCGTGCAGACCTGAAAGGTTGTTAAAATTAACCTGATTTTAAAAAAAGCTATTTAATATCTATGGCGCATACCTCCGTGTAATCCTTGAGCGGTGTGATGGACAGGGCGATGTTTCGGCATTGGTAACGCTCGTATTCTTCGCGACTTGGCTGGCCTCGGGGCGTGTGGAACTCCTGAACACGTAATTTTCATTTCCTTTTCCAAAAGTTGCAAGGTATTTTAACTTTGCCAGGTTGACTCTCTGGGAAAATAAAAAAAAAATTTTTTTACAGACCCGCTAGGCTTGTATAAACCTTTCACGCAAAAAGCAAAAAGGCAAAATGTTTGCACGAAGTGGGATTCGAACCCACGCATCGATACCGATACCAGAAGACCCGAACCCGCGGACTTGCGGGAAGCGATTGCTTGAGTCTGGCGCCTTAGACCACTCGGCCATCCGTGCACGGCGGTAGGGCGCCGAGAGCGGCCAATGACCCCGGGGCCCCGCCCACTCGGCTACCCGAAAGGCTGCATTTTTGCCTCCTTTTGGCACGTGAACGAACAAGAGTTGATCGTAGTAAAGTTAGTATTTTTTTGGATATTGCAAAGCGGTTCAAAATGTATAAAATATGATTGATTGCAATTACAAGAGAAGCCCTTTTCTGGCTTGGTTTTGCCAGTCTTTTATGCACCGAAAAGGATGAAAATAAAATCAGCAGCCTAAAGCAGGGCAGGAGGGCCACGGGAAGCGAAAAGCGTATGCAAAATATTTATTTAAATCAAAACCGTAGAATTTGGCGTATTAAAGTTTAGGGTATAAGTAGCATCTTTTTAGAAGTAATAAAGAAACTAGACCGCCAATAAGCTTAATTTTATTGTTAGCAGGGTTTCTCAAGCAAGATGCTGCCAATTTTATTATCCAATTTTTTGCGGTAGAAGTTGCGATAAGGTCGCTTTGGAGCGCCAAATTTGAATATTTAAACCTAACACCTTTTCTTTGCCAATTTTATATTATGGTCAACGATTTCCCAAAATTCTTTTCTTTAATTTAGTCTTTGAAATAATTATAACCTTCATCGCTTTTTGCATGAAATGCTATAATATTGAAACCCGTTTTATCTAAATTCTTACAATTTTTTTAATCGAATTCCCGATTTGGATCAGACAGGTACGGATGAGTGATGCTTTTGTCATAGCCGCCCCCTTGGGGGGCCGGGGGTACATGAGTGCCCTCCCCGTCCCCCTCTCTCAGCACGGATGGCCGAGTGGTCTAAGGCGCCAGACTCAAGCAATCGCTTCCCGCAAGTCCGCGGGTTCGGGTCTTCTGGTATCGTTATCGATGCGTGGGTTCGAATCCCACTTCGTGCAGACTTTTTGCCTTTTTGCGGTTTGCTCGGAGGGGTTCTAGAGGGCCTAGGAGCCCGAAATTTTGCTGTTTTGTAAACTTTTTGACATTATATGTTCTTTTTGAACGTTTTTCATGGTTTCTAGCAATTAGGCCTTAAAAAGCCTATCAAAACCTACCGCCAGGGCCTGCATCGGCGGGGCGAGGACGATGGAGTCGATCAGGAGGGTAGCGCCACTGGAATTTGCCATTTCTAGGGATTTAGTTTTCGACAAACCGGTCATTCACGCCAGTGCGCTTCTCGCCGAACTGGAGGCGAATTTCGTAGGGGGTGGCGGCATCCAGGCAGACGGCAGGTTGAACCTAGAAAAATTTAGAATTAACGTTACTTTATTGTCCCTATCAACTGGGTATTATCTTTAATTGTAAATGAGATACTTCTACGTTTTATTGAAATATACCAACCTCAATATAACGGCCACCCGGCGGCAGGCGTGCAATTAGGAAGTCATCGGACGGGTTGGCGTCCTTGCAGCGGCTGTCCGGGCTCGGGTCGTCGGGGCGGATGATGGTGATCTGGATGTTCTCCCAGCCGACCGGGTCCTGAAACGATTATATTGCTTGATTGGTAGTCCTAAAGTACCCTTTGGCCATCGTAGCGGATCACGATGTTGTAGTCGTTGCTCGTCTGCAGGTTGTCGACCCTGAAAACAGCTTTTGAGATCGCTTAGACTGTCCTGACAGTTTTCGCTTATTTTTGAATTTTCTAGGCACGTTTTGGATGCGTTCAGGATTGTTTAAAGGTATATTTTTTTCAGAAGGTAGATTACGTACTTGAAGGCCAGCATACTACGATCGGTAACACGAACGAAGCCCTCGCCGGTCCAGGTGTGGTCCCGGGCCTCATCGGGGCGTTCACGGTACTCGACGTCGGCCTGGAATTTAAGTTTTAAGGCGGAAAATTACGTTTTTTGGTACCGGTTAACAGATTTGTTTATTTACGGCTTTTTCTTTAATTAATTTTACATCCTACTACATGATATAATTGAAAAATCATGATTTACATTGGTAATATTCGAATTCTCCGCATCATAGGTATAATGGTCGATGCTGGCGCAGAAGGTGGACGACTCGGAGACGTCGCAACTAAATTTTTTTTGTTTCTTAAGGTAACTTGCACGGATCTTTGAGGATAGGTAAAAGTGGCAAAAAAGTCCTTCTCTTCTTATTAATGCCCAAATACTCACGTTCTGCCCGAAAATCCGTCCTTGCACTTGCATTGGCCGGTCTTGAGGTCGCAGGTGTTGTCCAAGGAGCCTCCGATGTTGCAGTCGCACGGGAAGCAGCCCTCCGGGGTCTCGGAAAGTCCGTAGTGCTCCGGCTGAACGATGCAAGGTATCCCAAAAAAATTATAAAAATTACCAAGCATTGATCGCAGTTCTCCCCTGTGACGAGGCGCTTGCAGTGACATAGCCCGGTGTACTTGTCGCACCCCTAAAACTCATTTAACTTAAGATTAAGAAATTAAGAAAAGCTTTTGTGTTATGCTTTGGCTGGTTATAAAGAGCGTATTAATAGGATGATAATTCGTATTAATAGTCATTACACCTACAGCATTATCGATCGTTCCCAACAAATCGCAGGTGCACGCGACGCAACCGTCCGGGTTCTCGGAGTCAAGGTTCCAGTAGCCGTTTTTGCACCTGAAAATATATACTTTTTCGTCTATAGTATCATCCTATTTTTAGGCTTACAAATCTCATTGAATCTTAATCTTAGTTTAAATCAATAATTGAACTTTTAAACCTACCGATCACAGCTCGGCCCGTCAACATTTGGCTTGCAGTAGCACTTTCCGGCTACCAGGCCGCGCTCTGCGTCTTCTTCTCCCTCGCAGATTCCCTAAAAAGCGTTGGATCTGCTTATTTTTAACGTTTTCATGTTATACTCTGCATTTTGCATAAAATTGTAAGCCTTACATCATAGAGCGATCCGTCCTTGCTGCACTGGCAGGGCAGGCAGACGTGCGGGTCGTAGATCGGGCGGCGCGGGTCGCTAAAACGGAAAATAGAAATTTTCTGCTACATATATTTTGCTTTTTTAAGTGAGAATCCCATTAAATAGTCAATTTCTACAAAATTGAATGCAAATTATAGATCTCCAGAACAACAATTTGGCCTAACTTACCGGAAGAAGTACGGCTTGCACTGCTCGCAGTTCTTGCCCTGGGTGTTGTGCATACAATCGTCGCAAACACCTCCCGAGACGTGGCCTGAATTTTGGGGTATAAATTAAGTCCAACGTCCTGATTTACCGGACTGCTCGAAGACGGCGCGGTCGAAGTGGCAGCGAGCGGCGTGACCGTTACATTCGCAACTGAAAATATCGCATGATGGATGAAGTCGTTTTAGAGCAGGTAGCTCTCTCTCTCTCTCTCTCTCTCTCTCTCTCTCCCTAAGCTACCGTCTGCACTCGTTGGTCTCGGTGCCAACAGCCGGCCTCCACGGCATATCATTGTAGAAGTCACGGCAGCGCTCGCAGTTCAAACCTTCGGTGTTGTGCATGCACTCGCAGCGACCGTGGACCTAATTTCGGAAACATAAATTTTGTAGCAATTTTGCTTACAATATCTGGCCGGTCATAGTTCGGGTCCGTACCCTCGATCGGAATGCACCTGAAAAAAAATGACATTTTAACTTTTTTTTGCAATTTGTTTCCCATTTCCCAAAAAAGCTACGTCTTCCGCTACACTCCAAATTACAGTACCTAGAGGCGTGACCGTAGCACGAGCAGGAACCGCGCACGACCAGCTCGTAGATGGCGTAGTAGTACTTCTCGTCGATCTCGGCCCTAAAATTTGTGGATTTTCTATAGCGCTAAATTTAATTTCACGTTAATGGACACCCAAAAGGAAATAAAAATATTATAAAGAAAACGAGAGAACCAAAAACGCAATCACTTCCGTACCTCCTATTCCCACCATAGCTAAAAGGTTTGTGGTTACGTCAGGATTTTCCAAGATTTACCTGTAATCCAGCAGGTCGTCACCGAGTGTGTGCAGCTTGGTGAAGTTGAAGCGGAGGTTGGTGATCTGAAAAGCGCAGGTTAGAGAGAGAAAAAGAGAGAACGCTAGAGAGAAAGATAAATATGACAAAATGGTAGAAAAAGAAAGAAAAGAGAGAACGAGCGGGATAGAGAGAGAGCGAGATCGAGAGTGGTAAAGAGATAGAGAGAGAGAGAGCGAAAGCGAGAAAGGGAGAGAGAGGGAGTGACAGAGAGAGAGAGACAGAGAGAGCTGAAGAAACACCTTCAAAAGTTGCGACGTCTCCTCGGAGTACGGGTCGTCGGTGTGGATGTGCGGGGACAGGACTTTGTAGACGATCTGAAAATTTCTTAATGCTGTGAGAAATTAATTATTATTGTTTTTCATGTAATTTAGTTTTTAAATTTCATATTTTTAAAAATTTCAATTAAAAGTATTAAAGATTACTTTTCTTAAAGGTGCGTTCAAGGCCATTTTAAATATTCTACCTCTCCTCCAGTCGACGGCGACACATCGCTGTACTGGCTGGTACAGATGACGTCGCTATGCCGGGTGGGGTTGCCCTCCTGCACGTTCGGGAACGTGTTGGCGCAGTCGTAGGCGAAGTAGCGGTACACTTGCCTGAAAATATGCAAGTTTTTGAAGGAAGGTAGCTTGATTTCAGCGATCGATTTGCGACAAAACTTGGCCAGACGCACCATGTCTTTCCAAAATCTGCGGATCGCTCGATGATCATCGCGGCCGGGCGGAACGATTTGAACGTCATGATCAAGTGAGTGAAGTGGAACTCGGCCTCGAGGTCGAGACGGATGGAAGCCTAAAACATTGAAATTTAGCGCTGAATTCGACATTTTTGTGCCTTAGCGATCGACAATTGGCGTATATCAGAATTGTCGAGGTCTAGGCAACGCTGCGGGTCAAATTTGGAACTTACTAATACCTTTAATTTTCTTGGAAACTATGCGAAAACCGTCTAACAATTTTTTAAAGCAAAAACAAACGTTTTGTGCCCCATTCTCCGACTGCCACCAGTTCCTCGTCTTGTCCTCAAACGCCTCGGTGACGACGTTTTCGATCCTAATATCATATCGTAATTGGTTGAACAAAATGATGAAACCTGTGCGACATCCTGCCCGGGTCCCGGTTCGAGCTCCAAGGCTGGCGGGAGTCGCAGTAGAAACATTTCGTAGAGTCTTCCAGGTGGGAAACGATGCAAAATCTGAAAAAGGACAACTATACCAAGTTTCCTAGCCTTGAAAGGGACCGGGAAGCGGCCAGGAAATTTTTAAAGGGAGTGTGACAGCAAAGATGATTCATCCTGTATCCTTTTCGCGTTTGTTTGTGCTCTCGGAGAACAAGAAGGGAATTTAAAGGGAGGGCGACAGTAGTTTTGAAGTTCCCTCGTCTTTGAAAGGTCCTTTAAAAGCTTACTGTCTTTTGAAACTTTTATATCTTGAAAATTTGAAAAGTTCCAATTCCCCTAAAATCGTTACAAACCTTTGCCGTCCATGCATGCCGCAAGTGGAGGTGGCTGAGAGCTGCTCCTTACGCCCGATGAGCAAATTTCCGGTAACCGGGTAGCAAGAGCTGTCTCGACACCGATCATTTTCCGCTGAATTCCTGTGTATACCAATTTTTCAACGAAGGTATACCTGCTATCGCGACGGCTGCTATCCCCAGCAGCGCGCCGACCCACGGCTTGAGGCCCATTTTGATCTAGGCGGTTGGAATTCCTCCTCCCGGATTTTGGTGGAGTGGGGAGAGGACGGTCTGGAATTTTGACAATAAGCTTCTGGACGTTATAAATACACGCAAAAGTTAAGAAAACAAACAAATATAACAGGTCGTCAATACTAGAAATCAGGAAAATTTCATAAATTAGCAAACGCATGTTAGTCATCATACTGAAACTCCGCCGTTTTTAGGCAATATAGCAAAAATTTCTGGGAGATGCTAAGTCAATAACGGTGTATGACTAGCAAAAACTCGTTCTCAGCGCCATTTGAGCAGGAGATCAGCTAGCATAGATAATTTCGGAAGTTTTCGAGGGACTTGGTTTCAAAAAAGGTGGATGCGAGCGAGACAGGGAGAGAGAGAGAGATAGAGAGAGAGAGAGAGAGCGAGAGAGATTGAAAGAGATAGAGAGAGCGAGAAAGAGCGAGAAAGCGTGAGATAAAGAGAGCGAGAAAGAGCGAGCGCGCGAGAGAGAGACGATAGTATTTCAGAATCTTGTAAATTTCCTAGCAAGTCTCTTGAAATTTACTAGCAGGGCTGGCTAGCAGAGACCCTTTGAGATCAATCCTCGCAACCGAACGTTAGAATACTAGCAGAAACCCTTTACGGAAAATTGCGAATACAGTAAAGCAGAGACAAATGCATCAAAAACCTTTGAAAATGGGAAAAATCCTTGGGGAAACCGAACTGAAGAGAGAGAGAGCGAGAGAGATAGGCACAAAAAAGAATACGGTACCGCTTGGCCCTCTAAAGTGTCCCACTAAACACTAATTGATAAGGGCCTCGAAAAACGGCTGTACCCTCCCCTCTCTCGAGGTGCTACCCGGTCCGACTGATCGATAGATATGGGCGATGTGCCCTGGGGGTATAAGGTCGGTCACAGGAGGGCAAATGGTGTGCTAGAGAAGGGGGGCAGATCTGCTGTGGTGCAAGAACTGCGCGCAGCGCGGCCTGTTTGCTCAAGTTACCACCCCCCTGGAGCCCCGAAGACTCCTTTGGGTCACTCGCACTTGGACCCTGGGGGTATGGGCACTAGGGGGCCAACAAGCAATCACTTATAAGGGGAGGTTAATAGAGGCTGACTGCCTAGTGATCTCTCTAGCTGCATGTCTCTCTCTCTCTCTCTCTCTGTCGCTCTCGCTAGCTAGCCGCACTGTTGACAAAATGATGTGATGCGGATTCGACAGGCTTTATCTTGGCCAAAACAGCTTCTACAGCCTTAGAAGTAGAACGAGAAAGAGAGAGAGAGAGTGAGAGAGAGAGAGAGAGAGAGAGAGAGGATAGAGAGATCACTTGATATTTAATCATTGTAATCAAAAGAAAAAGATCAAACATATTTATCATATCTATCGCCGCAAAAAATCCAAATTTGTTATAAAGGCAAGGCAAGTAGCCGCCTGCAATATTTGAAAAATGGAGAGAGAAGGGTAAGGGTGGAGCGAGATGGTAGAAAAATAGGGCCGAACTCGATTAATAAAAAAGGGCAGAATACGTAGAGGTAAATTGTTAAAAATGCAACCCGGAAATTGGTTAAAAAATTTCAAATTGCCCCTAAAGCTCCATCAAAACAAAACTGCAAAAAGCGATCTCAGTAGGATCAATGATTTGTCTTCACTAACATTGCAGAAGCAGAACTGGAATAATCATCCTTGACCGCGGCGGGGGTTCGAACCCGGGCCCTCTGGGCGGGGGCGGGGCACGCCCTGCCGACTGAGCCACAGGCACAGGCGGGAAGGGAGGGCAGAGGGTGCTATCTGGAGGGGGGCGCAGCCGAGGGGGAGAAGAGGCGCGCTGGGAAAAAGTTTTTACCAGACTGTAAGCAGTAGTAAAAATGTAATTGTAAATTGTAAAATTATGCTATTAGATAAAATAATTGAGACCCTAAATTAAAAAGTCAACGATACACCTGAAATCGTGTAATTACGCATTTCAAAAGTTTATTTACTGACGTATAATGTTTCTTGCTAAAAATACGTTTTTTTTTCTGTTTCGATAAAACTTGGAAAAATGAATTTTTACCGATATTAAAATAGTTTTATAATATGCTGGCATTACGGTACTGAGGAGAGTCTTTTGATTGTAAGGTTTTTTTGTCCAAACACAAGTCCATTTGTTTCGAAAATAACCTTAAAAATTGGGCTTGCTCTGGATTTGATCAGCGGATTTGCACCCGGAATTAAAATAATTTTTTATCAGCAGTGCGTTCAAAAAAGATATGATTTTTCAATAACAGACCAAAAACTACAATTTATATGGCTTGGCGTGGATTGTTTAAGCGCGATCCATCAAAAGCTATCCATTTCTGGCACAACGCAATTCAAAAAAATGCCGAACTGTTACGAAATGACGTTCATATCACTTTTACAGTAGCTTACGGGCGGAGTAACTTGCTTGCCAAGGTAGTAAAGTTTGACGAGCCTCAATAGCTGACAAGAAGATAATCAAAAACTCCCAAAAACAATCAAGCTCCGAAATGCTACGAAATAGTCCGCGAGCCCTTGGTTGCAAGAGGACGAACCTCAAAGAAGCGGCAGATCGCGAGAGAAAACTCCAGAGGGAGAACGATAGGTCGCTAAATATATGGCTGGGAGGCCAGGGTGAGTCCCAGAGGGCCCGGGGGCCATCAAGGCCCGATAAAAGGGGGATCAAAAGTGGCTGGCTAGGTTATGCCCGAGAGGGCCCACTGTTCCACACAAAAACGGGAAGAAAGTGACCGGGTCCCAGGGGCAAGGGAGGTTGATAACAAATGGCCGCCCTCGATGACCCCCGCAAATGAGAACAGAACTGGGCCTTGGACATGGCTAGGGTGGCCAGACGTCTCTCTCGCTTTCTCGCCCGCTCTCTCTCTCTCTCTCTCTCTCTCTCTCTTTTCCTATCACCTCACTTTTTGCTATAAAAAGGATAGGATGCCTTTGGGGTGATCGAGCCATTGTTGCGGATTTTCCAGATGAAGATTACGGCACCCATTTTATGGCCTGCGTAATTTAAAATAAAACATACCCTTTGAAAAACTTATTTAGTTATGCAGAGCGTCCCAAAAAAATCCCTCTTCCCGCCCTAGCGATTCGCGGTCGTGTCCGTTTTTTCATAATTACTGTATCTATCGAAAGTGCTTGCAAAGGCGAGCCTGCGTTTTTCCCGCGGTTTTCGAAATCCTGGCATTTTTTGATCAGTTTTCACCATTTTTCATGCAAAGTCACACCATAAAAAGTTTTTCTCCAAAAACTAACTTATTCGGCTTGAAGCTGGACTATCTCAAATGGCATTTCAAAAATCGCGTCGGGCTGCCAGAAGATTCACAACTTGTAATTTTTGCAAAAAAAACCTTTTCTGCAAAAAAAATCGTTATACATTCGGCCCATTTTGTAAAAAAAATTTGGTAAATTTAGAAAAACTGCCGGAATTTCGAACATCATGGAGAGCACCTGGATTCGCCTTTCCGAGAGCTTTCGATATATACCTAAATCGTCGAATTTGAAAAAGTCTGCTAAACTTCACCGAGGGGGATTTTTTGGGATAGCTGAAGAGGAGCTTTTTTCGGATATATCCATAGCTGAGTCCGGATAAATTACGGTATTCCCTCCAAAACAACTAAAGCCAAGAATTTAGTTCATTATCACACGAGTAATTTAGTGCTCAAATGAAAGTAGACCTCCAAAAATCCCGTTGACTATACATTATCCACCGTATAAGAAACTGGGCAGCAGGGGCGCCTTTCTTGTGGCGCAGGTGAGTAAGCCGGCCGAAGCCCGGTGACTCACCCCCCTTTTACACAATGGTCGCCGTGAGGAGCACCGAATGGTTGTAGCCGGAGGCGCTCAATCAGATGGATAGTGATGGTAAATGAACGGATACGGCAAACACCGAATGACGTGGGGGACCTGCAGCTTGGAAATACTCGTAAAATGGCGAGTTCATAGGCCCGAAAGTCGTAAGGAAGTGGAGCAATTTTAGGCGCTATTCCATGATAATTTAATGAATTTAATACTTTCCCATACGTAGGCGTAGCGTAGCGTACTACACCTTGGATTAAAGGGCTATATACTACTCATTACATCCATTAAATTTAGCAAATTATTTGTTTAGCAATCGGCAGGTGTGTCCATTTATGTTTGTACTGACTTAAATTTGCATAATCGTAGTGTAAAAATCGGAATGTGTATCGTAACGTACTAGATGATGCCTTAAATGCTAGACACTACTAGAAGAAACAGATCGGGCGCGAACCAGAGATTCATGTAAAAAAAACGGAGGATCGGCAGCTGCTAGCACGAACCCAGCTGCGGTTTCTTACAATCTTTTTTCTGTTCTATACGCTGAACATTTGGTCGAGAATGGACTGGCGCGTGCTACAATAAAAAGTGAGGCCGATCGGATCACGCTTGAGGCCAGCTGGAAAGTGGAAGAAAAGCTAAAAAAAAATTATAAAAATATATGTCGTGGTCAGAAAGGTCAGGACAGTAATAATTTTCGTATTACGACATTATCGAAGGCTTGATCGAGGAAAATCTCATGGAAATTAACAAAGAATTGCAGCGTGATCAACGAAGTCAGAATCATGCGAATTTTGGTACTATCAACGTTTAGAACACCAGATTTGATCACGAAAATCTCCCTACCGCCAAGAAACCAGAATCGGGCTGATTTTGATGGTTTCCCCGGTTTGTTTACAATTTAGAAGCGAGAATTCGGCCAAAGAAAAGCTTCAAAAAATGGCCTAAAATTATGTCGCCTAGTAGTCAGCCAGGCTAAGAAATCGGCAATTTTCGCTTTCAAACGCGTCAAATTTTAAAATAATTAATTTCATCAAAAAGCTATGGCTAAAAGATGCCGCCCATAAAAATAATTAATAAAAAAAATAAAAATAAAAAATAATAAACGACAAGCAATAATTTCCCGGGAACACGCCGGGCGAGTTGTAGTCATCGTTTCGCGTTACTAGGGATGTGATTGCGGCTGTGTTGCTCTGGCTCCACCTCTCGCGCACAGATCTTATCATTTGGTCCCCCGCGAATATGGAAGGAAAGGTCACATCATAAGAGCCTGTGGCGCCCCCGCCAGCCAATGTTCTCGCCCAATTATGCGAAACGCGCGCGCAACAATTCGCGGGCTCTAAAGTTTATAAAAAAAAATTAGAATTCGCTGAACAGCTCGCTGATGTTGGCTGGAATTATTGGAAATGAAGTAGTGGTTTTTAGAAGCCCGTCAAGGATTTGAAATTACAGATTTGCGCGCTTTGGTGAGATATTGAAACTTTGCTTTCCAAGCTTCTTCTGCCTCAAACTGTTTTGCTCGGCGCAACTTTAGCCAACAAGTTATCAGCTTTCGGGTCTCTGTCCCTTTAGTCATACGACAAGCGAGAAAGAAACGGCAGTGATTCCAAAGGCTTCTGAAAACCGCTTCCAGAAGCGCTTACACGCCCACTTGATGGGAATTCGTAAGGTTGTTGAGGTATCGTAAGGCGAGTGACAAGCTTGAGAATCATTTGAGCAAAATACATGTCTTTTTGGCAGAAATGCAAAAAAACACCCTAAAGTCCCACGCTAAAACGTTACTGTAACGGTAGAGTTACCAAAATTATGTAAAATAGTGAAAAAATATGTATACCAACGTCAATAGCGTCGCAACGTACGTGCAAACTTGTCAAATTACAAAAAACACTAATGTCTCGCACTTCGACGGTTACGGTAACACAAGAATTGTTAAATTGTGTAAAACAGGGAAAACCAGCTATAAGACCTCGTCAAAAGTATCGTAAAGTACACACAACCCAAGCTAGACGCTTGATAACCCCCATGCAAGGGGTCCCGATTTTGATACGCGGGGTTTTGTATGTATCAAGGGGTGTGAAGACGATTCGGAGCCTGTGCCCTCCCTGGCGCCCCAAAAAATGACTAGCTCGGCGGCGCGCAAACATATGGCCCGGGTCGTCGCAGCCCGTCCGCCCGTCGGCCTCGGCAAAAAATACAATCGAAGCCTGGTGTGGCCAGATTCGCGCCCCCTGGCGGTCAACCTCCTAGCTCCTCCTTCTTGCCGCCTGGGCGGGTGTGGCCAAAAACCAGATGTGGCCCTCCTAGCTGCACTGCTGGCGGCCAATGGGACACCCACAACGGTTGGCGGATACGATCCGGGGTGTTGGATCGATACCTGAAATCTAGGGATTTTTGAGAACTGGATTATTACCAGGGGGGTGCTTTTTTATAAAGTTTAGACATATCTAGTAACTTAATAGAAAGTGTTTTAATAATGTTTTTAGTAAAATCTAACACGATTTTTCTGGTTGAAATCTATCTAAAAACTTCTAAAAAGTTTTCAAGAAGTCGAAATTTTGGCAAAAAATCGGCCATTTTCGGTCCAAAATCGTACTTTTCGATTTTTTAAGAAACATTTGTGAGATTTAGCCCCCCGTTAACAGCTCAGTACCAATTTTTACTGTCTAAAAATCAGGGATTCGCTTTATCAGCTAAGAAAACGTAAAAACAAACAATCCAACAAAAATGGAAAATCAACAACGTGCAACAAGAAAACAATAAAAGTTCCAAAAACTCTAAAACATAACCCGCAAAAGCAAAAAGAATCTAAAAATCACAGAAATGATTACTGAGCCTTAAAAACGACATCGCGAAACGTTTTCTCGTCAAATTGCGGGGCAGAGGTGGTCGCTTTTTCGTCGGGGAGTGGTGCTCTCGTTTTTTCGTAGGTCAGGAGACGGCGGCTTGTTCTGAAAAAGTTTTTTAAACACTATTTTTATTAAAAAAGTTAATTGAAAACCATATAATTTTTCGCAACGAATGTTTTCTTCTCTTCTTTTCAAATTTCGTAAACTTTACCTCGTCGTCAACCCTTGTTCGCAATTCGCGACTAGTCGAAAAGCCGGGTGTTGAGGAAGGATGTCCTCGGAATATCTGTCGAGCACCTAAACTTAATTTGGAAAGTCAGAAAAGTGTAAATTACCACTGGGAACCAGAAAGAGACACGCCCGCCCACGACAAGGCTTTGGGCGGCGAGGTCGAGAAGGTCCTGAAAATAATTTTTTTGTTGTTGATGAATTTACGCGTTTTTCTCCTCTTTTTCTTGCCTTTCCCTATAAAGTTTGCTAAAACAAAAACGTCTAAGAAAGGCTTGTAAAATTAAATATAATTATTTACAAACTACTCACCGAAAACACTGAATCCAGATGATAGTCCTGCTTCTCCGGAAATCGCACTTGGTGCTCATCATTTGGCGTCCCGGGTAGCGTCCAGTGCTCCTTCCGGTCTTTCGGTCCTATTTTTCGACTTTTCTCACGCACCCCTAAAAATTAAAACTATTCAACTTCTAGATTTGCTAACCATAAGGCGGATCGGCCACAATAGCGTCGAAAATTGGCCGATCGGCCCAGATGCCGTGCCGCGACGTGTCGGCGATGATCAGCGACAAAAATCGATCCTAATTGGATTTTTCGGATCCAAAAGTTAAGTGATACCTCGGTGTCGTACTGCACAAAATTCCCGCGCACCGACTCGTCGGTGAGCATTTTCTTGCCCATTCTGGAGGATTTCCCGCGAGCGTGCGCTACCTAAAAATATAAAAATACTGAAAAATCACGGAAACAAACCATATAATTAATCTCATTCCCTATAACGGATGCTCCAAATTCCGCTGCAGGCAATAAAAGACCGCCCGTTCCACAGAACGGATCCAAAACTACAGAAGCTGAGCGGATGGCGGTGATATTTGCCTATAAACGGATAGCTAATTCTTTAAGAAGTTTAGCTTACCTGAAGAAACGCCAATTCCGGGTCCATAGTCGTGTTCCCGATATAACAACGGTCTTGCAGGTTGAGGTGGTGCTTTCGAATGCCCTAAAAAAAGCATTCGTCAATTTGATTTATTCTTATACCTGTCCTTCCCCAATTTCTCGCCCAAAAAACAGCTGATTCGGTTCGGCATCCTTCTCCGACGCGTACTGCTCGAGCACGACAAACTTGTTTTTTGGCGTCTTCAGGTCGATTGGCGCTTTTTCTAGCGGAAGCCACTCGGCGACGACTCGAGCTTGTCTGGAAAAGTGTTAAAAGTCAACAAAAAAAAAACGAAAAACTTCGAAATCTACCTAAGGCAACAAAAAAATATGTAAATTAAGACATTTTCTTATCTTACGCAAAGAAAAAATAGCTAGCATAACAAGTTTACTCACTTTACGCAATGCACACCCTTCTTCTTCCCAAATGGCCGCACCCTCAACGCCCACGAATCATCATCAACATCATATTTCTTCAATTCGGCACTAATTGCTTGAACTTTCGGCTCCAATTCTTCATAATTTCCGGCCTGACAGTAGAACTCGAAAGCGGCTTTTAGAAGCACGCATCTAAAACAAGCTTAAAATAAGCTATGAAAGGTCCAAACCGCGACAAAATCCCCTCGACGAGTTCCACACTCGAAACGTCGACAAATTGCACCGGGGCATCACTGCTGACACCCGAAAAGTCGGCAAAATCCAGGCTCAACGCTCGGCAGACGCCCTCCAGCTCGGCGCACCGGAACGCGCGATGGGATTGGGAGAAGAGGAGCGCATATCTCATCGGAGCTCCTGAAAAACATAATTTTAAACCGTATTATTTGACTAAGAATTAACTTTCAAATTAAAAAAATATTGAAAAGAAACCCGACGAGTGCGATTGTGCAAAGTGCATGCAATACCGCTGTCGATAGTGCTGCGACGGAATGGTCAGTTCTAAAGAAGATAATTTTCTCCCGAGTCCATTTTGGCTAAAATAAATTATTTTACAACCCTTTGAGACTATTATATGATGTCGGCTAATAGTTTTCGTAATTCCGATCGGACAACAATGGTTTCTGACTTTATATCTATGTTTTCAGGCGAAAAACGAAGTCCAGAGCATCACTCTCCGAATGGGATGTTCCGTTTGTCCTGTCGCCTCCTCACCTCCGCTCACCGCTCACTCTTCCGCGACGAGAAAGGAGCTCGATTTTTGGAGGAGGTAGTTCAATAGCTTTTATCGTTGAAATTGTCTGTGTTTATCAATTCTACAGTCATTGTTATTTAGGTGACCAATCGTCTCGCGCAATCAAAGGGAGGAACGTTAGAGGCGAGCTCTCAGCTGATCTCCTACTGGCAAAATGTCGAGGAAGAGGCCAACAAGTTCAAGGAATCGTCCAAAGAGGTCGAGCAGCTCAAGCAGTTGATAGATGGTAACAAAAATCACATAAAAATTGGATTTTGTTTAGAAACCACTGATGCCGAATTCAAGAAATTGGCAGAAGAGGATTATCGGGCGGCAGAAGAAACAGCAGATGAATCCGCTGAACGGCTTGCCGAAGTTGTCGTGCCGAAAACGGAAATGGACATGCTGAAGAAGTGCCAGCTCGAATTTACTGCGTAGGTTTTCAGTGATGCTTCAAAAAAATTCCGGATTTTCAGTGGCGTCGGCGGGAAAGAGGCGATGCTTTTCGCGAGCGACCTGCTCGACATGTACAAAAATTACGCGGCGTGGCGAGGGTGGAAATGGACGCCATTTCAGGTGTGTTTTAGAACTTTCTAAAGTTAATTTATGATTTATTTTCTTCAAAATAGTGAAAAGAAAATAAAAAAGGTTGAGATCACGTGTAGCAGGTACCCGTCAAGGCTTTTGTTTTGGTTGTTTCGGGCGGCTTCATAGGCTTAGTCGCGAAGATGATGGCTCAGAAAAGCGTACGGGGCCATGTCCGGCATGTTGTCTTCTGAAAAAAATCGATAATTTATTAGATTTTGTGGGTTTTTGTTGCGTGATTTTTCAAAATAGCGGTGTTATAAAGCTACTGTCGATTATATAGAGAAATTTCGATAGATTAAAAACCTTAAAAACTAATGAATAAGCTAGCGGAAGCTTACAAGGTCGGCTAACTTACGACTTAATGCTATTTAGTAACTTTTTGCTTATTAACATTAAGCAAAATTAGGCTAATTAAATTAACAAATTTACCTGGGAAAAACGGTGCTGCGTTGCTCAACATGCAAAGCATAAGAATGACGAATTGAATGTAGAGGATCTGGTGTAGACCGATCATTTTTGGAAGTGTTCAGTTACAGTTGGATGCGAGTTCGTTGCAAGTTCTGATTTGACCATCACCATCGCCAGGCCACCACATATATACCTCAGGTGTTTGTCGAACCCGATGTGTTTTCGAGTTTCTCTTCTCGTTCCTCCATCTCGCCCCGGCGAAAACATATCGCGCGCGACGCGCGGCGCGCAGAAAAATGTTTGGCGGCCGAGGGGGAGTAAGGAAGAAGGGGAGGTCGAGCTCGGAAATCCTGTGTCATCCGGGGTTTCGTGATCGTTTCCCGATGTCATTGATTTTGGTTCTCGCCGAGAGGAGGGTCTGAACTGCACTTTGACTGGGATAGAGTAGGGGGGGATAGGGGAGATCGAGAGTGGCAGGTGGAATTTTCTGGGGGATGGGGATTGCAAAAACAGCAACGAACTAAGAATAGAGTGTGCTCCGCGAAGAGCGTTTTTTTCGTCAGGGAAGAGGAACGTGTTTTGGAACTTGATGATGAGGTGATTCGAGGTTTGGCGAAAACATGTAGATGTTTTTGAGTTATTTCGGAGATATGATACCGTTTTTCAGTTTTGCCTATTCGGCTGTTATTGTATCAATGTGTCGCCTAGCAATCATGATTTCTAGAACTAAGTATTTAGGCTTTTTTATTATATTTTTAACTATCACTTTTCAATTATTTTTCAATGCTCATACGCATGATTTTCGAAAAACCCGGCATAAATAAATACAAGTTCGAAAAATCTGCGGTTAGGCGCTAGGGGGTAGCAAGAATTTTTCGTTTTAAATTCTAAACAGCCAATTTTGATTTATCCCGCTAGCTGTAAATAGCAGCATTACGTACTTGTCATGTACCTCGCCTTCAAAACAAACCAATACTGAAAAGTAATGAAAAGAAGAAAACTGATTTTTCCAGCTCGAAGACATCTCGATCGGCGGCATCCGCAGCGCCGTCATATCCGTGGAGGGCGATGGCTGTTTTTCGGCGTTACGGTAGCGTGAATTCTTGGGGTGTTAATTTTCTGCTTCAGATTCGAGGCCGGTGTCCATCGCGTGCAACGATTCCCTCTCACCGACCAATCCCGAATGCATACATCAACGGCTTCAGTGGCCGTGTTGCCGGAACCGGATGAGGTTTGACTTGAAAAATTAAAGGTATCATTCTTTCGATTTTTTAGGTCTCCTTCATCCTCCCCCCAGAATCCGTTACGATAGACGCGATGCGCGCTTCCGGGCCGGGCGGGCAAAATGTGAATAAGAGGTAAAGCAGCTATTATTGCCTTTTAATTACGTTATAAATTAAAAATATAGATAACTTAACGTTAAAAATCTTATTTTTACTTTTTATTTCAGGTCCACAGCAGTCCGCATGGTGCATAAGGAAACTGGAATTGCCGTCCACATTATGCAGGAGCGCTTCCAGCATATGAATATCCAGGTTGAAATTTGACAAGACAAATCTTAAAGTCGCTTAGATTGCCTACAAACGCCTCGCCGCCATTTTGCTGCAAAAGAAGTACGACTCGGCGGACGAGAAAAATACCTCGGCGAGGAAATTACAGGTTTTTCACAATTTTTGAGATAGTAATTTCTTTTTAGATGGGCTCTCGAGCCAGGGCCGAGAAAATCCGGACCTACAACTTCAAGGACGATCGGATCACGGACCACCGGATACACTTGAATATGAGTAATGCTGAGGTATTGAATTTTCTATAATTACTTGGCTCTTGAGAATTCTTTTATTAAGTCCAGCATTGCCTAGTAATATCGGTGCGTATCTAAAAGTTTTAATTGGGATTTCTGGTCGGGAAATCGGCTTTTTTTGTATATTTTCAACTAAAAAATTGAAACGTTTTGCTTTAGGAGGCGTAAAAAAGCTTAGCAAAGTTATTTAAATGAGAAGAAAAAATGCTGAGAAAAAATGTTTTATAGGAATTTCTACGCGGCACCGACCACCTCGACTCGCTCATCCAACGACTGGCCGACTTGGACAAGGAGGAGCGGCTGAGGCTGATTTTGGAGAATTGCATTGTAGAATAGTGAATTGTCATTAGGAACTATCTTATTTATCGCACATATTTAATTTTGTAGTTTACATTTGCGTTCGTTTTATCTGGTTATCGTTTCCAAATTACGGGTTTGATTTCTTTATGTGCTCATCGTTTTTCGTTTTTTTTGTGTGCTTTTTGAGGATAAAACTATGTAAAGGTGCCACTTTTCTGTTTTTTTTTTTATTTCCTGCTTTAAAATTGTAGATTTTCCATAGAAATTCGCGCACATTTTTCAGCGTAAAGTTTAGCACTTTTCGCTGCGGGCCTCAAAAAGCGCCGCCCCGCCAATGGCCGGCAGGGCGATAAATAGAGTTAATGGGGTGCTAGGTTCTTGTCTGAATACCAGGGCAGTTGATAACGGGGTTCTTGGCCGGCTGGGTGCACGGGCTGTGATTTTTGCGTTCATCTACACTGTGTCGGGAGATCGAGTCCACGGCTGAACGCAAATGACGGTCCCCTACCATCATCAGGTGGCCACCACCAAGTCGCAGCTCATTTTTAAGCTGCTTTTGAGGTAAGGTAGAGGGTTTTTTTGGTATGGTTCGTGATTCAGGCCTCCCGACACGGTACTGGTCTGTTAGCGGGGGATGTTTGAGTTTGGTTTCGCCCCGAAAACCCCATTGTCCTAAAGTCCTATAGAGAAAACATTTTAATCGCCTTTTTCCACGTTTTGTAGCTAATTTTGAAGATTCACTTTTGCGCGTCAAATAACCGTAAATTTCGACATTTTTTGAGGTCTTGTTGAAAAGAAAAATCCATGAAAACTAAAAATAACGAAAACTTAAAATTTCAATTTTTCAATGTTTTTTTTAGAGTCTGACTAATTAAGCTAGAAAATACGATCCTCGGATTCGAATCCGGTTATTCCTGAAGAAAAGAAAAGAAAGGAATCACAAAGAATAAAAGAAAATTTCTTAGATGGAAAGGCTCGCTCTGGAAGTCTGTGGGCGCCGAATACATCATCTGGATTATTCTGTACTTTATAATTTATGCCTTTTATCGATATGTACTTGGCGAAAGTAGTCAGAGGTCAGTTTTGAAGTAACTTTTTGGATAAAATTACATGAAAATACTGAATTTTATGTTTCTATACCAGCAAAATCTGCTATTCGTAATGCAATTAGATCGCAAACCCGATAAAATTCATAGAATTCCAGAGACCTCGAGGAGTTTATTCGTTTCTGCAGCTCTGCGTTGGACCGGATTCCTCTTACGTTCATGTTGAGGTACGGTGATTCGGATATTTTTTTAGAATCTAAACTTTTTAGCTTTTTCGTCACGACCGTTGTGAATCGGTGGACGGTGATGTTCCAGAATTTGGGAATGATCGACAAGTAACAAAATTTTAATCTTTCTAACATTCTCTGTTGTTAGTATTGCTCTGTTCACTTCTCAATACATCAAGGGAAATGACGACAAAGGACGGCTATATCGAAGGAATATTGCAAGGTATAGAAAATATGCGTTAGAAAAAGTTATATCAAATCAGATATTGTTGCCTGGCGCAAGCTATCCTATTCCGTGACATTAGTATGAAGGTCAGACGTCGTTTTCCTACCATGGAATCTTTGGTACCGTCAGGTTAGTTTTTCCTACAATCATGCTTCTTTTCCAACTTTGTGATTCAGGCTTCATGATGGAGCACGAGCTCGAGAAGTTCAACGCCATCAAGAACCGCTACAACAAGTCGTGGGTCCCGCTGAACTGGGCGATCAGCCTCATAACGATGGCCAAAGAGGAGGGCCGGATTGATGATGATATGCTGGAGTTGGCGACATGCGTGGTAAGTCACAAATGAAAACGATACGCACAGAGGAGCGCCGCGTAGTCAAGCTATGATTACGTAGGGCTCCTTTGAGCGCACGGAATCTGTGCGATCGCATTTTCTTTTACGGTTTTCTGGTAACGTTGAAAGGTTTCGAGACTAGAAAAAGCAGGTATAAGTGTCTAAAACCACTAAAAAAACGTCAAATAAAGGCTCAAAGAGTATCCATTTTTTTCAGGAAATCCGCCACCTTCGCGTGAACATGGCCACCGTTTGGCAGCATGACTGGATTTCGATCCCAGTTCTTTATCCTCAAGTGGTTTTTGCGGCAACTTACATTTATTATATTCTTGGGCTATTTGCACGTCAATTTATTATAGCAAAGGATCAAGTGAACGGCGAGGTAATGCTTTAATACAATTTATTTCATTCAAACCCTTGTTTTTCATAGTTTAATCTGATCAATCTAGCGAAGTTACAAAAACCTAGCTTTTTCCAGGTCGACGTCCACTTTCCCATCGTTTTCTCGTTCTCCTTCATTTTATACGTCGGCTGGATGAAGGTGGCCATGGCCCTGCTGAATCCATTTGGAGAAGATGATGACGATTTTGATTGCAACTTTTTGTTGGACAGAAATTTGACGGTAACCACAACTGAAACTATATCTTATCTTCTCAAAAGCTCAGTTAAACTAAAAACGTTTTAGCTTTCCCTCGGCTGCCAGGATGAACATCACAAAATCCCCGAGGTTAAGAAAGACAGTTTCTGGGATATTGACCAGGTTGGTAAGCGCAGTAATACTGAAAAGCAAAAGTAAAAGCTATGTAGAGCCCATTAGGGTATTTATCTAGTCATCCTGAAATTTTGGGGCAAAAAGCAAAACCAAAATGATCTCGGGCGGGATCGAACCGCCGACCTTCTGTGTGTTAGACAGATGTGATAACCACTACACCACGAGACCTTGGGAGGGGAGCGCCGGGAAGGGCCTTTCTGCGATGCCCCGCCCCTTCCCAGGCGCCCCATTTTGCCCGGGAAATTTGAAAATCGGCATGAAAGTGCACTCAAAGACCCAGAAAAAAAATTGAAAGTGAAATAAAAACAACGGTATTTGCGAAATAGGAAAATTCTAGGCTCAACCCCTCTACTCCCTGCAAAGTGCCATGCGCAAAATGAACTTCTTCATGGGCTCGGCAACGGCGCAAGAGTAATTTTTTAAAAGCCGGAAACTTAATTTTATGGATTTTTTATAGGGAAGCTGAAGGAGGTATGGATAAAAAGGCGCTTGACATCGAAATGGTACCCCATCCTACTAACGAAAGGCTGATGAACCGAAACGAGCCGGAGTTGAGGCGGAGGAGGGTGGTGACCGGGATTATGGATGGGCGGCAAGTTTTATGAAAATGAATTTCGTGCAATTTAATTTTTGTAACCACTTTTGTTTGACTTTTACAAATATCAATGGAAATAGATATATCCAATTTTTCGTGAAGCATACGTTAAATATTTATTTTCCAAGTTTCAGAGGGCGATCTGCGACGGTTCAGCGGGACGTTTAAAGTAGATAACAAGAATAAAAGCATATTTCCAATTAATAAAATACCTTGAAAAGCAAGCACAAAAATGCATGGATTTTTCGGTCAATTAATATATCTCTAGTAGAAGGTCTTGTCGCCATAGCTGGTTGGCCCAGAGGTGGCAGGAGCCACAGAAGATCCGGGAGTTGGTTTCTCGCCATCCTCGTATTTTTCGGGCCGCTTTTTGCAAATTTTCACAATTGATCTGCCCATTTTGATGATAGCATTCCGATATGGCATAGTATAAAACATCGTTAGTAGCGGGTTTATAGCGCTGACGATCGTTACCGATAACATTGCCCACTCTTCGAAGTAGGGGAAGTATTCGTAGTAGCTAAACGTTAAAAAACTATATAAAATAGTTTTCTGGCTTTAATCAGTCGTCTCTGCATTAATGTGAGTTTTCTAGATGAAGCCTGTTAGCTTGCCAAACCCGTAAAAAGTTAGTTGTTAAAAATTTGGAGCTTCAAAGGCTTTTCCGCCCAGATTCGACACTCTAAAGGTTTATAAAGGGTTCTAAATACCCTCTGCTATCTTGCGAATCTTTTAGAATTACGGAATACACAAACAACAACTTACGGCAATTTAAATTGCTTATAGTTGTACCCTCCAGCCATACACATCGGAAAAAGTGGCAGTATGGCCTGGATGGTGAGGCTCTAAACTTTTGATTTCATTTTTTGGTATTCTAAAACCTGAACAATCTTTTGCTGCGCTTTTTTCGTCGCTTCAGACATTGCCGATTTTCGAATATCTATCAAGAACTTTTGTCGATAATAATGGGAGACAGCGTAGCACGGAAACATTGGCAGGGTCACCCAGAGGGTCATGGCGAGCACGCTAAAAGGTCAAAAGGTATAGAAAAATATATATAAAAAATAGTGTCTGTGTGTGTGTGTGTGTGTGTGTGTGTGTGTGTGTGTGCCACTTTGCATCCACCTCCGGATGTCTGTCCGGAGGATATCTCGATAGGGGATGAATTTTAAGGTATGTAAGATACGTCATTAGATGCGTAATGGCCTGGAGATGACTGCACGCATATCAGATTTAACAAAATCACATATTTTCGACATTAAATTTAAGTTTTTGTAAAAACCTCTTTGTTAGGAACAATTAGCGTAGACCGGAAGTGGCGATTCGACTATATAAAGGGGCTCAACAGGTAGTTTTTCATTTTTTGGTCATCTGAATTCAGGAAAATTATGCAAAGTGAAGGATAAAACGGGGTCAGACGGGGCCAGGGTTGAAAAGTCGCGAAGCGGCTTTTCAACCCTGGTAGAAAAACTAAATGAGTGATTCCCAGCTTTTCGCAAGCACTTTTTCGGTCAAAGGATAGTAATTTTTAAGTTACCATCAGATACCTAGGGTCATAAACATTGACAAATCCACCAGCAGCTACACTTGAAGAATTGACGACGTGAGTGTAGTTTGCATTCCGCCAAACCTGCTGAATCTGAGCTTCCGTAGAGGCATGCGTAACCCAGAGCATCTAGAAAATATTGACTTAGGATTCTAGGCAATAAAGCAACTACGAACATGACTTCAGAATCTGATTTTAACCGACCATCAGGGTTGAAAAACCGCTTCGCGGCTTTTCAATCCTGGCCCCGTCTAGGACCGATGAAAGTCTTCAATTTGCATGCTTCTTCCATGAAATCTATCAGGAAAAAAAGTGAAAAACGGCTCCTCTGTCGCTTTATATAGGCTATCCCACTTCCGGCTTATGCTAATTCTTCCCTAACAAAGAGGGTGAGCGAGAATTTTACAAAAATTTGTTTTTAATAGCGAAAATAGTAGCAATTTTTCAAAGATTTTATGTGCGTGCAGTCGATTCCGGACCCTTCTTTACCTAATGACGTCTCTGCCCAATCGAAAAAGTTCTTCCCTGAAGCTGTAAGCGCGGAACATCCTCACGGAAGTTGCATGCAAATGCGCACACACATACAGACACTATTTTTTTATATATAGTAGGATAACCAGGGTTGAAAAGCCGTTTCGCGACCGACCATCGTCACAAATGCGGGTATGTATCCGATGAAGCAGCAGAGAGCAATTTTTACCGGGTCCCGAGGAGGGCTATGAAGGACACGATAGCGGAACCTGTATTAGCGATGTTAAATGGATATAAGTAGCCAAAAATCGGGTTTTCCGGCTGAGGATTTTTGAGAATTCTAAGAATCCATACGCGGGGAAACATACCAAAAGAAGAACGGAAAACTGGAGTAGACGACCGAGGTGCTGTGCATGGCGAGGGCGTGAGCTGCAATCAAAGGATTCAGCGCGAGAGAGAGGGAGAGAGAGAGAGAGTGAGAGAGATAGAGACAGAGAGAGAGAGAGAGTGAGAGAGATAGAGACAGAGAGAGAGAGAGAGACAGAGAGAGAGACAGAGAGAGAGAGAGAGAGAGAGAGAGAGAGAGAGAGAGAGAGAGAGAGAGAGAGAGAGAGAGAGAGAGAGAGAGAGAGAGAGAGAGAGAGAGAGAGAGAGAGAGAGAGAGAGAGAGAGAGAGAGAGAGAGAGAGAGAGAGAGAGAGAGAGAGAGAGAGAGAGAGAGAGAGAGAGAGAGAGAGAGAGAGAGAGAGAGAGAGAGAGAGAGAGAGAGAGAGAGAGAGAGAGAGAGAGAGAGAGAGAGAGAGAGAGAGAGAGGAGAGAGAGAGAGAGAGAGAGAGAGAGAGAGAGAGAGAGAGAGAGAGAGAGAGAGAGAGAGAGAGAGAGAGAGAGAGAGAGAGAGAGAGAGAGAGAGAGAGAGAGAGAGAGAGAGAGAGAGAGAGAGAGAGAGAGAGAGAGAGAGAGAGAGAGAGAGAGAGAGAGAGAGAGAGAGGAGAGAGAGAGAGAGAGAGAGAGAGGAGAGAGAGAGAGAGAGAGAGAGAGAGAGAGAGAGAGAGAGAGAGAGAGAGAGAGAGAGAGAGAGAGAGAGAGAGAGAGAGAGAGAGAGAGAGAGAGAGAGAGAGAGGAGAGAGAGAGAGAGAGAGAGAGAGAGAGAGAGAGAGAGGAGAGAGAGAGAGAGAGAGAGAGAGAGAGAGAGAGAGAGAGAGAGAGGGGGGAGAGAGAGAGAGAGAGAGAGAGAGAGAGAGAGAGAGAGGAGAGAGAGAGAGAGAGAGAGAGAGAGAGAGAGAGAGAGAGAGAGAGAGAGAGAGAGAGAGAGAGAGAGAGAGAGAGAGAGAGAGAGAGAGAGAGAGAGAGAGAGAGAGAGAGAGAGAGAGAGAGAGAGAGAGAGAGAGGAGAGAGAGAGGAGAGAGAGAGAGAGAGAGAGAGAGAGAGAGAGAGGAGAGAGAGAGAGAGAGAGAGAGAGAGAGAGAGAGAGAGAGAGAGAGAGAGAGAGAGAGAGAGAGAGAGAGAGAGAGAAAGGGGGGAGAGGCACTTACCTACAGTACATGAATATGCGCTAAATCTGACACAAGGCCCGTGGAACTGGAAGGTTAGGCTGTCTCCGATAGGGAGAATTCTGAATTTTATGTCTTTTTTAGTACTAAAGGTATTGTTTTCTTAAAGGAATCTGTAGAGCTATTTCATGTAGTTTTAAAGGTAGGAAGGATACCAGTATAAAATCCAGAAAAAATCAACTTCTAACCTGACCATGGCATATTCTGAAGTCACCGCAGCGCAAAGTTCTTGCATCGAGACGCTAGAATCGAGCGGTTTTTTTTGCCTGTAAGACATTTTCACTTACCAAAATAACGCAACCGCATAGCTTCTGAACGTTTTAGCAGTCTTTGTCAAAATTACGGCCAGCAAGGTTATGTTGAAAATGATGGATAAAATATCAGCGCACACGTGGATCTTCGGGAAGATCCATAATCGGAAAGGTGTAATCTCGTACATCTCTGGAATTTTTTTGCGGTTTTGAACACGTCCGGAAAACCGGAAAATGACCACAAAATACGGTAGATGGCACTCTAGACAGAAAGCGAGTCAGAAAACCTAAAAAAATGCCGCTACTCTTCTCAATAACTTCATGTGCAACTTTTAGGTCTGTTTTTGCATTTTCTATGCCTCATTACCGGGTATAATGTTTCGTTCGCTATTCAATCAGGCGTACATTAAAATTTGTAGAAACAGGATCTAGACGCGGAATTCATAAAAAAGCCTCTTGAAGGTGAAGGGGACACACTTCTGACTCAATAAACACCCCGCAAAACCATAAACGTTTCGGTAACGAATATAGAAGGCGAGATTGAAAATTAGCAACCGTTGCCGAGCCTGCCAAACTACGCTCGCGTCCCCTTGGGGCGCAAAATGTAATTTCGGCTTCCCGTTTTTTTTGCGCCAAAGAAACAGTAAGTGCGGCCCGAAAATGAGGTTGGACGTCTGCATCGGTTGGAATTTTTAGTTGATCTTTCGTCTCATCTTAACGAATTTTTTGGGGTATGAAAATAGGGTTCTTTCGCATTTCCGAGGGGTGTGGGAGACTATCTTTTTGTCTCAGTGTTTAATTTTTCAGCCAAAAATAGGCCGCTTTTGGCCAAAATTTCGATTTTCTGCAACATTTTTTAAGTTTTTGGATGGTTTGTCTAATTCAAAAGAGTGATATATTACTAAAACACTGTTTAAACACCATCTATCTATTTACTGAGCTTTCCTAGAGTTTTACAAAAAAGTTCGGATTTTCACTTTTTTTGGTGAAAACGCCCGATATACCTGGAAATACCGGAGGTACGCTGCGATACAATATCTTGGATTTTAATTGCATTAGTTCAATACAATTTAGTTGCAGGGCGTAGTATAAATTTATTCAAAGTACACGATACAACCGAGAAAATGGCACGTCGTCAACTACGAACTTCTGTACTTTTTCCTGCTAACGGGAAGATAGTGTAGTGGTAGTGTAATGTAACGGAAATTTCGTCTTCTCTAAAATTATCTTTGGTTTTCATCGGAATTTTCTGACCAGCGTCATTTACTTTATAACGCCATACATTAAACTAGAAAAATTTCCATCAAGTGTAGAATCCAGAAATCACGTAGTTTGGCGGCAAATGGAGCGTAAGCACCAGGTGCTCGAGTCGACGCAAAAATAACTCGAATCTTTCAGAGTTGCTCAGTGTCCAGAAATCACGACAACCTGACAAATAATTGGGAAAAAATAATGAAAAGACACTTCATATAAAAGCATGGATAATAAAGTTACTTTTCTCAGACGGTACCAAACCCTGAAAAAATGATGTCAATTAGCGTTTTATTTCAAAAATTTAAGGTGGTTATGAAGCAAAAAAAATTGAAAGTTAAGAGCATCGAAAACCGGGGGCCATGGATTACTGTATTTTTGGCGCAAAATTTCGAAAAAATTGGAATCTATAAATGTACACCTGTAAACCCATTTTTGGTCTGTAGCTGAGCACTGAAGAAGTGGCTCCTGATCGACCAACACCTGTTTACGCCTAATTTGCGGAACTGATTATCCAATTTTTTCACCACCTAAGTTACAAAATCGGGTAAGAGTTTACTTTACCCCCTACCCCCCCCCCCCCCACAGCCGAAGCGTCTCAAAGTTGTCGGTATTTTCGCTTATTTTGTCGCGATTTTTGCAGCGCCATTCGATAGAGCGTCGAAAAATATACTAAGGGTTTCAATTTGAGCCTACAATAATGTAAAATGAAAAAGTTATAGCCAAAAACTTCCGGCTGGGGGAGGGGGTAAAGTAAACCGTAGCCCAAAACTGCTCCTTCAACGGCTAACAAAGTTGATTTCCAGCCAAAAACGCAGACACTGAATATGCTGATACTGAATATGCTGACACCACTGAATATGCAAACAGCCAAAACCATCTCATAACTCAACACTTTATTCTTCCCATCCGAAATACAACTGCTGGTACAAGCACAGGAGAGGATCATTTTTGGGATGTTTGAGGAATTGAGATTTTGGGATGATGCGAAGATATGCGAAAGTTTTCATCGCTGTCGAATTAGATGAATCAGGTGTCTGCATATTCGGTGTCTGCTTATTCAGTGTCTGCGTTTTGGCTGTCTGCGTTTTAGCATTCTGCGTATTGGGTGTCTGCATTTTCGACTTTTCCCAGCAAAGTTCAGCCTCGCCAGAAGCGTAGCTCTGAAACGGGGGGCCACTCATTAGGCGAAACACCTGGTGGCCCCTCGCCTATTCCCCCATATTCCGTTGTAGACCAACTCACAATTGAATTACGTGGCGCAGCAAGCTACTTTTAATTCTACCTATTTTACCTATAATGATATTGCAAATTCAAATCCTCGCTTATATAAATCGAACGGCAATAGAGGAGGATGGGCTGCATAGTGTGTTGATAGTATCGCACTGTATCGAGGCGCTATTTTTGTTTTTGGGCGCATTTGCCGTTCCTGTTTCTATTTACATTCTGTATAATCTGCAGGTTGGTTTAAGGCTTTCAACTTTTAAGACTTCTTAAGCTACAAAGAATTTGACATTAAGTGGAATCAAGAATGTGCCAAAACCCGCCCTTTATTGACTAGCCAGCTACACGTCACGCCAAAACACGCCCGAAAATACCACGCCGATTATGAGTCTCTGGTTAAAAAATGCCGTGTTTTCAGAACTATCAGTGAGATCCAGCCTAGTTTGAAGCTTATCGTAGCTGTCGATAACTAGTAGAAAGAAAGGGCAGATGCACGCACTTCCCAACACCTTGAATTAAACTTTAGTACAATGAATACTTCAGCTATAACTTCTATCGAAAACCTTCAAATATTCAGATTGTTCACCCGAACCTCGCGCGTTCCTACGCCTTTGCGATGTTAGGTCTCTATGGGCATGCGGTAGCCAGGATCGGGTTGGTGCGATACGAGCCTATGGTCGATTTTAAATGGCTGTATGAAATTGAAGGTAGATAAAAATCTCTCCTTCTCTCTACCTCTCTTTTGTCTCGCCTCCGTGCTCTGCCTCTCCCTGCCTCTCTTTCTCTCACTCTCCCTCTCTCTCGCACTCTCTCTCTTTCGCTCCCTCTCCTTGTCTCTCTCCCTCGCTCTCGTTCTCTGTCTCTCCCTCCCTCGCTATCTCTCTCTTTCTCTCTCTCTCTCTCTCTCTCTCTCTCGCTCTCTATCGCTCTCTATCGCTTCATGCTTATCGTTTCAGAATGTCCACTCCCGATGGCAATTTGCTCCGCGTTGAGTTTACACTCGATTTTGATGGTGCCAGGTAATTTCTGTCTTTGTAATCTACCTGTGCGTAGTTGTGACTAGTTAAGGTTATAAGTTAAATCCATTTTTAGGAACCCTGATGTTAATCCTCGTCGAACGCTCTGTGGCCACCATAAAAGCTGCAACCTACGAAAATGTCTACTACAAAGCGAAATTCATCCGATTGCATATTTATCTCTTCTGCGCCTCGATGTTGCTATCCACGGTCTATACGCTAGGTAAAATTTCCATATTTACCGGCTACAATCTGAGAAGTTTTTAGGAATCATTGAGCCACCCCTGGGACTTCCGCTTGCTATAGTCTGGTCGCTAAGCGCATTTTTTGTAAGTCATTGCTTGCGCTATTATTGTTGCCTTTCTCTGTTTAAACAATTTTCTGGCTTTTCGACTTTCTCTATCAATTTTTTAGCATCAAATTTTTTTTAGTTAACAACCTTCGTGATAAAGCTGAATATCCGGAAAACGGAGCGCCTGTATCAAGGCGGATACACGCTCAGCAAACGCTTTACGCTGCTGGAAAACGTGACGGCAATGAGGGTATGTTTTTGCGAAGCCTATTCCAAGGAGAAGCCCCGGCCAAAAATAAATCTAAGCAAGCTAAAGCAAAGCCAAGCTTAAGCTAAGCCTAAGCTAAGCCTAAGCTAAGCCTAAGCTAAGCTTAAGCCAAGCCTAAGCTAAGCCTAAGCCAAGCCTAAGCTAATCCTAAGCCAGGCCTAAGCCAAGCCTAAGCCAAGCCTAAGCTAAGCCTAAGCTAAGCCTAAGCTCTAGCTAAGCCAGCCGAAGCTGCCAAGCCAAGCCTAAGCTAGGCCTAAGCTGCCTAAGCTAAGCATGGCTAAGCCTGCTAGTTTGCTGCCTAGCTAAGCCTGCTAAGCCTGCTAGCCTAGCTGCCAAGCTGCCTGCTAAGCCTGCTAAGCCTAAGCTAAGCCTAAACCTAATCCAAGCCAAGCCTGAGCTATGCATAAGCTAAAGCCTAAGCGAATCCTAAGCCAGGCCTCCTAGCCAAGCCTGGCTAAGCCTGCCAAGCCCTGCTAGCCTGCTGCCTAAGCTAAGCCTAAGCTAAGCCTAAGCTAAGCCTAAGCTAAGCCTAAGCTAAGCCTAAGCTAAGCCTAAGCTAAGCCTAAGCTAAGCCTAAGCTAAGCCTGCTAAGCCTAAGCTGCCCAAGCCTAAGCTCAAGCCTGCTAAGCTAAGCCTAAGCTAAGCCTAAGCTAAGCCTAAGCTAAACCTAAGCTAAGCCTAAGCTAAGCCTAAGCTAAGCCTAAGCTAAGCCTAAGCTAAGCCTAAGCTAAGCCTAATAAGCCTAAGCTAAGCCTAAGCTAAGCCTAAGCTAAGCCTAAGTGAGTAAGCTACTATCTTTGAATTTAGCGCATTTCAGTTGGCCGCCTTTATGATCTCCTACACGATCGTATGCTTTATCATCTGGGTCTTGCTCTTCATCCTGAACCGGGTGGAAATCGGATGGTGGTGGCAAAATGTGGCCGGGATGACGTTGAACGTTCATGTCTCGATGTAAATTTTTTTTCTTGATTTTCCTTTTGAATTTTTCGATCAATAGATGCAAAAATTCAAAAAAACTTTGTTTTGAAAAAAATCGAAAATTTTCCTTTTAGCTATGCCTGCACAATTTGTATAATTGGCTATCGAGCCGATGCGCATATGTATACCCTAGCAAAGGCAATAATCGTGAAGAAATGGCGGAGTATATGGTATGTAAACTTCAAATGAAATTTTTTTATTCGGATTGCCGCTAAAAACACACTGATTTTGAGGTCCAACAAGCCCAAAAATTCCGCTGAGGTCAGTGAGATCAGCATTACGATGCGGCCGCGTGGCGTGCACGGAAAAGTAAGGATTTATCATTTAAAATCTAGCCAACTTTAGGCACTCTACACGGAAGCGAAGCAGGATGATTACTTTGGCCAGCTCCACACGCAATGGTCGATCAAGCCCGAGCCAGAGAAGAAGAAGAGGATATCGATTAGATAAAGTGATTCCGCTAGAGTGAACTACTGGCGCACTAATATAATACCAAATAACGTTAATTTCAAATCCTGGATCAAGTTTTACAAAGGTGAAGTTAAGCACTGGGAGCTAGGAGCTGGGAGAATCTGACCGCGTCGCGAGTGCTTTGCGGTTAGAGACTTTTTCCATGGTATGGCGAATAGGTTGGGATATGCCAGCTGTCGGTAGATTTGGATTTATCTAGTTCACCAGGGGCTAGGAGCTGGGAGCCGGGAGTTACAACTCGGAGTTCGGAGCTGGGAGCTTGTGCAAACTCAATTTCGAAATTTGTCGTATCTTGCACGATTTTAAGTGTAAATACTTACAACTTATAGGATGTTTTTATGTTCTAGTTTTCTGCTACAAAATTACCGAAAAACCCGTGAAAAGCAGCCAAAGTATCGATAGCCTTCGGAAAAAGCCAGGGATTGGCAAAAAGTGAATCTTTGCCGGGAGAAAACGCCTTACTGAAATATATTAAAAATATGTCTAGGTATCCGCTACTATAGCTTAGGGTCGAGCTTTTGAGCTCGTGCCTGAACGGCCATCGATCTTCCCGGGCTGATCCGCCTGAACCCCGCAATTCCGCGACACCTTAATTTTACACAGCCCGACCAGCAGAAAAAGGAACCTTTTTGATACCTGAAGTCTGCACACAGTACCGTTCCGGGGACCGCGAAGTAAAAAATTATCATTTAAGAAGCACCTGTCCAAGTCAAGGGGTCCGTAATGCGTCTTCCGCCCAGCCCGGTTGGTCTAGCACAAAGCGTCGCCACGCCATTTTACGAGTAGGCAACGATGTTGGATTCCGAGTAGCCGCCAACTACCTAACTTTTTGAGACGAACTATTCTATTCGATTCCTCTTCGTATTTTTGAATTCTTCTACAGCCATTCCTGTAGTCTGTCGCTGGCTACAGACTACAGAAAGCTAAAAGAACAATTCTTGACTACAAGCCACAACCTTCAAATAATTTTATTCAAAGCACCGGGGGGTGTAATATCGCGATTGAACTTCAATTTTATATATGAACCAAAGTCATATAACCGGCAAATATTTAAAAACGAGAAACTACAAACTGCGATATCTACTGTAATTAAATCGCACTTTTCTGGCCGGCTTACTAAATCTAAAATCCAGTTCGTGATTTTACTATCAGTGATAGATCACAATTTGCATTGGCTTCAAACTCTAGACTACAGACTACAATTTCCTATGCTAGTCTTCGGGTTCCACTTCCAAATCCAGCTCTTCCATTTCGTCAACTACACGGCGTTGGTCGAAGACGGGTTGGAGGATGTGTTAGTCGTCGCCCATTACCTTGAGGGGTTATTTTTGGGACTTGGCATGTGCCTCGTACCGGTTTCTATTTATATAATTACGACAACGAAGGTAAGTAAAGCTACTTGAAACTCTCTTAAAAACCAAAAATTTATAAAAATACATTGTAATTGCTCTAAAAGAGAGCTTTTTATACAGTTTTGAACACTACATCCAAGCTGGATTTTTACGTTGCTTTCAATGGACCTTAATGTATACTTTAACTAATTATTTACGCATCCGAAACTTAGCTAAAAATGTAAAAGATAATTTTCTCTGTTTAGGTAGTCCACCCCAACCTGGCCCAATTCTACATCGTGGCCATGTTTGCCATCTACGTCCAAGTGATTGCGCGGTATCTAATGGTGGTCAATTCACCGGGCTTTATATTTGCATGGATTTATGATGGTTTGACCTGCAAGAAAAGCATAGCTCGATTTTTAGAGCTTCCCGGGATTGTCGTGGCTATGGCGTGGTTGAGTTTAGCGTGTATTTTGATGGTTCCGAGTGAGTTTCTCTCTCTCTCTCTCTCTCTCTCTCTCTCTCTCTCTCTCTCTCTCTCTCTCTCTCTCTCTCTCTCTCTCTCTCTCTCTCTCTCTCTCTCTCTCTCTCTCTCTCTCTCTCTCTCTCTCTCTCTCTCTCTCTCTCTCTCTCTCTCTCTCTTGCTCACTCTCTCTCGCTTTCTTTTCCTCTCTCTCGCTCTCTCATTCTTTCTCTCACTCCCTCTCTCCTTTTCTCTCTCGCACTCTCTCTCTCATAATCTCTCGCTATCTCTCTCGCTCGCTCACACACTTCCTCTCTCTCTACCTATTTTCCATTTTAGCCACGATGAGTCTCCTCGTCTTCGAGCGAACAATCGCCATCCTCCTAGCCGCCACCTATGAAAATGTCTACTACAAGGGATACTTCTATCTATTAAATTTTGGCGGCATACTTTTCGCACTTGGCGCCAGTGGCATTTACACACTCGGTAACACACTTTAATTCGCAGCCGTCATTCCCAGAATTCTCTAGCCCTCGTTCCACCTGCCGCCGGGCTGCTGCTCGCCCTGGCCTGGGCGGTGTGCGTGGGATGTGTAAGTTTGGAAATGTCGATAAGAAGAAAGTGTGAAACTGCTTAGAAGTACATGTAGCTTGATAACATGACGTGGGTAGGTTAGGTCCGCATAAAAAGTTTTTCGAAATCGGCTGGGCATGTCGACAAAAACCGTAAAAAAGGCAAAAATGCGCATAAAAAAAGACTCAATAAAACTTAAAACTGCTTGAATTCAATGTTTTAATGGATTTGAAGTTTGATACCAGTCACAATTTAAGTTACTATTAAAGTATTAAAATTAGCATTGAATTAAAACTATTTAGCTAATGATTATCGTCATCAACGTCAACATCCGCAAAAATGCGCAGTTATATGCAAGCGGCTATACATTGAGTACCCGCTACACCTTGTTACACAATATCCGAGTGATGAAGGTAGCGTTTGATCGCAGTTTTAGACTAGCAATAACCAAAGCAAAGTTTAAAATCCATTTGTATGCCCCTTCCAGATTATGGCTAGTCTCATTTGGTACACCATCTTTGCCAGCCTGCTATTTATCGTGTTATTCACTCTAAATCGAATGTCGATCGGACCGACTTGGCAGAATTGGTGTGGGATGACGCTGAACGTGTTGGCGGCGTTGTGCGTTTTTTTAGAAAGTTTTGTGTATTAAAGGGCACGTTCAGGGAGTTTTTTGGAAAAAAGCAAAGATTTTTGCCGCGGCCGGGGATCGAACTCGGGCCCCCGCTCGGGAGGCGCGGATGCATACCAGTCAGCCACAGCTACAACCTGGCGAGGGGGTGAGGGGCGCTCCACGCCGCAAAGGAGGGGAATGGCATGTCACAGCACGGACAGGCAGTGCGCGCGGTCCCTACGTCCATCGGGTGTACACGTTGGACAGAGTATACGGCCCCTCCCTGAACGTGCGCTTTAAGGTTAGCTTCCGGGAGACAAGTTTTACGCATTAATGATCCCTACAGCGATTGGTGCGCGAGTTGCGTAATTTCCGTTTCTTAGGGGGCCTCGTTTTCAAGGGTAGCCAACCGTTTATGTAACTTTCGTTTTTTACAGAAATTTGGCTCCTAAAAATGCTAATTTCTAAGCGCCAACTTTCAGTTTTGCCTGCACCATCACCTGCATCGGCTTCTTCGCGGACAGCTACACGAGACAGCGCGTCTCAGCCGTGTTGCTAAAGCCACTTCGAGACCTGCGGTTTGTCGAACAACGGCAAAAAAGCATAAAATCACCTTACTTGCAGGCGCGGCTTCGATTTCCGCAAGAATTCCACCTACGAGGTCAGCCAGATCACGATCAACGTGCAGCCGATGGATTCGAATGGAAAGGTCGGAACCGAAATTCAAACTTGCAATAGCTATGAGTTTTTATTGTTTAGCTATTATTCCTTCATATTTGATTTTTTAAAAACATTTATTTCGTTCAGATGCTGTACACAGGCGCGAAGCAGGACGACTACTTCGAGCAGCTCGCCTCGCAGTGGACGTCGAATTTGGAGAAATTTAGGAGAACGTCGACGAAATAATAAAGGATTTATTACGGCTGTCTAATAAATGATCTTCTCGCTCTCTCTCTCTCTCTCTCTCTCTCTCTCTCTCTCTCTCTCTCTCTCTCTGCTCCCACTCTCTGTTCGCCCGCTACTCTGGGCTTTCTCTTTACGGCGCATTCTCAAACTATTTATTGTAAAAATGAAAATCTATTCAGAATAGCTTCACCATTATAAAAAATACAAATAGCAATATACATACAGTAACGAAAATATCAAAACTTAGATCAACAGATCGTTAAACAAAAACATATCAACAAAAAGATCATACCTGTGTAACCCCACACTTTCTCTACAACAATATATGCTAATTTAGCGTCCGAGCTCTACCACGCTTTACTGTAATAAATGAAGTACATTTCGGTTTCTTGTTTCCGGTCGGGCCCGGCCGGCTCCTCGGGTGAAATTTGGCGCCACCGACGCAGGATGGGCAGGTGCATAAAGTGGGCCCACACCCCGACGCGCCACTCCTTGATTGAATACAGGCCGACGAGCAAGTAGCCCAGACAAAAGCTGAAAGGAAAAAAACCATGCTTTCTCGGGTGTAGCTTGGTGTGAAATGTACAGGGCCCTAGCTAGAGAGAGTTAGAGAGTGAGAGAGAGTGATAGAGAGAGAGAGAGAGAGATGGAGAGAGAATGAGAGTGAGAGCGAGAGAACGCGAGAGAGAGAGAGACGGAGAGAAAGATCGAGATAAAGAGAGCGCCATGCAAAACCGTAATTTCGAAACCTACAGTGACGTCATCGCCTCATACATGGCTCCCGTAGTTTGGGCGCCAACGGAATTCTCCTCGAATGCCAAAACTGTAGAAAATAATAAGGTGCACCCAAAAATGTTGCACACCAGCGAAAAGTAGAGGAATACACGAATGAACTAAATGTAAACTTATTATGCGATTTTACGCCACGCGACTTACCTGAAAACTTTTGATGTTCTCCGCGGCTTGATATCTGGCGGATAGATTGTATTGGCCGTCGTTGATCTCAAGCAACTCCAGCGCGTGCGCGTTTTTCTTCTCCATTTCGCGAACGGACTGTTAATGTCGTATTTAGAGTTAACCCACCATCGCCCCCCCAAACGCGCCGGCCCCCCCACACCCGAGGCGTGGAAGACCCCTCTAATTGGCTGTAGATACCCGAATTCTTATGAATTTACTCGTTGAAGATGTATTAAAATGTTGTCAAAAAGCATACTTACCCAGAAAAATACGCAGAATATCGTCAAAATCGACGGGACACCGATGAGGGCGGCAATGTTCGGGATGACGGCCATGACTGCAATAATTATTCATGGCTATGGTTTTATTTTACGTTACTTTTTTATTCTACATTATTTTAGGCTCAAACTAAAACCTTGAGTTTATTTTTCGATGTGCTTTCGGATGGTGTCGCAAAAATCACGACAAAGTAAGCGAAAATACCGAAACCCTTCGGCTGTGGAGCGGGGTCAAGGAAACGCTTACCTTATTTTTGAAGGTTTTTCTTCTAATGTGAAACATAAAAACTCATTTTTTAGAACTCAACATTATACTTAACGCATCATAAAATGCATGAAAACCCACAAAAAGCTCCAGCCAACGAGGAGAGAATCGAGCTGAAGATCGCCGAACCAATGATCAGCGCCGAAATTATGGTGCGCGGGTTTCGCTCGTAGTCCCACATGAAGATTAGTGCGTAGAGCCTAAAATTGCCTGATTTGCATTGGCTTAAACATCAACAGACACAAAGCTTTTTGTGCAATTAAACTCCAAACATGTTTTGTGGTTTTTCTGTTTTGAATTTCGCGCGCCTAGCCTCCAAAATACTACCTACACTTTACTTTACCCCACCCCCAGCCGGAAGTTTTTGGCTGTAACTTTTTTATTTTACATTATTGTAGGCTCAAAGTAGAACTCTTAATATATTTTTCGACGATCTATCGAATGGCTTGGCAAAAATCCCGACAAAATAGCGAAAATACCGAAAACTTGGATACCCTTCGGATGTGGGTAGGGGGGGGGGATCGTCGAAGTCTTACCAAGATACTTAACCAGCGCAAAAAAAACAATAAGTCAGTCAGAAAAATGTCGAGGGTTTAACACCAGCAAAAAGCTCGAAATGTACTTAAAACAATTAAGTCAGTTCAAAAAGCCACAGCCCTTTCTTACCGTTCACTAATAATCATCGGAAATATCGTAAACACCACGACCATTGATTGCAGTCGGATCATGACAATCATAATTAACACCAAATCTCCGCTAAAGGTCCCTACAAAACTACCGCGTTTCAAAAAAAAACGCGTAAAATTACCATCGCGATCTATCAGCCCAAACTCATAAAGCAACGATATTAGGCGAGTCACTACCATAACCATCGCGTGAATTATAGAAAATACAAATATTCTGGTGAGGTTGACGTGAAATCGCCCAGAATTTGCGACTATTCGGAGGTACGGTATGTAGAGAACCAGGCAGAAAATCAGCAACAGAAATTCGATGAAGGTGGCTTTTAGGACGATACATTGGAGGATAGGGTGTTCCTGGAAAGCAATGAAATCTCGCTCTCTCTCGCTCTCTCTATCTCTCTCGCTCTCTCTCACTCTCTCTTTCTCTATCTATCGCTCTCTCTCTCTCTCTCTCTCTCTCTCTCTATCTTTCTCGATCTCACGCTCGCTCTCTATCTCTCGCCCTCTCTATCTCACTCGCTCTCACTCGCTCTCTCTCTTTCTCTATCTCTCGCTCTCTCTCTATCTCTCTCGCTCTCACGCTCGCTCTCTATCCCTCTCCCTCTCTCTCTTTCTCTATATATCCTCTCTCTCTCCTCTCTCGGTCTCTCTCTCACGCTCTCTCGCACGACATACCTTTAGTGCCTTAATATCAACAAACAAAAAGACGACAAATTTCCAATCATTGCCCTGATAATCAAAATGGTAGATCATCGAGGAAAGAATAAGTTCAATTTTCTCGGAATGCCGCGGTGGTCCGGACGCAGTTTGGTTGTGCTCTCCCAAAAACATTTTGTTGCACCTGCTCGGCTAGTTAGGGTGGAGAGCCAGGATTAAGGGTTGACAGAACACATCTGCAGCTGAACAGGATTTGCCTAATTGGATGTTACTTACCTTGGTTTCCTGAATTAACTTTTGTAACAGGCGATGTGAAGTAACGCGGAGCCTTCTCTTTGTTACTTCCGCGCCCAATATAAGCATTTCGAAGCCCACGACGAGTCCTTTGAAGCCCAATATTAGCACTTCTTAGCCCAATACAAGCCTTTTGAAGCCCAATACCCGGCGCCCCGACACTTGCGGCGCGACACTTGCGGCGCGACATTTGCGGCGCGACACTTGCGGCGCGACACTTGCGGCCGACACTTGCGGCTCGGTATCGGCGCGCCGCGGCTCGGTCATTTGCGGCGCGACACTTGCGGCGCGACACTTGCGCCCGACACTTGCGGCGCAGTATTTATTATTTTAAAATGTTGTAAATTTGGCATTTCTTCGCGGATTTTGTTTGTAATTGTTGTATTTGTGTTCAAAATTAGCAATTTAAACGACCCGCAGTCGGAATGCCCCTGAGGGCCAGGCGCGTAGGAGGGGGAGGGCAGAGGGGGCAGGCTGCCCCTCCCGAAATCCGGCGGTCCCGAAAAAAACGTAAGGGTCCCCCCTTATGATTTTTCTATTTCGATAACTTTCTCGTAAAAATTTTTCTCGCTGCCCCCTCCGAAATGTCGCTGCCCCTCCCGAAATTTGGGGTCAGCTACGCCCCTGCTGAGGGCATCAGGCAAGGTGGGCCGTCGCTTCGGATGGGCTGCCGCTCCACTCTTTCTAAATCGGGGCGCCTGGGCGCTTCGCGCTCCTCGGGCGCCCCGATTTAGAAACACTGTACGAGCTCGCACCCATCCGAAGCGACTAGGCCCCGGGTGGCACGAAGCCTTTTTCTAGTCGCAGAGCGGAGGAAGTAGCCGCCACTTTCCCTCCAAATTGAGTGACTTCTGTCGCAAACCCGACTTCTTACAATTTTTTTAATACGAAATTCGGACGCAGCTTATAAAATAACACCTTGAACTATTTTTATATAGCTTATACTAAATAACCGCAAGGTCGCGCCGCAAGTGTCGCGCCCGCAAGTGTCGCGCCGCAAGTGTCGCAGCCGCAAGTGTCGCGCCGCAAGTGTCCGCGCCGCAAGTGTCGCGGTACCCAATACCCGCACTGCGAAGCTCAATAAGAGCGCTTCGAAGCTCACTACGAGCAGTTCAAAGCCCAATGCGAGCACTTCCAAGCCAAATTCGACGCCCAGCGCGCCCCAGCGCTTCCAAGCCCAATTTTTGAACTGCTACAGGCTCTTAGTGTTTTTGTATTTTTTTTTTATTCGCGCAGTATGAAGCTCTGGATTGTGAGGTTTTTATCAGTACTAAACACTCGGCACATTCTCAACCACATCCAGAGATCAAGGGGGATTTTACGACATGTTCCGAGCTGAGCGCCGAGCGAGATAATTTCACTAGCATAATAACATTTATTTTAGATTAGTGCCCATCGATTTGAGCCTGGCCTATCAATTTCATGGGCTTTGCCGAGATTTTCATTCGCTCAGTTGTGGGATTGGTAAGGATTTATAACGGAAAGGGGGGAACAAAAAAAGGCTGGCAGAAGCTAATACTCTCCTGGCTTTCATTAGTGCATCGAAAGCGCCAGCGTTTCACGCGTTGCGGGGCGGGGCATTATTAAGCAATTTTACTTGTGACTCTACAGCTTCCGAACTAGTCTTAGGAGTCTCGGCAATGTTTGCGTTGTCAAGGTAAATCTTAGACCAGCATTCTGCCGTACATCGAAGCAGTAGATCTATGCATATAAACAGACTGCACCGCGCAATTCCGAGCGAATCTAGCCACAAGTTCGGGAGAAATCCGATTGAAAAGCATAAGTTCTTTGAATCACCGGCTACGGGCATGGGAAATGTCTAATTCACGTAAATGAATTTTTATGCCCCTGCACGTAACAGTTCAAACTTGGAAAGTGGTTAGTGCAGCGCTATAACTTTGGCTTTTGGCCCTAATTCTGGGGGTCTTGCAAATTTATACTGTGGCTACGGTATCGTTTTGTCGCTGGTTACATTTCCATTATTTACAAATAACAATTGCAAAAATAAACCTGGATTTGGATAAAACATATGCTGTAATTTTATTAACACCATACTTCAACAGAAATAACGAATCTAGCAAATATCATTTGTTTCGGTTTGTCCCTTTTGGCTTTCGGCAGTCTCGGACGTCCTTGTGAAATATCGAACTTTGGCGCTCCTCGTTCTCATCGGCACTTTCAGGCATACAAGTATCCGGAAAATCGGCTTCAAGCAACTTTCACGATACGGCTTCACAAACCAAATCGTGATGAAAGGGCTAATTGAGCTGGCCTAAACCAAAAAAACTAAAAACAAGAAAGTTTCTAGATACCACAGCCAAGGACAAGAAGACCCATTCCTCATAGTAGGGAAGATACGCTACACCTCTAAAAACAAAACTGAAAACCTCGCAAAAGATCTCTTACGGAAATTCGAACTGTTTCCAAATGTAAAAAGCCGATTGGGACATGCAGAAGAATGGGAGCAAAGCTTGAAGACCAAGTGCCTAAAACAACATTAAAAGCTAAAAAGTGAACAACGCACCGTGACCAAACTTTTCTGAGCGGCTCTCGTCTTCTTGCTCATTGCAATATCAGAGTTCAACTTCCTCAAAATCTTCTGGCGATAGTAGATCGATATAGCGTAGCCAGGAAAGACCGGCATGCACACCCAAACGATGAGGAGAAAGGTTCTAAACGTCTAAAAATTAGTAAATTCTTGTTAATCCTACTCGATATCAAGCATAGAGCGAAACCCGGTCACCACCGCTATCTTCGGATCATTGGGCCATAGCGATTCGGGCCGCTTTTCGGCGAGTATCTTGTAAATATAAGCCGAATCTGCCTCGACAAACGCAACAATGTGCAAAATCTAAAAGTTGATACTATGTATAAAAAAAGCTAGACAACTGACCATTGTGATAAAAGCCGGCACGTAGACGAGGAAACAATAAAAAGCAATTTTTGCCGTCGGTGGCGCTTTGTGCTTGATAACGTGGTGTTGTACCTAAGCATTTACAACTTTCGAAATACACCCGTAAATGTACCAAAAAGACAGCGGCATCAACGTATAGGAATAAGAAATGCAGTGCGAAGTGACGGATTGAGCTGAAAGCAGAAAAATTGTTCGGTTGAATGAGGATAAATTTTGGAAGACTGGTTCCGCGAAAAAGAGAAAAACCACTCGTTCGAAAGCACCGCCCCGCGCCGCAACGCGTGAGACGCCGGCGCTTTCGATGCACTAATGAAAGCCAGGAAAGTAGCACATTTTGCCAGCCTTTGTTTGCGTTTTCGCGACATTTCCGCTACAAATGCTTACCAATTCCACAACTGAGCGGATGAAAATATCGGCAAAGCCCATGAAATTGGTAGGCCAGACTTAAGTCGATAGGCACTAACCTAAGATAAATTTTATTATGCTAGTGAATTTATCGCTCTCGTTGTATGTGACAATTTTTACCTGGGCATTGCAAACATTGATGAGGCGCCGAGCACCAGCTCGGAACAGGTTGTACTTAAAAATTCGTTGTAAAATGAAATTTTTCCTTTCCTACCAAGCCAAAATGATTGAGTAGGACCTAAAGCCCCTCGAGGTGCGGAATATAATCAGAAACAACAATAAAAGGTTGGCTAGTGCCGAAACCGTGTCGCAAAAGTGGTGAACTCCAATGAAAACGGCAGCGCGTTGAGGCGTAAAGATTGGTTCTTGCATTTCTAAAGTGTTTGACAAATGGCGAATTTGATGTTTCGATGAATGAAAAATAAATTCCAAACTAATCGATTAAACATATTGTTTCTTAATGGGAAACCAGGGTTGAAAAGCCGCTTCGCGACTTCTCAACCCTGGCCCCGTTTGGACAAATGAAACTGTAAAATTTGCATAATTCAGTCTCAATCAAACTGACAAAAATGAAAAGATTTCCTTCCATCCCTTTTTATGGGCTTCTTCTACTTCCGGTATATGCAAATTGTTTCCTACCAAAGAGGGTTCTCGAAAATTTTAGAAAAACTTATTTCTATTATCGAAAATAGCGTATTTCGATGATTCTGTTATGCGTGCAGTCATCCCAGAGCCATTACGCACCTAATGATGTATCATACGTACCCTAATATTCATCCCCTATTGAGTTATCCTCCGGACATACAGACGGAAGTTGCATGCAAATCGACACACACACAGACACTAATTTTTTATATATAGTAGGATAAGGGCAAAACAAGATTCAAACAGATCTCAGGCAAAGAAGGAACATTAAGACGATTTTTTGGGTTTGCAATTAAAAAAAACGTTTTGAGCTACTCGCTTATATTGTCTTAATGCAGCTTCAAACACTAAAATGAAAAAAAACAGAGGGTAGAACACTTCCATAGACCACTTTTTTCGACGAATCGGAGCCAAGGGTCATAGATAATGAGGGTGCTGGGTGCTGCTTTGAAATTGGGCCCAATTAATTCCGCTCGGAGATGTTTTTCAGGGTACCAAGAATCCCGAACGAAGCCCAGCAAACTCTTCCCAAAAACTGAGAATTTTTTCGAAGGCTGAAACCTTAAAACCCGATGAAGGCACCGCCGCACCTTCCGAAAAAGAAAACAAGGATGCTGACCGTCTTTTGGGGCTAATAATTGTAAGTAGCGTGTAAACAACATGGGAAAAATCAGGTGGCTTTGTCAGCGAGAACAGCCTATTAGTGTGAGAAATGGCGCCAGCGACCTCAAAAACATCCAAAGCACGCACCGAGGAAGTGCAGTAACTAGTACATAAAAATGGCGGTTTGGAGAGTACATGATGTATCTTAGAAAATGGAGAGTTACCCAAACTCTTTCCGAAGACAATGGCGACATCGGCAATGCCAGTAAAAAAATGGGCGACGGAAATAGGATGGCTTAAGAATTTCCGGAAGGCGCCTCCGCGAAATGTTTGTAGTCGAGGCCAGGCCCGCGGAAAATGCGTTACGTCTAGGTAATTGCCCTTTCTGCTCGGTTTAGCTCAGTTCATTGTAAGCCAGAATGTTGGCTCTTTTGCATTATCGGGGGGGATGGGAGAAAAATTTTTGTATCAAACTAGAAATGCATAGTAACATTAAGAAAAAGGACTTTCATAATGTTTTTAGTAAATAAAGCTATATTTTAACTGTAGAAAAACTGTAGAAAAAAATCCCTAAAACTTTCAAAAGTTTTCAAAAAGTTGATTTTTGGTCAAGGCTGCCATTTTTGGCCGAAAAATAGATATTTTTTGGTAGTATGAAATTAATTACGATTTAATTAACATTTTGTTAAGTTTTTACGTTTGGGTGAGCAAAAAAAAACAATTTAGACATACTTCGGCGATCTTCATTTCAAAAACATCGTTCCTAAGAAAATAATTGCCTCCCTCGATAATGCAACAGAACCAGAATGTAGATATTTTCGGGGGTTCAGTTTTCCAAAGTGAAACCAAGAATCGCGGCTGTTTTTGCGACCTAATAACTACGGTAAGCAAAGTGTAAACATCATGGGGAAAAATCAGGGTGCTTTCTCGGCGGGAACAGTCCATTAGTGTGGGAACGGTCGGCGGCTTCTTGAAAATAACAGAAGCACACCGGGAAGAGGAGTACTACATACTCCTGGGATTTCGGAAGATATACCGTTCGACTGTGTTTTAAGGAGGGACAATGACGAAAAGGTGTGCTTCCGCCATTTTTACGGATTATTCCAATACGGATTCCATTCGGAAAAATTAAAAACAAAAAACTATTACATTCAACGTAGAAGAAAAGGCATCCGGAATGGTTGTAGCCTAGGCTAGACTCTCGGAAATTGGGTTCAAGTCATGGTAATTGTCCCGTTCAGTACGCGTTGATGGAATCCATCGGAATACGCAAAAAAACTTGCAGAGTTAAGCAATTTCTGCAAAAAGTTTTTCCGACCTGGCAATGACGAGCACTGACTACCTGTTCCTTTTAAAATTCCAGGAAAAGTTATATGTAAGCAGTGAGATGTTACGCAGATCGACGCGACGTCGGGATAATATGCAAATCAGGATGCAATGTACAAAACAAGCTCGATAAAACAATTTTTTGCGCTTTGCATCTTAATTGGAATGTTATCTCGACGTTGCGTCGGGATGCGTGACATCTCTAGTAAGCAGACCGACAACGAGGTATCCTAAGAAGTGCCTTGAATAGTTTTGCTTCCCAAAAATCAACTGGCGTTTTGTGAAGAGTCGTGGATTGGACATCAGCGAAATGACACCATCAAAGCGTAATAATCGCATATTACGCGCATAGAATGGTTGATTGAATTCGGATGCGGAAAGGGCAGGAAATACTCAGGACGGTATCTCAAACCTCAGGCCCCCCATGTACTTTACGGCTCAATTTTCGAAGTTCCCGGGTTCCCAAGTTTGGACGAAACATTCCCTATAAACGGAGTCCACATTGTGCTACTATTTTGTATATTAAAAGCTTTTTGCAGGTTTAATCAAATTACTTTGTTTTTGGCAAAATCCAACGGTAAATTCTGGTTTTCCAGTAGGTGCGTATTTTACTAATGCGGTGTTATGCTTTACTGGTTACAATTACGTGTAGATTTCAGGAATGAGCTCGCAATTTGTGAATTCTAGTGAGTTCACAAAGAAATGCAGCAAAAACAGTTACGCCGAAAACCGAAAGAGTGAGGGCCGTCATCCCGCGGCGGCGGCTGGCAATTTGCCAGAAATCACAGAGCCCTTCCAAGAGGGTTTTGATTTGCAAACTTTGCAATTTATTCCAAAAATCCAAAACAGGACCCAAAAAATTTAAGCCCAAAAAATCATCCCAAATCGTTCATTGTCGTCGACACCGGCGTGCTCGACAGAAATCTAGCATTCGCCGCAGCCAGCCTCAATTTGTTGGCCCTACGGTTTTCCTTGGTCACGGCGATAGTTGAAGTTTCGGAGATGACAAAAGTGCGAGGCTTGACACAGCCTAAAAAGCTAGCGTTTTTCGGGTTTAATAAAATACAAGGTTACATGCGTAAGGCTATCAAATAAAAAAAATAGACTACTTACATGGAAATATTTTCACGCCCATTCGCCAAAGAATGTGTTTAATGTACATTTTATACGGTCGATAGAGTGAAAACGTAGTCACCGTAGAGAAAAAGCCGTGCCAGCCAAGGATGAAGGTAGCTAGGGGAATTAGACCTAAAAATCTCTAACATTTCGATTTGCTATCATATTGTAGAAAAGCATAATTTCAAAATACCTAATGTCGAAAATTCAGAATGTAGACATTTTAGAGTGTCGAAATTGCCTAATGTCGAATTTTGTTGCCTAGGGTTCGAGGGTTTTTCCAGGTAATTCGCCTCTGTAAATTTCGAAATTCTGAATTTCGACATTATGAAGTTTTGATATTATCAATTTCGACATTCTGAAATCTCGACATTATGAATTTCCAACTTGGAAGTGACCCTAAAATGAATTAATATCCAGCTTACCAAAGAGAGCCACCCATTCTAAGATGATATCAGTGACGGCGAGTGCAACTGGCAGGATAATCGTTATTAGCGGGATTGTCACCTGGAAAATATTTCTAGACGTTTCCAACCTTCACTGACTTGTAGCAGACAATTTTTCATCCACTTTTTCTGCAAGTTATAAGTTTTTTCGCTCATCAGACGTCGCCTCACATGCAAAACGTGAAAGCTGGAGAAACTAGCTCCTAAACGAAATGCGTTTTAAAACTATAAAAAATACCCTTACCCATCACTATAAAAAACAAGACGACCACCCAAGCCGAAATATTTATCATCATCAGGACCCCGTCTTTAGGGGTGAAAACATAACAGCGTGGCACCTCCAGGAATTGGCGAAACATGAAGTAGCGCTAAATTCATGCAATGCTGCCAAAAGACTGAGAAACTACCTTCAAGTAAAGCTGCTTAGTAGCTTCTACATCATCATTATAAAAAACGTAGCTTGCCATGGTGATTAAATGAATATAAGCAAAGATTTGGAGGCCGATGTAGACGCCGAGCATTAGTCTGTAAGATCCAGAAAACAGTGTGCTCATGTTGGCCTACTTATGATCAAATTTTAACAGGTGATTTGGTGGCATAATCGCTTGATGTCGCAGCATAAACATAATCATCAGGAGGGAAGCCATGTGGGCTGCGACGCCGAAACCAATTCCCTAAATAGAGACATTTCTAGCGTCAAATTAGCCTTTAACCCGCTTAAAAATCATATTTGTACAACGGCGTGACACACAATAAGTAACGAGCCATACGGTTAAAAAACTGACGATTTGAACTTGAGTCGAAACCCCAAATTTCCAGAGCCAACCGTTCGGATATCCTCCGGGAATCGGAAAAATAAAATAGGGGGTAAGAATCCAGCTGACGAAGGCGTCGGTTAAAAATGATAATATCTAAATATAGGTTTTGCATTATATTATTAAAACTATAACAAATTTGCTGTGGTCTCTGTCCGTTTGAAGCCGAATTCAACTCGAAGGGGAAAGAAGCTAGAGATTAGGTCTCTACGGATACGGATAGAGCGCGGTCAAAAACCCCGAATCTGATCAAAAACTTCAGTTTCATATTTAAAAATCGATTTGAATATTTTGGTAGTAAAAACGGCTTTATGCACTAATTTGGGGCATAGTGGGCCAGGCCGCGCGCGTTTCGGCCAAGGGGGAGGGTGCGGTGATGGGTAGCCGAAGTAGTAGTAGTAGAGTCCAGGTCTCGTCTTATAGCGTATATAGGTTATAACCGAGTTAGGCGTTAAAGTCCGACCTGGTATGCTGTCAACGCAATTCCATAGGAGCGCATCGTATTCGGCGTATGAAACCCGATCACCCAGACCCCAAAAGCATTGAAAAACATGGCAACCACTAAAAATCGCGTGAAAATTATAGATCTGCGTCAACTTGATGCATAATCCATCCATCGAAAGAGGTCCTGATTCGTGCTGAGCGGAATTTCCTGGCTGGTGTCAATTGTGAATGCGAGATTTCCCATCAATGGATCGATAATTTGTAGCAAGTTTTAAGCATCGAATTTTTGGAATGGAATGTGGTGGGGCAGGGGTTGTTCAAGCTGCGAACTTTTAATGAAATTGAGGCTTTCACCTGCCGGACATCTGGCCTTGGTCTGCCCCCGTAACTTGAAGAACTGGCGTTTCGGTTTTCCATTTTGGCGGCTAGTAAGATGCAGCAAGGGCTACGGTTTACTTTATTCCTCCCCAGCCGGCTGGCTTTGGCTATAACTTTTTATTTTCTATTATTTTAGGCTCAAATTAAAACTTTTAGTATATTTTTCGACCCTCTATCGAATGGCGTTGAGAAAATCCCGAAAAATAGCGAAAATATCGAAAACTTTGGGGAGGGGGTACAGTAGACTTTTACCTGCAGCGAATCTGTATTTATCGTGCAAAAAATATGAGTATTTCTTTGCCGGTCGCCGATTCTGTTTGTTCGTGTTTGTGCTCATTTTTCGGTGTTGCGGTTCGGTTCTAACCGTCTTCGACTGTACTTTTTTTAGGCGCAACTCCTTTTATTATCCCACATCGTTCATCGTGCTCTCGAGTGGTGAGTTCGACATGAAACTAGCATTCGCTGCCGCCACCCTCATTTTGGTAGCCATTCTGGTCTGCTTTGTGACGGCAATCGTAGAGGTCTCGGAGAGGACGAACGTGCGAGGTTGGACCCAGACTAAAAAGAACATTCCGAGGTTTTGGGGATTATCATAGCCTAATTGGCAAAACTCACAAGGAAACAATCTGGAGCCCAGGCGCCAAAATATCTGTTTAACGTAAGTTTTGTAAGGCCGATACAGTGTAAAGGTCACGACAGTCGAGCAAAAGCCATGCCAGGCCAGCATGAAGGTGATAGCGGGCAGAAAGCCTGGTGGTATCGTGGATTTTTAAAGCAAAATATCTCACCAAAAATCACCACGAGATCAAGCGCTATATCGATGACGGCGATCACGACGGGGAGGACAATGGTGATCAGCGGAATTGATACCTGAAGATACACATGCTTATTCACATTTTGACCCGACCGCACCTGCAACAGACAGTTCTTCATCCACTTTTTCTGCAGGTTGTACGTCTTCTCGCTCATCATATGCCGCCTCACGTGCAAGACGTGGAAGCTGGAAAAGCTGGCGCCTAGAGGCATCGTTTTCTTTGATGCGGAGGACCCTACCTAACACCAATACAAGTAGCGCGATCGCCCAGGCGAAAACGTTGCTGACGACGAGGAACCCATTGGCGGGTGTGAAGACGTAAGTCCGTGGCACCTCCAGGAACTCTCGAAACATGAAGTAGCGCTGTAATTCGTTTGAGACAGCCAGATCTAAGACCAGAATTGCTCTGGTTTTGGTACCTCTAAGTAGTAAGCCTTAGTCGCGGCAACGTCGTCGTCATAGAAGACATAGCTGCTAACACTTATAACGTGCGTATATGCAAAAAACTGTAGACCAATGTAGAACCCGATCATATAACTAAAAATGCTGTCTAGTCACCCCTTTTTCTCCATCAACCATTACAAAGGAAGTTTTCACTCGTCGTTACCTGGGGTCAAACTTGAGCAGATGAGTCGGCGGCATAATCGCCTGATGTCTGAGCATGAACATGATCATCAGCAACGAGATCATGTGAGCAGCTACAGAGAGACCGATCACCTTAAAAAGTTTAGAATGAAAGGAAAAACAACGTACGATCTGCACTTGAGTCGAGACACCAAACGTCCATAACCAGCCGTTTGGATAACCGCCCGGGATCGGGAAAATAAAGTAGGGGCTAAGGATCCAGCTGAGGAACGCGTCGGTTAGAAACGACAAGATCTAAATAGGGTGTCTTTATCCTTAAAAAGATGAAGTAGGATCTGCCGTTTTACCTGATACGCTGTTAATGCAATCCCATAAGCACGCATCGTATTTGGAGTATGAAACCCGATCACCCACACTCCAAACGCGTTGAAAAACATGGCGACTACTAAAAAAAACTCCTAGAATTACGAAAGCCAGACAAACTTGAAGCGTAGTCCATCCATTTATAAAGATCCTGATTCGTGGTAAGCGGAATTACTTTGTTAGGATCGATGAATAACGCTAGGTTGCCCATCAATAATTGTGAGTCTAGTTTTAAGGTCGATAGTGACCTCCTCGGGGTAACGGGGCATGTTCATAAGCCAATTTAATGCAATAACCCAATTTCACCTGCCAAATGGCCTGCTGGGTTCGCGGGCCGTGCTCTAGACAAAAAGATGCCGGTTTTCCCTTCGAATGAGGCGAAAAAACCATCATCATCAATAACAAAATGAAAGGGATATAAGGCTCGCCGGGTGCCTAGTTGCAACTTAAAAAAATCGTAAAAATCACAAAATCGATTTTTGAGCTATGCCAGTTGGCACAACGGAATCAGCGTTTCGAGTTTTTCGAATGAGTCCACGGCGAAATTCTGACGAGTTCAACTGGCTAACACGAATTTTCGAAAAAATCGACATGGTCCCAACCCTAACTTAAGATCACAAATTATTTATGCGCTTGAGCATTTTATGGTTATTCTTGGTTTATGCGTTTTAATTGGGCAAATTGCCCCACTTCATCGGATTTATTCTGTTACTCCCAAAACCACAAAACCGACAAAACGATTTCTTAAACTTCTAACGTTAAAAACATCATTTTTCTAATTTTATTTATTGCTAAAACATTCGATAGGCTATCTGATCTCGCTCGCTGGACTGACAAGGTAGGTGCCGGAGAAGAAGCTAGTTCTGGGCGCAGAAGCAGGAACCTTGTGTCCCTCCCTCTTTTCGCGAGCGACCATGACGCTGGAATGCTCGGAAAAGTGAAGGACGCGCCGCTCCACCCAGCCTGAAATAACAGATTCAGCTATGGACCACATACTACACTTACCAGGCATCACCTGTGCGCCCACATCCGAAAACAACTTCAGGATCCGGGTTTTGTAAGGGCGATAAAGGGCAAGAGTAATGACTGTAGAAACAAGACCATGGAAGCCCCAAGCGAAGGTGATCAACGGGTTTAGGCCTTGAAAGTTCTAGCGTAAAGCCTTCGTGGAGTTAGTAACCTACCGAAAAGGCCGGATAATTCGAAGACGATTTGAAGAACCACGGTAAAGACCGGTACCACGACAAATATAAAAGGAATCGATACCTTAAAAATTTTGTGACGCCGGTAAAATATTGAAAAACCAGCGCCCAAAACCCGCTTCGCGGGCCTTGGGCGCTGGAATGCGGTTTTTGCATGATAACTTTGACTTTCCGATCACTCGGGTCCTTCGACCCCTCCCCTCTGCTGACCACACGGGCGATTGCAACTGGCAAGACTGAGGAAATTTGTATTTTTCGCATTATGCAAATTAGCCCTCCCGGACCCCCAAAAATCAATAAAACCGGCTTTAACTTTGTAAACCTTTATTTTATCGAGATTCTGAAAACGCCATCGGAAAGAGGAGGGTCGATTCCCCCAAGTGACGGAGAATTAGGGCATTTTGGACACGGGAAGGCCCTCAAATCGGGCCTCGAAAGTGACATCCGCACACACACACACACAAAGATACGCGACCAAATTATATAAGGTAGGATACCTGTAGCAAACAGTTCTTCATCCACTGCTTCTGCAGTCGATGTGTTTGCACACTCATGGTATGCTGTCTAACGTGAAGTACGTAGAAGCTTGAGACGCTGGCGCCTAAAAATAATCTTTGACACTGCTGCGGCCTCCGACGGCTACCGAGCATAACTAGAAATGTGAATATGGTCCAAGCGCCACCACCATACGCCACGATAAGCCCGCCAGCTTTAGACAAGGCCATGCAACGAGGAATCTCCAGGAATTGACGAAGCATTGGATATTTCTAAAGTGAAATAAACGTCAAGTCGTGAAGTGTGGTTACCTCTAAGTACACAGCCTTCGTTGCCACTTGATCATCGCCATGAAAAATAATGCAGGACATCACCAGCACTAGAATGTAAACGAATAGCTGAAGAGCGACGTAGAAGCAGAACATAGGTCTAAAGGGACTTTCAAAATGGCCAATAGGGATACCTCGGTCGAAACTTTAGCAAGTGCGTAGCCGGCATGATTGCTTGGTGCCTCAGCATGAACATGACCATCAGAAGGGCTTCGGTGTGAAGCGCCACGGCAAGACCGATGCTCTGAAAAAAAACTAGCACATAAAAACTCTTTGGAAGCCTTAAGACAGCTTTCTGACGATGCAACCTTGCCGACCTTGCAACCTTGGACTTCGGGCTACCCCCCTGCGCTCCCTCCCCCCTCGCCGAAACGCGCGCGACCTGGCTCACTTTGCGCAAAATCGTGCAAATAACCGTTTTACTACCAAATTACAAAAATCGATCTTTAAATATGAAAATGAAGTTTTTATATTATGTTAGCATTTGGGGTTTCTGACCACGCGCTATCCGAATCCGAAGAGATCTAAGCTCTAGCTTCTTTCTACTTCGAGTTGAATTCGGCTTCAGCCCCGCAGGGACCACAGCAAAATTATTATAGTTGATCATATTGCTAGCCCAAGGTTTTGCAGAAATTATTCCATTAAGCAGATCTACTTACAGTTTGCAATTGCGTCGAAACACCCAATTCCCATAGCCAGCCAGTCGGATAACCGCCAGGAACTGGAAAGATAAAATAAGGGGATAAGATCCAGCTCAGCAAAACGTCAGTGAGCAGCACTACTATCTAAAAAAACTGATCGCGACATCGCGACGCAGGATGTTTGCTTACAGGCAGAGGAAAGCCTCAAAAATGATTGTTCTATCAAGTATGTCAAGTATGGCTTCGGCAGAGCCCGAAAACTTCAACTTACCTGATATGCTGTCAAAGCAATTCCAAAATCTCGCATCGATTTTGGCGTATGGAATTCGATAAGCCATAATCCAAATAGATTGATGCACATCCCTACGACTAAAGGGGAACACCGCAAATTCAACTTATTCATAAAACATACCAGATGCATACTCCATCCACGTGAAAATTTCCTGATTGATAGTCAGTGGAATTTCACGCGTACTGTCAACCGCCAAAGTCACATTGCCCATCACTGTTTTGTTGTGCCGCGGTGTTCGGCGATTTCTAGATGCCGCGAATCGAGGTAAAACCGTTTCACCTGCGCTCACGTTGGTCCCTTATCCAGGCCACTTTTCAGACGCCCGCGCTGCTCGGGCGGGCGTCCTGCCTGAATTAAACATTCATAAATTCAATTAAATCCAAAAAACTGGATCTAAAAAGGCCCAAATGCGTCAGGTAAGTCTGCGTAGCCAAATTTGATAAAACATACCTACCGCAAAGCATGGATCGGGTCCACGAGGTTGCAACTGGGAGTAACATCAGGTTTCGGTGCCCAGTAGCTGACTTGAAGCCAAGCTGAGGACATATGGGACTACTTTTTGAATCCGTTTGTTGCCGTTTTTCTTGATTCTTTTGTTTAGTGATGATGCAAGTTTTATCCCAAATCGTTAATCGTATGCACATGCACGGGTTCGGTGTTTGAGAAGAAGCGGGTCCTTGAGGCCTCTCCGCGAGGTTTTCGAGGATGCCGTCTATCGTGCGACACCGTAACGCTAGTATGTTCCGGAAGGTGAGAGACACGGCTGACGAAGCATCCTAAATAGGGATATTTCTGTCAGGTAGAGTTGGAAAGCCCCCCCGAAAAATACCCCAGGGGTATTTGAAAACCCCCCGCCGCAAACTTGGGTAATTGAACCAAAATCCGGGGTCTCGAAAGTTCGGTTTGTTCGATCGGCCGAACTGTTATTTCTGATCAGTGGGCCAGGTCCTCGTCTTTCTTTTACCTTCCGGCAAAAGACGCATACCTGGCCCACTCATCGGTGTCAATTCGGCCCTACTAACGAACATCTGGACGGGGGGCTTTCTAAAACACCCCCGGCGGTTTTCGGGGGTTGTCAAAGTCTACTGTCAGGCTATCCTCATGACATCATCGGGTCATACGGGGCAGAAATAAACCTGCCTGGTATCAATCCTGCACCCAGTTTCGAAAAGATCTTCTTCGTCTGCATTTTATAAGGTCGATAGAGGGCTAGTGTAATCAACGTGGACATGGAGCCGTGGAAACCCCAGGCGAAGGTGATTAGAGGGTTGATACCTAGATCCAGTTTAGCGTAAGTCGCGATAACCGGGTCACCGAAATAAACCGTTGATTCGAAGACCACGATTAGAATCAACGCGATGACCGGTGCGACGACAAAGGCAAACGGCACTGATACCTTAAATATAAGCGTAAGACGAACTAACCGATTTAATAAAACCAACAACTAGCCTAATGACTGTAATTACCTGCAATAAGCAATTCTTCATCCACTGTTTCTGTAGCCGATGCGTCTGCACGCTCATCGTATGCTGCTTTACGTGAAGTACGTGAAAACTTGACACGCTGGCTGCTGAAACGCACCTTAACTTTCAGAATACCCTGATCTTACCGAGAATTACGATAAACGTGAGTACTGTCCACCCGGCCACACCATAAACAACAATCAGGCCGTTGTCGGGGGTGAAGGTGTAGCAACGAGGGATCTCCAGAAACTGCCGAAGTATCGGATAGCTCTGAAAAGAATTCTGGCGTGACAACAGTGCCCACGTCCAAATACATCGCTTTTGTCGCCTCTTGGTCATCGCCATAGAAAATGTAGATCGATACTACGATCACGTTGAGGTAAACGCATAATTGGAGGATAATGTAAAAGCAGAACATTGGCCTGAAAAACTATCTATGCAAAAAAGAATGTCTGGTCGAGATCCCGTCTTTCGAATTCAAAAATACCTGGGTTTAAATTTTAAGAAATGTGTCGCTGGCATAATGGCTTGATGTCGAAGCATAAACATAATCATCAGCAGCACCTCCGTATGAAACCCGATAACGATGCCGAGGCTCTGAACGGCAATATTTTAGGTGCAAAAAGCTGTTTTGTAAGAACACTGATAGCCTAGTTGAAACGCACCGTTTGTAGTTGAGTAGAAACACCCAGTTCCCATAGCCAACCAGTCGGATAACCACCAGGAATTGGGAAGATGAAATAGGGGGATAGAATCGAGCTTAGCAGCGCATCGGTGAGCAGCACGAGCACCTAAAAACTGATGCCTTTTTTATTTTCGCCTACCTGGTACGCAGTTAGCGCAATTCCGAAATCACGCATCGATTGCGGCGTATGGAATCCAATCACCCAGAGGCCAAAAAGGTTGAAAACGATCCCAACGACTAGAATCGGATCGTAGGTATGAAAACTCGGTTACCTGACGCATACTCCATCCAGACAAAGACTTCTCGATTTAGTGTCAGCGGAATTTCTTCATTAAGGTCAACGATTAGAGCCAAATTTCCCATCCGACTTTATGGAAGACGTTTTCCGCCGGTTTCCGTCTTCTCCCCGTTTGGGGTAAAACGGTTTCACCTGCACTTTCCGGCGGCGTCTGTCCTTGATTTCTACTTGATATGGCCGCGACTTCGTAGGTCACAACCGGTAGCGCCAGAAATTGCTTTACACCAGAGGTGAATTTCGTTAGGAAATAAAACTTTTATATGTATGCAAATTTAGTTAATGGTTTCCCAAGCTGCGTGCTTGCGAAAAAGTGCTTTTCCGAACGAAAACGTGTTTTAAATGCGGAAACAACCGATTTTGGCAAATCTGATAGATGTGCGCTCATCACGGAGCCATTACGCATCTAATGACGTATCAAACATACGCTAAAAGGGCTCTGGTTCTCGGAGCGGTACATACTTATGAAAGCTGCAAGCAAATATACGTACAGATTCACTACTTTTTAAATGTAGGTAAATGTGAATCATTTGCCATCTTAAGATCAAACCAGGGTTGAAAAGCCGCTTCGCGACTTTTCAACCCTGGCCCCGTCTAACCCCCTGAATATTCCTCACTCTGCATTCGTCTCTCGAATTTCGATGAGAAAAATGAAAAATGACGCTCTCTAGCTGATTATATAGGCTCTTGCCACTTCCGGTTTATGCTGATTTTTTCTAACAAAGAGGGTTGCCGAAAATTTTACAAAAACTTAAATTTTATGTTGAAAATAGCTTATTTGTAAAATCTGAAAAGCGTGCAGTCATCCCAGAGCCATTACGCACCTAATGACGTATCATATGTGCCATGAAATTGATCCCCTATCGAGATATCCTCCGGACATGGTGACGAAAGTTGCATGCAAAGTGGCACACACACACACACACAGACACTATTTTTTTATATATAGTAGGATTTTTTTATATATAGTAGGATAGGGAAAACCCGCAACGGTCAATCAAAGGATACTATGGCTATTAAGCAACCTCGATCGAAAATTATCAATTTACCAGCGCCCAAAACCCGCTTCGCGGGCCTTGGGCGCTGGAATTGGACCTTTGCATGAAAAATTTGACTTCCGATAGCTCGGGTCCTTCGGACCCCTCCCCCCCACCGACCACACGCGCGCGGGCAAATCGCTAGAATGAGGAAATTTGTATTTTTTCATATTATGCAAATTACCCCCAAAAATGAATAAAACCGGCTTTAACTTTGTAAACTTGTATTTTATCGAAATTCTGAAAACGCCATCGGAAAGAGGAGGGTCAATTCCCCCTAGTGACAAAGAATCAGCACATTTTATCCAGGGGAAGGCCCTTAAATCGGGCCTCGAAACTGACATCCACACACACACACAAAGATACACGCCAAAATTATATAAGGTAGGATCTCATGACTGGGGTAATCGAAACAGTGCTATTCCTGATCGTGGACAATCGCGGTGCGTGCATTCCTCTTATTTCTTTGACGATTGCCGCGCTAGACGGTTCGCCGCTCGCCAGATGAACCCGACGATCCACCCAAGCTAAAAACAACGCGTTTAGTCCTGGATATCCCACGTACCGGGCAGCAGTCTAGCGCCAAGCTTCGAAATCCAGTTGTTAATAAACATCCGGTAAGGGCGATACAGCAAAAGCGTGACTACGGTGGAAAAGAATCCGTGCCAGCCCAACATGAATGTTAGTATTGGGACAATCCCTACGGCAATCGATGTCATACGTGCAATATGGGCTTACCGAAAAAAGCCAAGGAACCCAGGGCCATGACCGTGACAGAGATAACCACCGGGATTACGACCGTCCAAAATGGGATCGATACCTTTGGGGGTATGAGATTACACTCGGATGTTTAGCCTGTACCTGCAACAAACAGTTTTTCATCCACTGCTGCTGCAGGCGGTGCGTTTGCTCGCTCATGGTATGCCGCCGCGCATGGAGCACGTGAAAACTAGAATGACTGGCTCCTAAAAATAAATTTAAGCCCGAAAACACGCTACCAATCATGCCCAGAAATGTTATCAATGGCCAAGAGCAGATGGACATGATCAGGAAGACCTTATTCTCAGGGGACACCACATAACATCGTGGGATTTCGAGGAATTCGCGAAATACCGGAAAACTCTGGAAATATGGTGCGTTTTAAAAGTTTATGATTGGACCTCTAGATACAAGGCTTTCGCCGCCGCCACATCTTGGCCAACAAAAACGTAGCACGACATCAGGGCAACATGTACGTAAGTGTATAGTTGGAGGCCGATGTAAGCCGCCAATACGTAGCTAATCAATGCTTTCGATGGGGGATCGATTAACTTTGCCGATACCTTCGTTCAAACTTTAAAAAGTGGCCAGCAGGCATAATAGCTTGGTGTCTGAGCATGAACATAATCAGCAGTAGTGTATTCATATGAAACGTGATCCCAATGCCCATGCCCTTAAAACGTGTTTTCACGAAAAAAATACAAAACTGACGGTCTGGACCTGGGTGGAGACACCGAGCTTCCATAACCAACCATTTGGGTATCCTCCCGGGATGGGAAAGATGAAATATGGTGCAAACACCCAACTAATCAACGCGTCACTGAGTAAAATCACTATCTGAGAAAACAAAAATGGCCTTGTAGTAATAGCTGGAATCTGCCCTTTTACCTGATAAGCGGTTAGAGCAATCCCATATTCTCGCATATTCTTCGGGGTATGAAAGCCAATCACACATAACCCAAAAGGTTGAAGAACATTGCAAACACTAAATTCGTCTAATTTTCGCTTCGTTATATTAACCTGAAGCGTAGTCCATCCATTCAAAAAGATCCTGATTCGTGGAAAGCGGAATTTCCTTGCTAGCATCAACCGATAAGGCCAGGTTCCCCATCAATAGCAGAATTGTTTGAAAGCGTAAAAATGAATTGGATTGGAAGTAGTCGGTCGCCGTCTTGTTTAGAAAGAAACTGCATCATCACCTGCTACTGGCGTGAGAGGACTGCCGATCTCCGCAAAAACAAATTGAGGTACATCGACCCTGATTTTTCAAACAACCCGCTAGATGTTCTAGGTCGGGTTCGAGCCCGGGAACCAAATCTTCCCAGTACAGCCTGCTTGGCCAATGGGAAGCATGGAGGCATCTCTTGCGGAGGCTAGACCCGCCCGCCCTGACTACAGTCCAGTCTCCGTGGACTGGGGGCCGCGAAAGGGGAGGGTGGCGTCACGTAAGGTGAAGGTTTAAAGCTAAATATCTCAAAGAAGAAGCGTTCTTTCGATGCAATTTCTTCTTTACTTTATCCGGCAAGGTTTGCATTTTTTAATTTTTTTTGAATTTTTAAAAGCTGATAGTATGCAAAAAAATGTCGCCAGTTCCGATGGTGTATTCAATTTGCCAATCCAATGCATGGTGGTTGTTTAAATCCGGAAAAGGACCCCAAAAGAGTCGTATGGGAAGGGGGGTGGGGTACCTCACGCCCGCTAACCTCGATTCAGGTTCAGCCGACACATCGTAGGTTCTTTATTCTCTACACTTTTACGCACCAAAACTTCAGAATTTTTAATTAAGAAGTGCTTTGGTTTTTTTAGAAATTCAAAAACAGATTTCATTTATTCGATTTATTCCACGATTTTTGCGGACATCAACTTGATCGCGGTCCATACGTCCTGGGCGGTGGAGACGATTTTCGTCTCGGGCAGTTGGAAACCGTTACCCCTGGTGAATTGATTAGGTTTTAAATTATTATTTTATTCATCTCAAGTAGCTAAAAATTGTTTAAAAAATGTTTACCAAACATCATTATCGTCTTCTGAAGGGCTCAACTCCATCGTGTATACCCAGGGAATTCCAAGGGACGCCGCGTAATCATCAGAGGCGCCGGCCGCCGGGTCTAAAGCTCACGACGACGTTGTTTTTAATGTTAAAATTTATTGAAAATTCATAATCTTAAAAGTCCTACACAATTGAGAAGACAACATCGAAGTGTAATTAGCACCACTACGTTTTTTGATGGCGTCTCTCATAGCGTCGCCGAGGGCTTTCTAAACTCCCTCACTCTTTTCTGTCTCTCTCCCTCTCTCTCCCCCTCGCTCCTCTCTCTCTCTCTCTCTCTCTCTCTCTCTCTCTAGCACGATAGTTGAGATACTTACCAACGCCTCTTCATTTTTCACCGTTTTCCCTTTCGCGTAGCCGTAGGGTCGTAGGATTAGCTGACCGAAGCTGTGCAGCGATAGGTATCCCTTAAGTCCGACAGCTTGAATATAGCCAATTATAAATTATGCACGCTTAATTTTCGATGTGAATATAATCAAATAGTCCTATAGCAACAAGATACCAACGACAAACCTTAACGTTCGGCGTTTGCAAAACGCCCATCACCGCCTTGACTTCCGGCTGCGTGCCCGGTTTGACGTCCATGAACACCTCACTGCGACAATTTTATGTTTTGACTTGAGCACCTTACTGGCAGGGAAGATCGGCTTCACCCTTTTCGGCCTCTCCCCAATGGAAGGGGTAGTTCCGGTTCAGGTCGACTCCTTGGCAGCCACCGGACGGTTGCTTAGCTCTAAATTTTTTGATGCGAGGGGGATCCAAGAATAGACATTACGAACCTGTTCTTGCGCCACTCTTGGTTAATGGTATGGCTGTAGTCATAGCCATCAGGGTTGACTTGAGGGATAACGACGAACGAGATCTTTGCCCGTATTTCTTTATCGGTGGCGAGCTGTAAGGGTGCGTCAAAACATAATGCATCAAGGATGCGTAGGGGGATGGCACGTTAAGAAATGCGGCGCTACGACATGGTGCATCACGACATGTTGCGCTACCACAAAGCATAAAGTGGCGGCGCATCACCTCTTTGAGAATTACCACATGGTGAAGTACTTCGTGACGGGTCAAATCGCAGCGCGGTACACTATGGTATATCATGACTGGGTGCGCCACGACGTTGCAAGAACGACGCGCTGGATGTGCGTTGCAAGAAGGCGCGCTTCTTTAAGAATCGGTTGAAAGAAGAAGAAAGTGTATCACGTCATGGTGAATCCTGACACACAGGTCAAACGGTTAATGGTGTATTCCATCCTGACGCATCACGAAGCGTGGCGACATGGTGCAGCCTGCGCTGCGACATAGTGCTTTACGAAATGTGATATCACGATATGTTGGATCAAGAGACGGTGCATCTAGACATGGTGCGTTACGATCAGGGGCGTTACGACAATGAGCTTGCTCCAAAAGTGCATCCCGAAAGGTTGTTGTGCTACGAAATACTGGGTGACGACAAGGTCCTTCAAGGAAATGCACCACAACCAGGTGCATTACGACAATGTGCTGGCTCCAGAAGTGCATGACGGCGAGCATTTCGTGATGCAAGGTTACACCACCAAATGTGCGGCAAGGTATGACCATGTACATCACGACATGGCGCCTCATGATCAGGTAGGTCACGAATTCATGCGCCCACATTGTGCGCTACGAGAAGGTGCGCTACTACATGGTGCGTTTTTACTACGCCTTTTTCCCCCGCTTGGATTCTAGTTTGAATTCTGCATCCCTCGCAGGTTACCTCATTCGCGATCCACAATGCCACAGCGGAAGTAACCCATTCTCGAGCGTGATGTCCGCCATCAATAAGGAATACCGGTGCCTTCGGCGCAGCTGACAAAGCTGGGAACTAAAGGTAACATGCCATTAATATTACCTTAATGATGCCCATCTAAGTTCTAGGTATCGGAAGCGACCTACCTTCAAGGCCCAAAGATCCCGGCCCTCCTCGGTTTTACCCAGTGACGTCTTTGTGACTGAGGTTCCGCGCTTTGCAATTGCATCGATGATTGCGAATTGCTAAAAACTCAATATAGTATCGTATTCCAGGCTCCATACGTCTTCAAGATGATGATATTTTGCAAAGTCAAGTGGTGCATTGGTGCCTTTGAGGTGCCGGCTCGTGTTCTGGTAGATTTGGCCTTTTTCGGCAACACGCAGTTTTCGAGGTTGGTAGTCTTAAAGGAAGGTAAGTATGTAATCGGAAATCATATACGCATGGATTAAAGACTAACAGTCACGTTAAAGTATACCTTGTTGTTTGAAACCCTTTTGTAAATTTGGAGCCAAGGATTTGTAGATGTTTTGCGCCGCTTCAGCATCATCCACGACAAATCCGTGCAGTGTTTTGTCGTTTTTCGGTGGGAACGTGACCTAGATATAATTAGCCTTGTATCTCTCTGAAGCTCCCTCTCTCTCTCTCTCTCACACTCTCTACCTCACTTTCTCTCTCTCACTCTCTCCCTCACTCTCTCTCTATCTCGCCCTCTCTTTCTCTCGCTATCTCTTTTCTGCTCTCCGAGGAAACTCACAACTTCGCGACTGTACTGGAACCAGGCCGAAATCGACACTCTCTCACTGGGATCATCTAGTTGGATAGTAATAAGCTGCCGGGTACTTTCAGCATACTGTATCCAAGTTATAGCAACAAGTATCGATGGTAAAGAGACCCGGAGCCTGCCCATTTCTCAAGCAAAAAAGATATCTAGAACTTTTGCCGCCCGTCGGCTCTGGCATCCATATTCAAGGACTCTCGTCGATTATTCTTCACTAAAGTTTTGGTGTCTGCTCCATTTCTCGAAAGTTTTTTAAACTAAACTAAACTAAACTGAACACGTTTGAAAATCGAGAAAAGGGTGTTTGAAGACAAATGGTGCGTACCGAAAAAAATCCGAGGAATCTTCTAGGCTCCGGAACTGCTTCGCTAAACGCATCTTTTTTTTCTCCCAACTTCTTGTGTACACGCATTTTTGTTCATATCGTTTTTTCCGGGGGTCGCAAAAATATTTATTAGATTTGCGGGATACTTAGCCGAATATCTCGATGACAAGTTTCGATAGTTGATCCCGCTCGAGCGCGGCTATCGGTGACCGAGCCCTGGAAATATGAATAGGACTGCTATGAATTTTTTCTCCGTTTTTACAGCTATTCAAAACACTCAAAATGTTTTCGGGGCTCGGGTTATAGTTTCGATTAACCGCTGGGTGCGTCCAAGGGTCAGCATAAAAAGGACAAAAAAATGACTAAGAATTGCGCTAAAATCGGAATTAGACGCCAGCACGTAGCGTGAACTGACTAATCTTTGAACGACCTCAAGAAACAAATTGTTTTTCAGAGCTTTTTTAAAAGCCAGCCACAGAAATGAAAACCAAAATAGAAAAAAAGGATTAAAAAAGCATAGCGACAGTTCTAGGCTTACCGAAGTCTTCGTCTGGTAGTCGGCGACCCGGGCCTTACGGCAGCAAACTAGCGACAGTAATGGAGTTCTGAATTTTTTATAGCTTTAGCGATCACCCTCTACCTGTAGCACTTAATAAAATACATCAAAACAAGCGGCTCGAGAATAGGATCCATCATGAAGGTGATAGTCACTGATCCGGTAGGCCATGGGTTCACCCCAACCACCCCGCTCAACATGAACAGTCCCATCGGGCCGAAGAGGGTGAAGACCGGAACGATCATCTAAAAGAAATTTGGGAGGAAGTTAAAAAAACGACAACGCACCTAATCCAAATTCCTGTAATTAGCTTTAACAAAAATCTACTCTTACCTGGCAAATCAACGCCTTGAAGAGCTCCGTCTGCATTTTCTGTGTTTTCTTACTCGTGCCCTTGGCATGTAGATTCTAAATAATATAAAACGTTAACATAATGCACGGGCAATTTCAGAAAATTAAAATGAACTCAGCTACCTTATTCAAATCCCATCCGCAATAAATGATAATAGCCCACGGTAACAAAAGAATTAGACTGTAGGTGCTGATACAAATATAGGAGCGGATTATCAACCAGGTAGAGACGCCCTGAAAGATTGAACCTTGTCATACCTAGCCTAGATCTTATACCTCAAAAGCCATAGCCTCAGATCCTGTGCCGATGAGCTCTCGGTGGTATTCTGTGATGTAGCGCGGACTGAGAGCGCGCAGAACGGCGTCGTCATTAGGGAATCCCAGATGGCTATTTAGGGTCCAGAGGCCACTGAAAACTATAGGTATGGAGGTCAACAGCGAGAGGGAGAAAGAGAGAGAGAGAGAGAGCGAGAGAGAGAGAGAGAGGGAGCAACAAAAGTTTTCATGGGTTCGTTAAGCCACCTACCACCCAATAAGATAGTAAGACAGCCCGATTCCTATTGTCGGGCCGGTCCGGAATTGCGGAATCCAGGCGGAACTAAAATTTTTCGAAATGGAGTGTGGAATTTCAAATTACCGGCAAACGATAGCCCATCGATAAACAAATTGCAGACTGTTGAAAATAAGGACTTGGGAGAATCCGCTAGAATACACCAGCATCATGATGTAGACCCATTTCTGGTCGGTCAGCACCTTCCCCCAGGAAGCCAACACGAAGCCCCGGCCGACTATGAAGGCGGACTGAAATTTGAAGCGATGGTGTCTCGCTCTCGCTCTCTCTTTCTCTCTCTCTCTCTCTCTCTCTCTTTCTCTCTTTCCATCTCTCTTTCGAATACTTACCGGAGCCACGATAACATCCACGGTAACATAGAGCATATTAAAAACTGTATAAGTCGCTAGCAACCATGGATACTTTCCCATTGTAACGGGCGAGTACTTCAGAATTAGGAATAGCACAACGAGGTTGAAAATATACGCCAAAAAGGCTTGGACAAGGTGCACTATCGCGAAGTCCATCGTTGGAAAGAGTAGCTAAACGGAAAGCTCTTTACATAATGCCGAAAGTGAGAATGCCGAGAAAGCAAGGTAACCAAGATTTTTTTCTATGTCCTTCTGTTCTATTAATATTTCGACAAATATTTTTTGAACTTTTGAAGAACTACTAAAACTCAAATCTTGAGAAAAAATGGACCCTGTTTTCAAAGCGCAAAGTCGTGCTTGTTAGCCCCCGCGAAAAATTAATTGCACCCGGCGAACCGGGAATTAGAAGTACCCCTGGGGGACCAGACGCGCTTTTTTCGGGCGGCGAGTTTTGTCAAAGTGGACTTTGTGCACTTCCAAATCTTTAACAGCAAAATCAAGCCTAGATTTTAGGTAGAGATCCTTGACCAAAGGTAAATTTAGGGAACCTTATAGAGGGACGGTTTCCAGGTCCGTGGACGGTCCTAAATATTTCAAAGATATTTCCATCGCTTTCTTGATGTTTAAATTTTTAATCAACTACACAGTTTTGAAATGCTTCTGTGAATGTTCCGTCGCGCTGCCTTGAAATCGTCACTATTAGAGCCAGTTTTTAAGACACATCAATCAGCAAAATTTTGGTTTATTCTCTTAGACTTCATTTGCTTTGTCGGGGCACTGCACGGCTATGATCTCTTCCTTGGTGCATCCCTTGTTGCAACATTTGTCAATCAGTTCCAAGGTGTCGATCAAGTTGGGGCCGTTGCAGACCTAAAATGGAATATGAACTACGGTGTTAGGCGCCTCGCCTCATCCATCCAAATAGCCAGGTTTTTGCCGCAAAGTTTTCGTTTCTGTGCCTCGGCGGTGCTGCAGCAGAGAATAACCAACAGGGCAAGCAAGGCGAATCTCATGGTTTTCTGAAAATAGTTTGGCAATAAAACATTCCTTCGCCACTATAATCAACAAATTCACGGAAACGTACCAGAGGGCAGGCGATAATCATTTTCGAAAAGTTTTGAAATTTGAAAATTTTGAATATTTTCAATCAGCAATTCGGAAAATTTCCATTTTTTATTTTTGCCCGATGATAGCAAGATGCAAATTTTTTGAAATCCTGATTTTCGAGAAAACCATTCTCGTAAACAGGGTTGGTCATTTCGAGCCCGGCCCGCGGGCGTCCGGGGCCGGACGGGCCGAACGGGCTGACTACCCAATTTGCATAAAATTAGCGGACGGGCTGGGACGGGCTGGGGAGCGGGCTGGACGGGCCGGGCTGGAGCGGGCTGGAGCGGGCTGGGGTTATGCAAATCTGCAATGTTAATCATCCAGGGGTAAAATGACACAGAGAAGGCAATGTGATCACATGGCGTTTTGTGCCCTTGTTTAATAAAGATTTATGGGATTTTATTGTTTCCAGGTTGCAGGACTCTCATTTGAGTGATGTGTGGGGAGAGAGAGCCAAGTTTTAGTTTTATTTTTATTTCATTGATCTGTTAAAATAAAAGTGTATTGTTACACTAATTTGAGTTGTTTTTGATTGCTCAAACTTACAAAAACAATTTTACAAATTCTTGAAAATTGGTTACTTTAGACTTTTGGTGATTTTTCATAGTTTTTGATCAAATAAATCAAAAATTTGATAATTTTTTACCACAGTTTTATATTTAGAAAGTGTACAATACCATAAAAATAGTTTTTATTTCCCCGCGCTGAGCTCTTGTCTGATCCTTGGATGTAATTAACATAGCAGATTTGCATAACCCCAGCCCGCTCCAGCCCGCTCAGCCCGGCCCGTCCAGCCCGCTCCCCAGCCCGTCCCAGCCCGTCCGCTAATTTTATGCAAATTGGGTAGTCAGCCCGTCCGGCCCGTCCCGGGCTGGCCCGGCCCGTCCGTGAACAACCCTGCTCGTAAATATAATTTCGAAAAAAAATTTCTGCAAAATTGAATGGAAATCGACCGAACTCTTAAAGTCAAAAGTTTCTGAAAAGCAGAGGAAAATAACTAAAACTTAAAAGCTGCCGATATCAGCCTAATGCGCTCCGGCCTTTTATAGTGCTTCTCCGAAAAGAAATACGACTTTTCCATGACATTTTGTTACCTTTATTTGCATGATATAAGCTTGGAAAACAGGCCTAAGCAGGTAGAATGTCGGGCGGGCTGCAGTCAAGCCAGCATTTTTTGCAGGCTCTAACATTAATGCGATGTTTTTGAGGTATATTTTATGGAAATCAGTCCCAATCCACTCGAAACACGATCGAACGTTTTTATCGAAACTGCTTGGCTTTCTGAATGTTTTTGAGTTTAAGTTTCATGATTTTTCCTAGCTCATTTTTCTCCTTCGTCGCTCTCGAAATCTTGATCGTTATGGATTCTTAGAAACTTTTCATAACTTTATTTTGGCGCCCGAACACCACAAAAACTTTTTCCACTTGGCCTGGCAGGTACAGCCTTAGCAATAGGATATATTTTTGCATATTGCTTATGTGCTTCCAGTTACAAGATTATAAAACCCTTTTAATTTTAACGATATCTTTTTTTTTGATTAATCGAAAAATAGTATCGGTAATTGTTTGACGGTTGTAAGCTACAAATACAGGTTTTTTAAGTCTTATAAAATATCAGCAAATCAAATAATCTTCGTCTTATCTACGACGACTCCTCGGTCAGGATGAGGATGTGCAAATGCCTACATGCATGTATTTCACGTGATTATATCGATGTAGTATGGCGGTGTTTCCGCTGCAAACATAATACAGTCTATTTCAAAATAAGCCCCGATGCTTGGCCCGGCCAAAGTCCATCTATGGTACTTTGAATTCATCCATGCGCTCCCAGTGACCCGGAATTTGCACCTGGCGAGAAGCTGAGGTAGGCTTACCGACGAGACATCTACAAAACGGGCTGATTGATCCTCTACAACTTCGTCTTGCAACATATTTTGCAAATGCTTCCGGAAATCTACGAGGAACCGGTCGTCTATATGGGTTTCATGACCGGGTTCCTGATCTCGGGTGTTATCATCAATTTTTCAACGCTATTTATCATCTACATCGCCTCGCCCCCTCAAATGAAGCAATACAAATGGATTTTGTTCACTTTCCAGGTAATCCAGTTAGTGGTGATATTTTTTCGACGTCAAATTTTCGCTAGGCGCTTCAAACTAGGCCCGGTCCGGTTTTTTTTTCTGTTAAATCAGTCCGCTTAAATTTTTGCGGTACCGACGACAGAGCGATCCCTACCCTCGAGTGAAACCTGAACTACTATGTGTTCGAATTTGCATTCAGAAGTAATGACCTTAAAGCCCAACTTTAGGTCTGCTCCATCAGCTTCGAGCTGTACATACATGCTGTACTCCCGGAACTCTTCCTTCCTGCTATGGCTTTTCGGTTTCACGGCAGGCTGTTCCGGCTTGTCGATCCTCGCGTTGTCTGGGTGAGAATTATTTTTATTTTGATTTTTATGGGTTGTAGCTGTCCATGTATGATTTTTGTATGGGAATAACACGTTTTTTCAAGATCTGCGGATCATTCTTCCTGATGGCCATGGTGGCGGCGACGCTGGCGTGTATCATCTATCGACACCAGAGCCTGCTGCATTTCAACCATCCGATAAAGTAGGTTTCGGCTGTTAGAGTCGGCAGGGTGTCCCTCGAACTCGACGCAAAAGTATCGGATCGAAATGTTAGTTAGACCATCCGAAAGCCCCTGAAACGGCGAGTTTGCAACAACATTCAAATTTTTGTTATTATAGAAAAGCGCCTGTTTACACAGCATGTAAAAACAGAAAGAAACGGCCTCTGAAGCTAATAAACAGCAACTTCCGGTCATTTTTGTTGGAGAAATAAAGAAAATTAACTCGAATGCAACCTCGAACAACCGGAAATCTCTATAAACTGGATTGCAAATGCGCATTTAAATAAAAACATGGTTGCGAAAATTGTGATATACGCCCTGTTTCAAAAGGATTTCGAATGGTATAACTACCATCCCGATGCGATACTTCTGCGTCGAGATAGCAAGGGGTATTTTTTATTGGGACGCCATGTATTCTATCCTTTCAGGCTTCGAATACCGGCGCGCGTGATGATCTGCGTTTTGTTGCCAGCGCTCTCCTGGGTTGCCTTTATCATTGTGGTTCGCGAGGCCCAAGTTTCCCTCGTCGATGGGGACAGCTTGATTTTTGCGAGACTGATGGAGGTAGTGCTGACTTGAAGCTCTCTGAAGACCTTCTCAGGAATTCCCTAACTACGGTTTCTTGCGTACCGTTCCGGATCTTTGGGCGCTTGATGGCAGCAACACTGTTCCGTCGTGGCCGGCCAACGTGCAGACCTTGGTCTGCTTGACAATGGCCTACATTGGTACCTACACTTTTGTGACGGTAGGTATACGCGAACAACTAGGTCGCGCCGATAGATACCGCTATACTCTAATTTTTAAGGGTTAGTATAGGTTAGCTGAGCTTCAGGACGGCAGATTATAAACCAAGGACTGAGGAGTGAACTAGCCTGCACCCAAGCTTTGCCCACATTTTAGGGAACCACGTTTGTCGTGCATTGCTACTACCTTCTTGCGGGTACCTACGTTAGCGAGCGGACGCGTAAGATGCAACGCCAAATGATTAACGCGCTCACGTGGCAGGTATGTGATTTTAGTTATAACTTTAATATCGTCGCAGATACTGATACCAGCTGTCACCGTTGCGATTCCCTGGTTATACACAGCGGCGATCACCTTGGGGAAGGTCGAAAAAGATCCGTGTGAGTTTCGAACAATATGAAAAAGCATTATTTTATAAATTATAGATATTGAGTTAGTTCTTTATGTTATTCAACATTAGTCAAACTTTGCTACGGATTTTTCGGCGTCCGAGTAGGATTTCACCTTTTCAGCCGTGCTAAACAGCTTTTACCTCTTTGATGGTGGTCATGCGCTTCTGACTTCAATCGAAATTGTGCTGCTATCACGGCCCTATCGAGAATTCATCGTTGCCTTGTTTGTAGGCAAGAAAGCGTAGGTTTTCATGTCATCTCAGGTGGATTTTTCATCAGCTCATTTTCCCTAAAAACCGGGTTCTTTTAGAAAATTCGTGGTCGTCTCAAGCGACCGGCCGAGCGTTGCCGTCAATAAATCTCGTGTTAATAGTCATCCAGCGTCCGCGATTCAGGCAAGATTCGGCCAAACATGGAATCGTAATAAATAAATTATTTTTGGCCGCTCCTGACTAGTTACCGCAGGCAAGCATATGCAGACAATTTAAGAAATCGGCTTGTTAGAGATGATACATGTCGCCTTGTAAAATCAACTAACCGTATAGAGTGGTCCCAAAACGTACCTTCGAAGGCTGATTGCGCGAGAAACGAACAATTCGAAATCGTTTTATTTCTAGATCAGAAAGAGCATCAAAAACAATGCCGAAAAAAATTTGGTACGAAACTTGTGAGGCCCTGATGTTGGTGCTAGCATTTTTCGAAGTGTTTACTTTTCCTGGTTTTGCTGACTCTTCCGGGCCAGGCGGATCGCAATTTTCTTGTTTGCGAAAAAAACTCCTCGAATACTTGACGACTTCATAGAACCAGCGATCGGTTGAGCTCCTCCAGCCCATCAAAACGTATCGTGAAGGTTTTGGTGAAAAATTACCCGGAGGAGAAACGACTTACGAAATTTACGTATCTTTTATGTGTTCAAGTCAGCCTTTTCTAACGTCCCATCTGCAATCTGCAAGCACTTCTGAAAGAAACACCTGACTTGGCTGGCGCTAAAAAACAGCTTGTACGGCATCCAGACCCATTTTGCACCTGCCAGGCCCTCGGTATAGGTCCCAACCACCTAAAAATTGATTGAACAAGTCATTCTGGCCTCTGATGACGGAGCGCAGCTACGAAGAGCCGGTCATATACGCGGCATTTATGACCGGCTCTGCTATCACGGGTATTATTATCAACTGTTTCACCCTGTTCGTAATCTATGCAGCGTCACCGGTTAGGATGAAAAAGTACAAATGGCTATTGTTTACTTATCAGGTATGTTCGTGTAACTGCTGCTCAAACGCGTTCTTGACGTTTTTGAAATCCGCGGTTCCTTTATCAGAATCGGTGGATGCTCAGTTTTTCGTTTCTAGTTCCTGTCGATTTGCTTCGAATTGTACATTCATGCCATTTTGCCCGAAGTTTTCCTACCGACCATATCGATGCGCTTTCGCGGCGCCTTGTTTCGCAACGTGGACCCGCGATCGGTGTTTGTAGGTTTTTCGAAACATCTGTTTTTGTTTTTGATGTCTTGCTAACTTCCAACTTTTCAATTACAATTCCGAAATTTTAGGCTTACGGCGTTTGGGGGATGATGGCAATGCTTACTGCAACAATTGCCTGCATACTGTACCGTCAGCAGCATCTGGTGCCAGCCTATCATCGGTTCAGGTCGGAAAAATGCATATGTCGCCAACGCAATGTTCTAGATTGCGGCTCGGCAGCTCCCTCGCGTTTCTCCTTGTACCTCCTTGCTGCTTTTGCATAATTCTGGACTTGGAGCTTCCCGAGATAAAGACATCCCAGGGTAACAACGAAACCCCGTTGCTGCTCAAGGTCTTGCAGGTAAGGATTGACTTTCAGGTGTTACACGGATCCTGAGTTCTTGAGTCCTAACTCAGATCCGTGTAACACCTGAAAGGTTTACGTAAAATAAGAGAGAACAAAATTTCTTGCGGAAACGAGCGGGAAAAGCGGCAGAATGAAAAATGACACGCACTAAAAGGGCCTCTGGCGGGACCGCGCAACGCACAGATAGCTGTGTCCATAGTAGTGCGGCGGGAAAGCTATCGCGGAAACGAGTAAAGATATTTCAATTTTGCTCCCTGCCAGCATCCCTTTCGTCTAATGGGTCTATCATTTTCCATTAACATTTTGCAGGACGTCCCCAACTACGGCTTTCTACGAACCGTACCCGATCTTTGGGTCGTCGACGGCAGCGACCCCTTCTCGCTGTGGCCCGTCAGCGCCCAAATCACCGTCGCCTTGTCATTACTGTTCATGGCTGTCTATTACGTAATAATCGTAAGCTATCTACGTACGCTTCAGCACAACCATCGCTTTTTAGGGGGTCGGCTTGGTGGCGCATAGCTACTACCTACTTAACGGGAACAATATGAGCGATAAGACCAGACGGATGCAACGGCAGATGATCAACTTGTTGACTTGGCAGGTGCGTTTAATTTTATTTGGCAAAACTCGCCATAGATAGCCATTCCGCTTTTTACGTTGGCGACGCCGTGGGCCATCGGCACGACGGTCGTCTGGGTGCAGTTCGAAATTCCAGCGGGTATCCGGACTCCACGAACGTTAGAAACTATCCGTAACTTCCAGCCGCGTGGAACGCCATATTTTTCCTCGATGGTTGCCACGCGCTTGTGGCGTCCGTCGAGATTCTGGGGCTCACGCCGTGCTACCGCCAGTACATCTTCAGCCCCTTTCGAAAATTGGGCAGAAGGTACGTTTTTGGTGTCTTCTCAATCTAGACCGATACAGCTATTTTACCTGTTACCTCTTTGCTGGTTATGACTGACGTTTAGGATTTTGACCATCGCTGTACAGCAGACACCTACGAACGAAAAGTCGCTGCCCTCTACAATTCGACCGGCGACTTCATTTGGCTGACATGATGATGCTCAAATCAGAAATCATTTTATACAAATTCTACGAAACGTGTTTGATTCTAGACGATGCTATCAAAACTGGATGATAATGCACTTTGGGGCGGGGGGCAGTCCTCATTGTGACTACAAGGCGCTCCAAATGGCGTTTTTTAAATCGAAATCGCTGGAAAAGTTTATATGAAGGCTTTAGGCCTAGCTTCATATAATCGAAGCTTGAGCTGGGCTTAGCTCACGCTAGGCTTCGATCCCCGACACCTGCGGCGCGACACTTACGGCGCGGTCATTTGCGGCGCAAAACTTGCGGCGCGACATTTGCGCCGGACACGTGCGGCGCGGCATATATTTTTAAAATGTTATTTTTTTATATTTGGTAGGATAAGTTCTGTATTTCGTCGCAGATTTTGTTTTTAATTATTGTATTTGTGTTCAAATTAAGCGGAACCGGGGCGCTTCACGCTCCTCGGGCGCCCCGATTTCGAAACCTTGTAAGAGCCCTCACCCATCCGAAGCGACTCGGCCCCGGGTGGCACGAAGCCTTGTTCTAGTCGCAGAGCGGAGGGAGTCGCCTGCCTCACTTCCCTCCAAAGAAAGTGCCGCCGCAAGTGTCGCGGTACCCTAGGCTTACAAGGAGATGGTCTCAGCTCGGAATCGAATTCGGATTTCAAAATTTGCACACTTATAGAGCTCGACAAGACAAATTGATTGGTGTAACTTTCAGCTGCTGATACAATAACCACGCCGTGTTATAAGCATTTTAAGTTTTTGCATACATTTTGCATTTTTTCGGCCATAAGTGTGCAAATTTTCAAATCCGAATTCGATTCCGAGCTGAGACCATCTTCTTGTTAGCTCTAAGCTAACCCCTAAATGACCCCATTTGGCCTGGTAAGGCAACTTGAAGCTCAGGCTAAACTTGACTTGGCCTTAGGCTGAGGCTTAAGCCTAATCTGGTCATATTTAAGCGCAATTTCAAGCTGAGCTGAAAAACAAGTGGCTTAAAGTTCTGAAGGAAACAAGAAAATAAGGTCTTTTTCTGACCTTGTACAAAATTATGAAAATCTTGTAAGGCAAAGCTACTAAAGCCATTATGTAAAACACGAAGAGCACGTTCGAATGACATATTACAGTTAGCCGTCATATCAAACTTTCTGCGATCCAGACCCAAAACCGCCAGAACTTTCTGTACAGCCTAATAATTTGGGGGTTGGCCTGATTAGCGGAACAGACAACCTCACTTTGGCGTCTCCCCTCAACTAATCAGGTGCTGAAATCTGGTTAAAATCGGCTTTCGAATCTGTAAGCTCACGTTTGCCCATTACCGCAATGCCGACAGTTGATAAAGGCTTCATTGCCCCGTTTTGTTGCGGCACCCAGCACCCACTATAAATGGACTTTTTGCCCTTTCCCCATGCCGAGCAGCTGCCAGACCCCTTCGAACGTAAATTTTGCACAAAAAAAATTAAATAAACAATCAGCGCCATCCTCAAAATTTAGTGGGCTTCAAGAGGCAGCCCAATTTTTGGTGTCCAAATCTTGTGTGGGTGGCACTGTTGTTGGCCATTCCCGGAGCCCTGGGCTTTTTTGCCGCGTGGGCAGGTAGGATTTATGCCTTTATATACATTCTATTCTATAAAAGTCAACAGAAAAATATTTGTTCAGTAGAAGTTGACCACACAAAACCCACGAAATTGGTCGGGTGCGGAGAACTTACGATCGAATGCGAAGATGATGAGATTCCATGCCAGCCTTTGGAGAGCCAGGCGGGATTTCCATCCGAGCTGCGCTGCACCTATCGGGTAGCTTTTGACAGTTTATCGGCCACAACGCGTTTGCAAGAATAATCATGTCGAAATTGAGAAGGCCGAAATGCATGTCGAAATCTCTTACTGGCGAAACCTCACGAGGGAAGGTTTCTGTAGCTCGGCCGGGTAGCGAAATATGATCATTCGATAGAAAATTGAAAATAATCATGAGTATTCAGTTTCTGCGGAAGAGCTTGCCTAAAAAGATATAACCCTTTTAAAGTAGACCAGGGTTGAAAAGCCGCTTCGCGACTTTTCAACCCTGGCCCCGTCTCGGACCACATGCTGTTTTGCCATTTGCATAATTGTCCACTATTCAGAAGACAAAAAAATGAAAAACAACCCTTTCTGCCTCTTTATATAGGGGATAGCCCACCTCCGGTCTATGCTAATTATTTCTAACAAAGAGGTATTTACAAAAACCTAAATTTATTAGCGAAAATGGCTATTTTTTAAAAATCTGATGCGTGTGCAGTGATCCCTAGACCATTACGCACCTAATGACGTATCATACGTAGCCCAATACCCGTCCCTTCTTGAGATATCCTCCGGACAGACAGACGGAAGTGGATGCAAAGTGGCACACACACACACACACACACACAAACACTATTTTTTTATATATAGTAGGATTTTGAGACCCCTGTAGGCCGTTTTCTACAAAACTTTTCTTCTTAGCTCTTGTGTGCCAAGATAAAATACGTATACCATCTTGACTCTCTTCACTTTTACTCTTTTATTTTACATTACTGATTTGAATGGTATAGGTCATTAATGCAGTGACGGTATTCTAAGCGGCATAAACCGATGTAAAATAGCGCGTTAGGGGCATTTTAAAATAAAGAAAAAAGTTTATGCATTTTAACGTTAGGGGGCATTTTAACACATTGTTGATTTTTCCGATTTTCATGTATTTGGGTTAATTAGCTCATTCGAAAGAGAAAATTTTTCTGAACAAAATTTCAGGATTTTTTTGAAAAACCGATCGGGAAATGCCGAATATGTCTTCAATTTGCTATCATTTGTCGCAATACCCGGCCGAGCTCAAAAAAGCCTTCCCTCGTCTAAAAATTAAAAATCTAGAAATTTCAGAAGATCTCATAATGTCGAAATTTTTGCATATCATTTGGGTTTTTCAGAAATTGGCTTTTGTAAACTTTGACAGTAAAAAATTCGCCACCGATTATGAAATTTCGGAATTACGAATTTCAAAATTTTGTTTTGCCGCAGTATGATTTTTGACATTTCGAAAGCAACCCGCCACCACGCATTTTTGAGTATTGGCTCTGGTCGGACATGGGCAACCGTCTATATGTAATCACAAAGTTTACCAGTGATTTCGCCCCTTACACGCTAAAGCTCTGGTCTCGCGAGGGACTACTGCGCAGGTCAGTTTTTATTTCTCGTCAGACACACCAAAATTTGGGTACGACGAAAGCACCTACCACAACGAGACCATAATCTTTGGGGGCTCGCTGGTTATCATAGACTTTGAAGTCGGCGAAAATGGTTGGAATGCGGATGACTATTGGAGAATAATCTTCCAGCCAGGGGGTGTGACAAGCGGATGAAAGTTTGCAGTTGTTCAGTGATGTCAACGGAGAGCGACTATGTAATTCTGAGTTCACAGACCATAACAATCGAAGCAATCTATTCGGCCGTAGGGGGATCGTTGGCCTGGAAATATATTTTCCTTTCCAGACATTCCTCTTCATGATCAATGATAGCTATGTGAATGCCGACCCGGTCACGGGCAGCATGTACGCCATGTCCGATACCGATGAGTGGCCGTATACAAAAAATATCTGGCTTGAGATGACGACTCCAGAGAGGACATACGCTTATCAGTAAGTGATACGCGCTTTCTGATGGTGTAACTGTCGTGCCAATCCAATCCTTCTGCGTCAATTTAGATTTAGATTTTTATTAAGACACCGTGTCGTTGATTGTAAATAAATAAATAAAAAATAAATAAATAAATAAATAAATAAATAAATAAATAAAATAAATATTAAATACTTGCAAGATATTTTTGGACGACGAAAAAAGTTTATTTGCCCGAAACCCTCCCCCCCGCCCGCCCCCCGGCATCCCCTCTGACCATGCGAAGGAGCCTAATAAAACGGAATTTTAAGGCTCTCCAATTTCACTTCACAAGTGCTTCAGATGAGTCCGGTGTTTGACACAAGTTGGATGGCACTAACTATTGCCAATCGGAATGTTGATGAAACCTGGAACAGCCCGATGGGTGCGCTCATCCACTTGCAAGCCGATCTGCCGGGTAATGCTAGATGCCGTAGCGCGCTTCCGCATTTGCTTATTTTTAAAGGCATCAGGCGGCCCATGAAATTTGCTTAAATTTGCGTAAATATCACAGATCCGGAGGCTCTGCAACCCTTTCAATTTTGGCGCGTTCTGACCGGTTCGCTATCTGCCGATTGCCGATGAACCCTGAACGACACGGGCCGTCCTGATCCCTTTAAGAAGCCGAAATCTACCTCTTCCGGGCCATACGACAGACAAGTATCCAATGCACGCGTGTTGATGCTGATAAACTGCTGATGCTCACTATCCTCATCCCCTCCGGAAACATCGTTATGAGTAACTTCGACCTGGATGGGGTTTGGTTATTTCCTTTAAATTTAGCCCATGATTTCCATCCTCATTTCCGAAAGTCATATCGCCGAGAATTTTCCGAAACGCGGTTTTTCGAAATGTGATTTTTCGAAAGTCGTATTTTTTGAAAAGTAATATTTTCCACAAACACTACTTCGAAAACTAGGGCATCGAAGCATTTGCATCTAGCTACCCATAGAAAATGGACAAAACAGGCAAGAACTAGCTTTAATAATTCTGCTCAATTCCGATTTCGAAAACGTGATTCACGGAAACATGACTTTCGAATGATTGCTCGAAAAAGACCCTTCCTAAAAATTACTTTCGCAAATATGATTTTTGAAAAAAATAATCGCCAGCCAAATCCACCCATTTGTTAGCCAAAAAATATTACAGGATTGGAAGATCAGCATAATGGAGCAAGGAAGTGGGGCTTTTGATGTCCGTTCACTATATGTATGGACAGATGCGTAAGCCTACTTTTTCCACTATGAATTTCATGTTCATTTCATTTTGGATATATGAAATGATTGGGTAATGTTCATTTATAGGAACATAACCGAAATCAAGGACGAAAAGGTAAACGTGAAAAGCAGCGCCGTGACAATCTACGGTTTGGACGCCTCGTCCATATCATTCTTCATCGAAGAAACCTGAAAGCATAGTTATAGTAATAAATTCCGGAATTTCGTGAACCATACGAAACTGGCTGGGTTTTTAGAAAGATTACAAAAATCTGGATTGAAGTGAATTGAGTCAATCCTGGACCAGGATCCTTTAAAATTTTTCAAAGCTTTGCGCAAAGCTGGCGTAAAAGCACAAGAGCCCATCGCGTAAAAGCACGCACAAAGCGCTAGTTGCACCTGCTTTCCTTATGCGGAACCATTCATATAAAAGACTTGTTTGCTATTAACTGGCAAATTAATGTCTTTCAATGGCTGACCCTGATCACTGGTGCTAACTGTGCCTAGACGTCACAAGGTTAGGGATCTCGACGTTCATACCAAATCAGAGAGGTCACCATGATTTCAGGGTGAAGGTATCTACACTAGCGGCCCTTGGCTTGGGCCACTGGCTACTGTACGGCTGTCTCTTTGCGTATACAATAAGCCTCGGGCTAGTGAGTCAAAATGATAACGACAGCCCCATTCTGCAGCGCATCTTAACGGTTAGTCTAGTCAGTATCAATTGTTATTGCCTTTCAGGCATTCCCCGAATACACCTATTTATTGGACGTCCCTGACCTGTGGGTGGGGGACGGAAATCATGATTTTCCACTTCTACCCCTGCTCAGCGTCCAGGCAATGGTATGCGTCATCATTCTGACGATTGTGGCCGAGTTTTTGGCTCTTGTAAGCCAATCGTGTGCTTGCAAACAATTTAAGAAAACTGGCTAACGATAATTATTTAGGCGTGCCTCTTCGTTTTCACAGCTACTATCTTCTGGATGGTCGTGTGAACATGAGCGAAAAGACGAGGCGGCTGCAAAAGCAGCTTCTCAATGTCCTACTGTGGCAGGCAAGTGTTTTGGATTTTGTTTTGCTCCTCGAAATAGACTTTTTACTAATGAAAACTCCGACGCCAGTAGCTTTAAGATTTTCGTTCCATTTGCTACTCTGGCCGGACCCTGGGGTTACGGAGCTGTCGTCGTGAATTGGAAACTGACAACCTCGCCTGGTAAGATTTACCTACGTTTCGCATCCGGAATTTCGAAAAAGAAAAACGCTTCAAATTTCAGTTATGATGCACGGCATCTTTTACATTGACGGTGTTCATGGTATGCTCTCGTCGCTGGAAATATTGCTTTTGACTCGACCTTACCGTCAATACCTCTATCGGTTGTTGACTTGTGCGGGATATAGGTTCGTAAATTTTCGTGCACCAGTTCTTAGCTTCCGTTTTTCTGACCCTTCATGCCATGCGACGCGTTTTTTCAGGAAACCCTCACATACGGCGTCCCCGATTAGCTTCGAGGCGCAGACACATCGCATTCGCTTCCATGGAAAACCGTCAACAGGGTTGCATGACTAGGATAAATATCCTTTGTAAACAAAGATCCTTTGTTTACACTGGGAGCATGTTATCCATTTTTTATAGCAGAGACTGTCCTTTTCTTGAATCTTTTCTGAGTTGTAGATAGAACCTCTTTGTTAGGATACCCCAGGCATGCGCTGGCGGCACAAAAAGCCTAGGTAAAGGGGCTGAGGGGGTATTTTTCACTTTTGTGATTGGAATTTGCGTAGAAATACGCTAAGTGAATACTATCACGTCTCGTAGACGGGGCCAGGCTTTGAAAAGCCGGGAAGCGATTTTTAAAACGTGACTGATAATAAAAAAAACTCATATTGCGCCTATAGATCCCGTGATTGGCCATTCAAATGCTTCGACGCTTTATTGAAAATCACTTTCCGGGGCACAGAGCCGCGACGACCTCTTCCTTGCTACATCCGGTGCTGCTGCAGCATTTCTCAGACCAAACGTCGCCCAACTGAGCACGGCTCTTCTTGCAGATCTGGAAAATTCATTGTTCCGATTCTTCATTGCACGACACTGACCTGGTTGACCCATGCCGTGTAGAACCTGCCACACCTCCTCTCCTTCTGGCCCGCAGCGACGCATAGAACGACGAGGAAGACCAGGACAGCGAGTTTCATCATCGTTGACTGTAATAATTTTAAAATAGAAGCCACAAATTTTCTTCCTGTTTAATCAGAATTAAGCATCATAAATTTTGAGCCTTCAGACGTTTGAGAACAAATCAAAAGCATCCAAGCCATTTTTTTCAAATAGCTTGGCTTGTACGGCTTTTGGAACGCTAATACCAAGCCAAGCGAAAGAATTGAAGGCGTAGCTAGGATATTCCTGTTGAAAAGCCGTTGATGTCAACCCAGCGCGCCTCGGCTTTTTATAGATTTGCCGATCAAGGAAATACGCCTCTGCCAAGACATTTTGCAACGGGTATTTGCATAATGTAAGCTTGAAAAACAGGCGCGATGAGGTTGAATGTAGGCCCGGTTACCGCGAAGCCGCCATTGTTTTGGCCGCTCAAACATTAATGCCATGTTTTCGAAGCATATTTTATGTAAAGGAGGGCGGTTATGGCGTTACCTGTTCGGTGATCACTTTGTTGTAAAAGATATAAAGACTTAGAATGGGAAAGGAGAGAGTATCTACAACGATGCGCGCTTTTCTACTGCTACTCTTTACGCTTACGATTTATACCGCAGCTCAAATGCAGGGGTTTAACAAGAAATGTCGCGAGAAGGTGCAGGTCCGCATCCATGAGGTAACTTTTCATACCAGCAAAAAATAATTCGATTTTGGCAAGTTTATGGTCTTGAACATTATTTCGTATCTGATAATTGAAGATTTGCCCGGCGCGCCTGGTACCGATCGAATTGCTTACTGATGGCGACATTTGGCTAAGCAAGTGCTGCGGAGCTTCAGAGCGCCCGGTACGTTTAGATCAGAATGTTATAACCGCTATTTACAAGTGATACTCTGCCAATGTGGTACTATACAAAGTTTGCGTGCAGGTTAATACCATAGTCTGCCATTTTCAGGAGAATGCGCCGATTCTGTGCGAAGATTCATATCTCAAGAAGACCTTTTGCCCTTAGTCTAAAATCTTCTGCGAAAATAATCAAAAAACAAGGCTAACTAACTTTCATATTACAATAAAAATTTTGTACTTATTCACTGGGTTCTGAAGAATGGTCTGCAGGCCGTCTCCCAGCAAAATTCGCACAGAGTAAGATTCCTATCCGTGTGATGTCCGCGCAAAAGCTAATTATTGGAGCTGGTTTGTTAGCGGGGGGGGGGTTTAATGTCGTAGATTTTTCAATATTTCATGATTTTTTGGGGACTACATCTTCGGAACTCCGTCGTGCATCAAAAAAATATACTAAGCACTTTAATTCTAGATCAAAACACAGTAATGTAAGAAAATTATACCGTAAGCAAAAATAACCTTGAAATTGGGGTTGGTAAACTATTTTTCGTGGTTTTCAATATTTTTCGACATTCTGTTAATATTCGATAGAGTATCAAGAAACTATACCAAGAGGTTATATATAGCACAAAAATAATTTAATATAAGTGAAGCTATTTACAAAAAATGTTCCCCCCCCCGCTAACGAACCAGAACCTATCGTTTTGACCTACCTGTGATCTCTGCGGTTTCTTCGTGTCGGAACCGAGAATTTAATTAAAATACTGTTTTATGTTTATTCCGATAAGCTTCACTTTCCCATCTCCGGGCATAGCGACGAGATGACGTGCTCCCTGTCGCAACCCTCACCGCAACATAGCCGGACCACGGCACCTTTGTCCTGCTGGCCGGTGCGGCCGCAGAGCTTAAATCAAAATTCGAGTTGATATCCCGTGATACAAGTCATACCTCCTTGATCCAGGCAGTCAGCTTGTTACCGCAAATTTTTTGCGTCGCCTCAGTAGTCCCAAAACAGAGCACGACGAGCAGGAAGTGCGCCGCCAACTTCATTTTGGTTAGCGAGTCCTTCATGGTGGTTTTTCCGCTTTTTTATACGACAACCAAGAAAAAAATGCCGCTTGCAAGACGTCTTTGACTGCCTATTTGCATCAAGTAGAATTTGAAAAGGCTCCTCCAGATCGATACGGTTCTTGGAAACATTTTTTTTATGTAAGCCGAGATCTTCCGTTTTTGCAACCACCCCAAGCATGGGAAGGAGCATGAAAATAACACGCGGAGGCCAAGAAATCTTACGTAATACAGATTGTGCGTTTATTTATTAAATATTCATTAGCAAATTTTACAAAAAAAAACAGCTGAAAAAGTCAACGATGAAATTCCTTCGACGTGCTTCGTGTTATTGTCACGCGTGGCGACAGCGAATAGCGACCGAATTTTCCATTGGCTTGAACGCTAACCACGACTGCTTGCGACATCACCATCGTGCGTTTCTCGAAGATGCCTGAAAAATCAGTGAAAAGGGAGCTGCTAGATCGAAGACGTATCACGTCTATGGGAAACCACCAAAATGTCGACATTAAAAATCCCGACAGCCATAATCCCGACAGCTATAATCTCGAAAGCCAAAATCCCGACACCCAGAAACCCCCGATTTTAAAACCATTTATGGATAAAATTGCCGAAAATATTACATTTTGGCTGTCGGCATTTTTGGCTGTCGGTATTTCAGTTGTCGGGATCTTGGCTGTCGGGATTATGGCTGGAATTCCCCGTGAATCCCAGCGCAAAAACCTCACATGTCAGCAAAAACGCCAAGCAGTCCCAGGCAGGTCGCTGACAAACATCTGATAGTGCCTGTATATACACAATATTGTCAGCGTCGCGAAAAACCCGTGGTTCTGCACCAGTAAAAAGGACAGGTGTACGGCAACTAAATTTAGGCTCTGTTTTGAATTTGCAATAGACAAGGCTTACCCAGAAAAGAGAGATCCTCGGAGTAGTAGACGTAACAGATAAAGCCGAGCGGTGCCACTGTCGTGACAATCGGCACGGAGATTTGGATCAGGGCGTTGCGCATTAAAATGCTCCTTTAAAGACCGCTAGAACTCTTGAAAGCACACTGTCACCCCGAGGGTGCGCCCCCCAAGAACGCGCAGAGAGAGGCGTCATTAGTGGCGCCCCGTACTAGGAAAAGACCCTCTGGGGTTTGGCGCACCTCTGACTCCCTTCTCCACCCGGCCCTGTGGTATAGTGGCTAGCGCGTCGGACTTTGGAGCGAACCATCGCGGGTTCGACCCCCGTCCGATGCGCAGTTTTGGACGGGGGTCGCACTCTTGCCTTTAACGAAATTTTGATCGTTCTGACAGTCTTTAAGGTTGCCACCTCCGTGCGCCTACCACTTGCACGGCGAGCGGAACCCCGATTCTGCAAAGCCATCCCAGCGGTATCGCAGAAAACATTGGAAGAAATATTGCCGGAGCGATCGCCGAACCCAAATTCAAATCGCAGATAGTTGAGACTATCTAGGAATCGGAGCATTGTTCAGAAAAGTAGAGAGAGCAGAAAGCACCAGAAAAATTGTCCCAAAAACGGCGCTCAACTTTACCTGAAAAACGGTCATGATCCTTCCTAGCGATCGCATTACGGCTGGTGTGCAATAGACGATGGCATATAATCCGAATAGGTTGACGCAAGGTCCGAAAACTAAATCCATCGCGATTCAAGGCCTCGAATCAGCAAGAACGTACCCGAGAAACATTGCATAAAGATGAAAATCCACAACTCGGATTCGAGGGAGTATTCATCGCTTAAACCATTGTACGCCATGGCAATATACAACAATAGTTGGCCCAATTGTTGAGCCGACCGACACCTGACATATTTTCAGCTGCTACTTCTGATCCGATGCCTTGGAAACCCGATTTTGGTTGCCGGCTAGCGACAATGATGCGAAAATGTTTTTGCATCCGAGGGTCGTCGGTATCTGCTTCGATCGTCCAGTTTTAGAATATACAGGGTGTCCCAAAAATGACCCATCTAGCGGTCCGCAGACGCGGTCGATTTTTACGATTTGGGCATCTAGCACAGCTCTCGACGAGCTGAGCGATATGTTCTTTCCGATTTTCGAAATTCCAGAATTTTTTTGCAACTACTAATATTTTCGCCAAATTGGACCGAGTTTCTGATGCTGCTCCGATGAAAGAGTTTTCTTACAAAATAGCAATTTATGAATTTTCGAGCCTGTTGCGATAGCCCAAGGACAGCTTTTTGCGCGCCAGCTGCGAAAGCACGGCTGGGATGGCGTTTAAGACGATTAAATTGAGTTTTTACAAAAAACATTTAACTTAAAACCAGGGTTGAAAAGCCGCTTCGCGACTTTTCAACCCTGGCCCCGTCTAGGCCCCATGATGGCCCTACTTTGCATAATCACACCCGCCTGCCCCAAAAAAAAAATTGTAAATCACTCGCCCTCCCGCCTTTATATAGGCTCTCTTCACTTCCGGCGTATGCTAATTGATTCCTAACAAAGAAGCCGAGCGAAATTTTTACAAAAACCTATTTTTAATGTCGGAAACAGCTGATTTTGCAAAATCTGATAGGTGTGCAGTCGTGTCATGACCATTCCGCACCTAATGACGTATCATACTTGCCCATAACTTCTTCCTTTATTGAGATACGACTGGAACATACGGACGGAAGTTGCATGCAAATGCACACACACACACAAACACTATTTTTTTATATACCAGGGTTGAAAAGCCGCTTCGCGACTTTTCAACCCTGGCCCCCGTCTTACCCCCATACTTCATCACTTTGCATAAACACCTGAATTCCTGTGCAGAAAAATGAAAAGCGCGTCCTCTCCGCCGTTATATAGGCTGCCCCCACTTCCGGTGCATGCTAATTGATTCCTAGCAAAGAGGCTGAGCGACATTTTCAGAAAAACTTAATTTTAATATCGAAAATAGCAGATTTTTAAAAATCTCATGTGCGTGCAGTCGTGTCATGACCATTACGCACCTAATGACGTATCATACGTGCCCTTAACTTCCTCCCCTATTGAGATACGACTGGAACATACGGACGGAAGTTGCATGCAAATGCACACACACACACACACAAACACTATTTTTTTATATATAGTAGGATAACTTAAAATTAAATTTAACACTTGTTTGGGACACCCAAAACACCTGAAACATAGGCGGAGGCAGAGGAGTGGCCGTGCAATGACAAGATGCACGGTCGCAAAACCGTGATCAAATCATAGACAAAGACGACAACTGTATGGTGCGATACACATCCGCAAGCAAAATTTTATCCATTTAAAAAAGCATGAGATTAATGATGATCCTCCTTGGAGATGCTCTTCGTGGCGAGCGCCCGTGGCGCAAGCGAATACCGTCTGAATTTCCCTTTCTCTTGAACGGTGATCACCGAGGCGTCCGACATCCCGATGTGACGCTTCTCAAAAAGGCCTCAAACACATTTTTTTGTCATAGCCTGTCTTCATAAACCCACGTGGCAACAGGAAAGCCAGAATATCCCATGCGACCTGCTTGACGAACATCCTGTAGTGTTTGTAGATGCAGAGGATAGCGGTGGTTGCGAAAAAGCCATGGTTGGTAAAGACCAGCCAGGCTAGGTGAAAGGCGACTAAAAGTCACGATTTTAACTGGACGCTCAAAAGAGGCTTGGTTGTCTTTTGCTTGCCGTGAAGAGGTTGTGGTCCAATACTCAATCATGCTTACCTACGAGCCTCAAATCCTGCGTATAAAAGATGAAAGCGCCGAAGACCACCGGGCCGACCGCAGTAATCACTGGTACCATTAATAAAATCAAAGCGTTGCGCATGAAGAGACTCTGTAGTTTGTAGGTCTGCGCGCTAATCACGGAGCGTTGCGCGGTGAGGATCCGATACCCGGAAGTCCCCATTACTAAACAAACTCTTTATACTATTCGAATAGCTTACAGAGTAAAGTAGAAACAATGAACACCACCCAGAACAGTATATTCCCAACGGCCAGATTCGCGTAAGGAGCTATCATCACCCGAAATCGATCGATGTCGATGATGGCCGTGAGTGCGGGGTATAACTAAGAATATTTCTTACGTTTTTAGCAACCTACGTTCTTGAAATAGGCTCGATTTACGACCATATCGGTGTTGGCCCAGCAATAGGTTAGCACCGGTATAAATTGCAGGTATGGAATAAGTTGTAGGAAAGTGAAAAAGTATGAGGCGGCCCTGAAACCGGTTAATCGACTAAATTCATCAGAATTTAAGTTTCTGCATAGGCTTCGGCTCTAAGCTCACCGAGGTTCCAGCTTTGCAGGATGGTTTTGTGGCAGTATGGCAATATATCTCTGTAGGAACAATACAAGGATGAGCGCGTCCACATGGATCGTAAGACATATTTGATAAGTCTAAAGGTAACTAAGTCTTTTCGGCGTAATTCTGAGTGGGACCCTATCGAACACAACGCAATACTACGCAACAAGAAAAGACAAACCACTTGAAACGTAGTCGGCACCCCGAATTTCCATAGCCATCCCAACGGCATTCCGCCAAACATTGGAAGATACAACGCCGGGGTTAGCGCCGATCCCATTGAAAAATCGGCGATGGTTGAGAAGATCTTAAAAGAGCCTTTCTCGGATATGATCAAGGCGGAATTTTTAAGTAAAACCACCATACCTGAAACACCAACAAAAGTCGGCCGAGGACCTTCATCGACGCATGGGTGCGAAAGGCAATCACATAGAGCCCGAGGAGGTTGTAGAACAAACCAAAAACTAAGGGAGAACATTAAACAATTAACAATGATTTCAAAGCATCAGAGAATGACTTTTGCTCATAAGCCTCATCCCAAAAACCCACTCGCAAAATAGCTCATAAAAGTAAAAATCCAGGCTTCATCCTCGAATGAATATTCGGAAGTGCTATCATTAACCATGAAACGCCTTGGAAGCCAGGAGTTATGCCATGAGTTTTACAAACGAATGCGGGGTCAATTGTTCAGCTGCCCCCTTTTCGCTAATCGGGGCTCCCTTCGCGATCCGTCCATACGACTGGCAGGTGTTTTGTTTCTCTATGGGCTTCCAGCATTTGTTGCTTCATTATGACAAAGGTTGCGTGTGCGATTAGGCCCTTGAGAGCCATAGATAAGAATCATCCACACTATTTATTAGAACTTTCAGAGATAATCAGTGATAACACAGCATCCGCCTAGGAAAAACTTCTCGCTCCGCGCGCACGCGGTTCGAGAGAGTAGTGTCTTAACTTGCTCTTTTCTTGCACGGTGACCACGGTAGATTGGGACCTCCGACTATCAGACTTTTTCAACAGGCCTGAAAACGTCATTAGTGCTATTCATTGCCATAAAAATGCTCAAAGGAAAACTTGCCAGGTACAAAGAAAGCCATGGTCCGCCGGGCTAACTGATTTACAAAAAGCCTATAATGTTTGTACAGATATAAAATAGATATCGTCGCGAAGAAACCATGGTTGGTCAGGAGTCCCCAAGCTAAGTGGAACGCAACTAAACACCGAATGTAGTACAAATCCGGTTCATTTATACAAGAAAATCCGGAATCATTGTCTCACCTAGAAAAGACCAATCAAGTGTAAAATATATATAAGCCCCAAATAGTATAGGACCCGCCGCTGTCGCAACCGGCACAGCCACCAAAATCAGAGAATTGCGAATCAATAGGATTTGTAACTTGTAGGTATGAATACTGATATGTGCGCGCTGTGCGTTCAGACTTTGTAGTCCCGTGGTGATGATAACTGAACGAACATAGCATGAGTCACAGCCTAATTAAAAACCAGCCTCCAACTCTCTCTCCCTCTATAACTTTCTCCTAAACCTACACGTTGCCGCAATAGCCACGATGATGATCCAAGAAAGAATATTGGCAACAGCGATATGCGAGTAAGGCGGTTTCACCATGAAGAACGTATCCAGATCGATTATATCGCTTAGCGCAGGATATAACTAATAAAACGTGAAAGCCCAGCGCCGTCACCGACCTCTTTGGCGTAAATCCTATTTTCTGTCAGATTGGTGTTCAAAAAAATCCACGTGCAGACGGAACCAAACTGGACGTACGGTAGTAGTTGCAGAAAGGCAAAAAGCGCGGTGGAGCCCCTGGGAGATCGGCAGTTTAAAAGGCATCGGAAACCCCACCAAGGTCCAAGTTTCGCCGGGTGACCTCGAGGCAGGATCGAAAAGTATCTGTGCAGAAAGAGCACCAGCACCAGCGCGATGACATGGATGAAGAGGGCAACCTGATAAGCCTAAAGAATCGTGCATAGGACACTTCAGCAACGCAAAAAAAGCTATGACAAAAGCAATCAAAGACAAACCGCTTGAATGTTTGACGGCACCCCGAATTTCCATAACCATCCAAATGGAAACCCGCCAAGCATTGGAAGATACAACGCTGGGTTCAGTGCTGACCCCATCGAGAAATCCGTGAGGGTGGAGAAAAACGAAAAAACAAAGTTATCTTAGCTGAAGCGAGTAACTTACCTGATACAGTGTCATCAGGCGGCCGATGGATTTGAGAGCGGGTGGATTATGAGTGGAAACCACATACAGCCCGAATAAGTTGACAAACAGGCCAAAAACTGAAGCGGATTACTTTTAAAAGGGATTTTCTTTGCATGACCCCTTGCCCTAAAACTTACTTGCAAAATACTGGATGAACTCGAAAATCCACGCCTCATCCTGGAACGAATACCCGGAAATTGAAACTTCGGCTGACATACTAATCTTTGGGTGGCTATAGAAAACCTTCAGCAAACGTGGCGATAATGGCGCAGGGTCAATTTTCCAGCTGCTCACATGTCAGCTACACGGCATTCAGGTTCTGGCGCCTTTTTGCCATCGATTTGGGCGCCGGGCAGCTGTTTTGTCCTTTGCGAGAGTACCAAAAATTTGCGCGGGTTTTCCGGTACGGTTGCTGTGAGGCAATTTACCATAGTTTATCCAAAAAAGCAAGGCAAAGAAAAAATGAATGGAAACGTAACATGCACAAAATAACCACAAATCAATGATGATATTCCCTTGAAACACTCGACGTCGCGAGGGCTCGTGGCGAAAGCGAATATCGTCTGAATTTTCCCTTTTCTTGGACGGTAATCACGACGGCTTGCGACATGCCGATGTTGCGTTTTTCGAAGAAACCTGAAAGTAAACAAACGTGTTGAAATCTACAGAAAAATAGGGTTTTTACTGCAAAAAACTTACAGGGCAACACAAAGGCAAGGCAATCCCAGCACACTTGCTTCACAAACGTATTGTAATGCTTGTAGAGGGTCAAGATAGCCACTGATGCGCAAAAGCCATGATTCGCTAGCAAGACGAATGCCAGGTGCAGGGCAACTAAAAATAAGAACTATTTGAAATGTTAACACTTACTTATGAAAGAAAAATCATCCGAAAAATAGATGTAGGCAGCGAAAAGCACGGGGCCCGCCCCGGTGATAATCGGCACCAACACCTGGATAAGCGCGTTGCGCATCAGGAGGGTTTGTAGTTTGTAGGTTTGCGCGCTTATTAGCGAGCGTTGCGAGGAGAGGATACGATATCCCGAGGTGCCGATAACTAAATAATATATAAGCTTTTGCGAAAATACGTACAAACAGCCGTCGCAACCACAAAGGCCACCCAGACGAGAACGGTGGCAAAGACAAGGTTTGCATACTGAGGCATTAACGCCAGGAAGCCTTCGGTGCCAATGATGGTTCGGAGCGAGGGATATAACTAAGAGTTTTTCTATACAGGGTGTCCAAAAAAGCCGACCCCTTCTTGCGGGCCGCAGTTGCGTCCGATTTTGACGATTTGGGTTCTATCAAAAGCTCTCGAAAAGGCGAGAAAACAGGCACCTTTCGTTTTTGAATTCCGGCTATTTAATTCGCGAATTTTGGCATCAAAATCCATGAACCGCCGATTTTATGCAAAATCCGCATGTTAATTGCTTGCGCACTGCACCACGATATTGTTTTTTGCACTTTCTAAGAGTAGACTTTCTAATTTAATATAGAGAGCGGGCTAGGATATTTTGTAAAATGAAAAGCGCCTGTTTTCTCGCCTTTTCGAGGGCTTTCGAATCGTGTAAAAATCATCACGATCCGACCGTTTTCCGGGCCGCCAGAAGGAGGTTGTTTTTGGGACACCCTGTAGAATGCAACAACTTACAGCCCCGTAATATCTCTTGTTCTCGGTCATGTCAGTGTTGCTCCAAGAATATGTGTACAAGGGAATGAACTGGACATACGGCATCACTTGAAGCACGGTAAAAAAGATTATTGTGTTCCTGAAAACTTTGTTGCGGGCACTTACTGCGCCTACCAAAAACCAAGCTTTAGCGGATGATTCTGCGGCAGTATCGCGAAATATCTGTGTAAGAACATTGCCATAATCAAGGCAACGACATGAAGAAACAGGCAGAAGGCCGCCGCCTAAGTGTACGATAATTGGCGGTACATGAGACTTCTCTCACAAGTTGTATGATCGTCGTTACGCCAATTTTCCCCAACCAGCCCGTTGTGATACCGCCAAATATTGGCAAAAACAGCACCGGGCCAATCCCGGCTCCAATTATGAAATCGGTGGTTGTTGACAGCATCTGTAAAACCGGGATCGGGGAATGTTCGATTTTTCGAGTAGCACAAATGACTGTGAGCCATTTGTGCCACCATAAATGGCTGTAAGCTATACCTGATAGCCCGTCATTATCCAACCAAGAGTCCGCATGGAGCTTGGCGTGCAGAAAGCTATCGCATACAAGCCGAAGAGGTTCACGAGCAGGCCGAAGACTAAAAACACTTCAAAAGATGATGAGTCAAATCAAGCCAGATCCTGAGTGAGGCAGCTTTGATCGTTAAAAACATACGTGAAAAATTGGTCATGAAAACGAAGATCCATCGCTCAGCCTCGAAGGAATATTCGAAGATGACCGGTACGACGACCATAGGGCTCTTTCAAAGCTTGCGCTTTCCGCGTTCTAGCAAACACGGTGCCATAACCTTCAGCTGCTGCTCGTTATGGTAACGGCTGTTTTCGGCATTGACCCGGACCTCTGACAGGTGCTTGTTATGCGGTGATGTACGAAAAATCCGTTCCGTCCGAACCGAGCGGGGGTGTTGCCCCTGACCTAATGCCAAGTTCATATCTCTCTAAGGCTAAAAAGAGTCTTTTTAAAAAAGGGCTTCTGGTTTTCGCAAAAAGAGAGGAATTCTCGTGGCAACAAAAAGAGCTAAATTCCTTTCAAACTCTTAAAAATGCCACAGAATGTGGGATCAACCAAAAGTTGCTGGCACCTTATTAAAATGGACAGATCTAGTTTCTAGCGGTTTCGGCTTGCAAATAATTCTGTATTATGATCTACTTGCACTTTCTTGAAATTAATCTGTGGACCTGACCTGTGATCTGGGATGGAACCGAGTTTATTAAGGTTTTAAATAGCCAGCAACTTTTTGTTGTTCCCGCATTCTGTGGCATTTTTAAGAGTTTGAAAGGAATTTAGCTCTTTTTGTTGCCACGAGAATTCCTCTCTTTTTGCGAAAACCAGAAGCCCTTTTTTAAAAAGACTCTTTTTAGCCTTAGAGAGAAATTTAGCCCTTTTTGCCTCAATCTTATTGTTAAGATCGTAAAATAAGCCAAGGAATACTTATTCAGATGAACCCTTATACGCAAAACTTCAAAAAAAATTTGCCTGCGGCGCTTTGTGACGGCACAAAAAATCATAAGGATGCACGGGGGCCAATCGGCAAAAACGATGTTTTGGATGGGGTTCGAACCCGTGGGGCAAGACTTCCCAGTACAGCGTGCTAACCACTAGGCACGCTGTACTGGGAAGTCTTGCCCCACGGAGACTACGGGACTTCTACGGGGAGACTGGAGGCCTGTCTTGGGGAAGCTAGACCCGCCCGCCCTGGCTCGGGACAGGGGCCGCCAAAGGGGAGGGTGGCGCCCCGTATGGCGAAGGTTTAAAGTTATAATATCTCAGAGAAGAAGCATTCTTTCGATGCAATTTCTTCTTTACTTATTCCGGCATGGTCTAATGCATATCTGAGCCAAATTTCAGCCCAAACGGACATCACTAACCCCTGTTTTGACCGCAATTTAGCTTTTAAACTTAAAAATTAAATATAAATTTTTTAAAAAGCTATTTTGAAAAAAACGCTTCTTCCTCACCTTCATTTACATCAAACCGATATATGTGGAAAATTTCAGCCCAAACGGGCCATGGGAAGGCACTTTTTGACGACTACAAAGGTTTTGCGTACATACACACATACAAACGCAGACCCCCCCCCCTCGAAACGCATTTTAAATCGGCTGTTAAAATTCGAAATTTAACTTTTTTTCAAATTTTAAAAGCTTATAGTATGCAAAAAGTGTCGCCGGTTCCGATGGTGTATTCAGTTTGGCGATCCGATGCTTGGTTCTTTTTTAAATCCGGAAAAGGGCCTCAAAAGAGTCGTGTGGGGGGGGTACCTCAAACCAAAAGGGGTTAGCGGGCTACGCCCGCTAACCCCGATGCTTGATACTTAAGAACCTTTAAGAAAGCAAGACAATTTGTATTTTGTTGACTAGTGAACAGTGTTAAGTTCATTTCTTTGGGATCTAGTCAAGCTTCCGGATACGACGGCCGGTCGGGTGGTCGTCAGAGAAAATCGGCGAAATCCCGCACGGTGACGACAGTGGAATGCGAGATTCCCGCTGCCGTCCTGCCGTCTGCTTCACAAATAATTTATAGTGCTTGTACAAGCATAGAATCCCGATAATAGCGACCTTGATTGCAGAATCATATCGTGGCCAAGTGAAGCAGCACTAAAAGTTGGGTTTGGTGTTAACTACGGCTGAGGCGTTGTTCCCGTTTGGACCTTTGGACCACTTGCGGTGTTGTTCCCGTTTGGACCTAATTTCCAGCTGGGACATCGTTGTTAAAGTGTCGGGCAGCTGTTTTCATTAACCTTTTTTAGTTTTGATTGAAGTTCCGCTCATTTGTAGCGAAAAGTAGTGTGTGGTTTTGGGACCCGGTCCGCGTGACAAATTTGAAGGTGCTCAACTTCCGCTTTGAGTCTGTCTGCCTGTCTGTCACTCGCTCTCTCGCGCGCTCTCTCTCTCCCTCTCTCTTTCTCTCTCCCTCTCTCTTTCTCTCTCTCTCTCTTTCTCTCGCTCGCTTTCTCGCTTTTTGCGGGTTTGAAAATACATCATGCCTCGGATCGCAAAAAAACTGAATCCACCTGACTCCAAACAAAAGTGGGCCGGGGCTTAAAGCGCACGTTCAGGGAGGGGCCGTGTACTCGTCCCAACGTGTACACCCTATGGACGCAGCGACCGCGCGCACTGCCTGCCCTGGTCGTGGCAGGCAATTCCCCTCCTTTGCTCGGTTAGTAAAGCGCCAGCGGGCGCGCCAACTTCGGTGCTATTAGCGGACGCGCAGGCGCGCCATTAGCGCTTTTGACAAAAGCGCCCGTTGGCGCGCTCATTTGTCGGATTGCGCTCATAAAGCGCCCATTTCTTTCAGCTGTTCGTACTGGGGTTTTAATAAAATAGTTTTTATTATGAATGGGGGTGTATTAGCATCGCTTTTGCGATGTAGTACACGAGAAGAGGTGCATCCGACGTGTATGCCCAAAAGTTGTCGATCTGCGCACCTAAATAGCTTGTTTAGAAGCATAATCTTTGCAAAAACCTATTTTGTTTTTGCTTCCATAGCGCCAGCGCACGTATTTGATCTAAAAGCTAGCTAA